GTAATCCTTGACAAAGCGTAGCTCTGTGTTTTCAGCTTCCGCTCTACCGCTCCTAGGTGCGCCTTCCAGTTGAGTTTCCAGTCCAGCCAGACCCCTAGGAATCTGGCCGCTATGAGGCAATATCACCGGCTTAGTCACCTGGATAACCCTCGTGGTCGCGGTCGAAGCCCAAGCCGCTGAAGTTCTCGCCCGCCCTCTGACTTCCGACAATGTCGACGTCGTAGCCCTCCTGCACGACCCGTTCCCAAATCCAGGCTCGCCAGCAGCCGTATAATCGGTGATGGAGTCGCCGGGCGGCATCCATCGTATTCTCGATGCCTGGGCCAGAACCAGGGCTAACTGTGAGGACCAATAGTCGAAGAAGGGCCATCGTTGCGACGAGCGAAAGGTGCTTTGGTCGTAGGCAGCGTAGATGAAGAATTCTGATGAAAAGGGCGCAAAGCAGACTGGTTCAATATAGTTGACGCCCACAGATTTACCCGGTCTGGGCGTGTCGTCTCCTCTGTTTGGTGGCAGATCTTAACATATTTGTGGCTCGACAATTTTATTGCGAGTAATGGCAAAGTCTCTCAGTCTGGTTGTTGGACCGGTGCCAGGCGCTTCTGGGATGCGAAAAGGGAACGAGAAAAGAGAGAGGGCAAACACCTTGAAAGGGGTTATTAAATGATCCAGAAATATAAAATGAAATAACTAACTACAACAACATGCTAAAGAATATGTAAAGCGGTTCAGTGGTCTTTTCCAGCAGAAGAGGAAGAAGAGAAGAGAAGAGGAGAGAAGAACGAAGGACTCGTACAACTCGCTCATTCTCTGTTACTTACCCTTCGTGTCACGACCCTGCCAGAAATCGAGCCGGTCTCAACAATCCCGGACGACGAACCTGCAGCCGGGTCAATGAGTGCTTCCCGCTTGGGCACCCACGGGACCGACGGACATGGCCCACCAACGGACTTGACTGAACCCCCCCAACCCTCTCCCACAGCCGCGGACAACGTCGAATCTGGCGTCGATGCGCGGGGTGTCGCGCCAGGACTGGCGATCATTTCAGAGGGAGCTTGCACTAAGCTTGTAGCGGGTGTTGCGACTGGCATATGTTCAACCTGGCGAGGCTCGTCCGCGGGAGGCAGGTGCCGAGTAAGCGCTAGCTGGGCTTGGGCGACTTTGTCGAGAATCTCCTTCGAATCGTGTCCCAGCTCAAATGGTCCATTCTCCACCGGGTCAAGTTCAAAGGTGCCCTCCGGAACAAGAAATCTGGCGAATCCAGCTTCAGGTCGGGAAGGTTGAGAAGTCGCTCATAAAACGGGCCAGTGGCGAACTTTCAGGAACGTTTGGTCGAAAGCGCGAAAATCGGCCCTGACTTCCTCCTTGCGCTTGGCCCACGCCGTGTGCTGCTTCGGGTCAGCTTGTGAATGCTTGCGCAGGTCAGTCGTGGGCGGTTTGGTGGAGGTGTCCAGAGAGGCGTCGAGACTCGGCAGATGCTTCACGAGGCTCACGGCCTCTCCCTGCATCGAGTTCCATTGGAAACGACCCTCCCGTCGCAGCGGGTCCACGAAGAACGACGTATTTAAAGGCGTAGGCAAAAGGATGACATTGGCCAAGGCGGACATGCCTCGCTCCCGCAGAAGCGCCAGGTATTGCTGGAGCAAGCGGACTCAGGGAATCCAGAAGTGTCGCAGTGCTGGGGTTTCGTTAATAAAGCATAGGGTCATGTGGATCTGCCTTAGTAGTCGGGTGAGGTTCCAGCCACGCAGTCTTTTCAGGGCGAACATGAAGTGGATCAACTGCTTAAGGGAGAAGCATGGGGCTTGGACCCATGTACCTTTCTCCGCTACCGCGAGAGAGACGTTCAAGAAATGGTTTCCTCGGCATAGCGATGGCAGATAGCGGCCAGTAGCTTTCTCTCAGCCTGGCCAATGACCTCTGGATGCTTCTCCATCCATACCACGCTGCCGGTGACGAATCCGGAGACTCACGTTATGGTATCGACGGGATTCATGAAGTTAAGCATTCCCTCCGTGACCCTGCAAAAGTTAACCACTTTGGAGCGGAGTGGAAGCCGGCCAACTACTTACATAGTGCATAAACAAGTGCACATGTCAGAGCTGGTCAACACCATGATCCCGGCTTACGCACGGCCATCGGTGAACGTGGTACACACCGATTTGCTTCCTTTAAAGAACGGGTGGGCAAGCAATAGTAACCACTCGGTCATCCCGCGTTCAAAGTGGCTTCTAACGTGTCAACTTCCTGCATTCCCTTGGCGGCTCTCAGGCGTTCGTGTAAACTAAGGAGGGCAAGAGAGGACGATGTCCTTGAAGCTGACAACCGTCAGCGGAGGTTATCAAAGCCAGGAAGGATATGAACACGAAACATTCATGCAGCACCGGGACTATCGGGTAGTCTGGATGCCTGGCAATGTATCCACTCGCCCAACTCAGAAGTGCCAAGCCAGGGGGGTCATCGTTGTCGCGTTCGTTAACTTAGCCCTCTTCAGCAAAGCTTCATCACCCAGCAAGATAGCGAACTGGATGATGCGAGACTTGACCTTGCAATCCATCAGCTGTGGACAGCCGGCAATTGGTATGGTTCCGTAGAGCATATCGATGGCTTCCAGGGCGTGGCGGCCGATAGCTCTCCACATCTGACGACGGACTCGGGACCAAGGTGGCAATAAACTGATGGCTTGACCGAGAATGTGGGACGTGACAGTTGAGATGACAGGATCTCCAAACGCGCTGGATCTGATACTCTTGCTGGGAAAGGGCCAGATATGGGCTGTGGGAATGAGGAGGAGGGCCTGTATTTGTACAGTTAGACCCAGTCAGTACCGATGGACAGGAGAAGCACACTCAAATTCTTGGTTCATGACCGCCTGATCCAAAGCTCATATGATGGGCCAGGGTTGTGGACATCCTCTTCTTCATCTGGTTCCCCAGCTGAAGAAGTCGCCCCTGAATTAACATGGTCGGCGAGTAGACGAACTGCATGCGGTATTGGATGCTGAGGTTTTCCGGCGGAGCGAGGATTGGCTCCCCTTTCGTGTCGGAAAGGCTTGTCAACACTAAAACGTTGTCGACATTGAACTGCACATCGCACTTCAGGTAGTCGACTGCCGAAATGGAACGTCCGGGGCTGAACGGCCCAGGGCCATACCAGCGGAGAGTGAGACGCGTGAAGAGAACCTCTCTCCGCCAGAGGCCCGCAGCTGTCTCAATCAGGCTCACCCTGTTGACATCGTCAGGGTCCAGGTCTCCTCCAATTGACTTGAAATCGATGCCGTCGTAACCCGGAAGGGAAAAGAATCTGTAGTCGGGGTATGGAGGAAACGGTTCCCCTTGATGCTCTTCTCCCAGAGCTTCCAAGCGCGATGCACGAGCCAGGGGTCGCTGTGCGCGTATCCCTCGGTGAAGCTGCTGTTTAAGTCCTGAGGCAGGTGCAGGTAGAGGAAATCCAAGGGCCTGCGGCGATTCTTTCGGGCAATACCGTGAGCATGGAGAATTGAATCCACTGAAGGGTCGGGCATTTTTGGATTCAGGAGCAGCGGGTTTGCGCGAGCATTACCGCATTCCCTATCCAGGCTCTGAAATCCAAATCTGGAAAGTGTGAGCTGCAACAAACGAGTCAAGTCTGGTCTGGCCCCGATCGCCTTGGCATGGAGGAGCCCAGAGTCCGGCCTACCCCTCGCCCCTTTTATTGGCCAATGCGTGGTTGTTGAAGCCCCAGCTGAATGAGCTGAGCTGAGCTGAGCTCAAAGCTGAGTCCCTCAACTTCTGCGCATCAAAACAAGTGCCGACAGGTCCAAGCTGTCATTGAAAATGGGAGGCTGAAACTTGATCCAGTCCTTTTGAGACGGTGCGTGTCATAGACGGAGCAAACTCAGCGGTTTCGTGCACACGAAGGCCTTATTGGAACCGATCGAGCGGAGGTACCTCGGAAACATGCAGTGGCAATCGAGGTGCGCTGGCCAGCGATATCGAGTTCGCGACTCGGAACCCGATGTTGTAAGGCGGTCGTCCGTAGAAGGACATCTCCGCTGAGTTGCCGGCTAGATTCCCGCGTGTCTGTGAATTTATGGAACTGACGATACTTAGGCGAGACTGCAGTGTCGAGCCAGAATTTCACGGTGGGTCCGCGACGCAGATCTGCTGCGCCCTCACGTCGCACAGGCGACCACTCCGTACCGACCACATGCCTCATCGAACAGAACGACCAATATCACTATCCGCTATGTCCGGTTCCGTATGCAGTCCGGATGACCGAGCTCTCATGCTTGAGGCGTCTCCGACACATCAACCATACACCAAACTGATACAGCATCTCCTCGGCGACTCTGATGTCCCTATTCCCCGCTCAACGCCTCATCGAACCCGGCCCTTGGACCCCTGGGATAGCCGATGGTGCTCTGAAGAAACCCGCCAGTTCATCACCAACAAGGTCAGCACCGGATGCGATTCTTGTACTCGGCGGGTTTTGAATCTTCCATCCGGCTGAGTTCGCCATGCTAACTGCCGTGGCGGGGTGCCTCGACGGCGGTCGTGATCGGCGATTTCGATGCCCAACGAGTACACCACGGGAACTTTCACTTACAACGTGTACAAGGAAATGGTTGACATTCCGACGGACGGGCCTAAGGGGCCCGCCGCCGTCGCTCAGACTTCCATGCCATTTGGGTTCCGTCATCAAAAGTACGTGCCCTGTTTGGCTTGTCTACACCTCTTCAGTACATGCGGGGAGCACACGAACCAATCGGGATTGGAGCATGCGCCCTCCATCAGGGTTGCTGGATGGGGCGGAAAGACGTTGACCTGCATGACCGTCGCAGGCCACTTTCCCCATGTGAAGGTAGCGCGCGCGTCTGCCGATACTCGGGTATGCTCTACACGTGCACGCCAGCCGAACCGGCCCAGAAACTGGTGTGAACCCTTCGCGCCCTTATGAGACCGTCGATCCGCTACCCTCTCGGGAATAGTTGGTGTCGGACATTTTGCTGGCTGTGGGGCCGTGTCCGGATGCGGGCCGGCAAGGTACCGTTCGCTTACGAGATGAGGTCATGGACGTTGAAATTGCACAGATTTTCATCGCGGTTTCTCTCAGGGAACTTGGATGATGATGCAAGATTCCAAACTCTGCTCGATTCTCAGCCCAGACCCGATTCCCAACAATCTCAATACAATTTCGACCCACAACTGGAAAGTGTCGCATCCGAGCTCGCCATGTCGCCCGATATCGTTGACATCATGTCCTACGAGGCGTCGAGGACCGAGAACAAGGAAAATGCGTCTTGCGCTGCGGGATAAGAAGGCAGTCGGGCGACAGCTCTTGCCTACACAGTAACTTGCCCTTCGGCATCAAACCAGCAAAGGCCACGGCGATCGCACCTTTTTTCTCAGCTCGCTCACATGGCTGCCTCGGCGGCTTTCGGGGCTGCCGCCCTGTTGGCTCTAGTGGCCAATGTCCGCGCCGTTCCCGTAGTATCGGAGCCGACAACCACCTTTACCTCGGAAACCACCAACCTGCCATCACCCTATGCCATTGAGCACTACAACGTGACATCCCATGGCCCCTACGATGGCCCGCCGGCCACCACAACCGGCGCCCTATCTACCAAGGTCCTCGCCCCATCTATCGCGCCTGCGCCACCGCCGCCACAGATCGTCGAGTACCCGGCGGACGGCGAGCTGCACGGTGACCAGCCCATGCCCTTCACTCCCAGCGGAGGTATCGGCACCAACGGCTCGGAGCCCATTTACAAGGTGGCCTCCGACTTTGACTACCAATCTCTCGCTCTAGCGCTTTACCACGAATGGATCGAGCTCGACCTGTTCCACTGGGGCCTGGCCACCTTTTCCGAGGAGGAATTTGACGCCTACGGCATCAACGCCGAGGACCGCTTTCTCATCCAACATATGGCCGACCAGGAAATCGGCCACGCGTCGGTACTGGCCAACATGCTCGGCCCCAACGCGCCCAAGCAGTGCACCTACAATTACCCTGTCTCAAACGTGCGCGAATGGGTCGACTTCAACCAGAAGCTCACGCGCTGGGCCGAGGCCGGCGTCTACGGCTTCCTGCCGCATCTCAACTCAGGCCCTGCGGCCCAGATGCTGCTGCAGAGCATCACGATCGAGGCCCGCCAGCAGATGTCGTTCCGACAAATGGGTGGACAGTTCCCCATGCCCGAGTGGCACACCCCCGGAATTCCCCAGAGCTGGGCCTGGACGCTGCTCGCACCCTACGTCAGCTCGTGCCCGTACAACCAGACCCGCCTGGTCTGGCAGAACTTCCCCGCGCTGCATATCCTCAACCAGCCCAACCCGGCGCGCATCAACGGCTCTAACGTCTGGAACGAGACGACCGGCGGGTATGCCAACACGCTCTCGACCAAGGACATTCCCGAGGACGAGCTCTGCGTCAACGCCACCGACAAGACACTCGACTGCCCCGCAGCTATTGCCAACAACAAATCCATCCCGCTATCGTACCCGGGACGGCAGGTCTTCCTGAAGTGGGACGCCCCCGGCCAGCTGGTCGGCCCAAACAACAGCTACGTGACGACGACCAACTGTGCTGAGCCCAAGTTCGCACTGTGGCTGTCGCAGCTCAACGTCACGTACACGCCGCTGCTGAACATTAGCTACGAGGAGCGGACGGCCTACACAATCCAGCCCAACGTGTCGACGTGGAAGAATGATCCGGCTGTCAACGGGACCATGTTTATGGCGCTCACTGACGTTGACTTGTTTGTGACGCCGTACAATGTCAGCATGGTCAACCCGCATGTGGCGGCGCTGGCCGTGTACCAAGCTGGCTAAGCGGGTGCGGGAGAAGGTTGTGTGAGATATGGTAAAGCATGTAGCCAGGATGGAAGTAAATTGGATATAGGGATGTCTTAGAGTAGCGTTGTAGTGTTTTAATCAAGAGTTGATGAACAAATCTGCCTTGATCCGAATATGCGCATTGCATTTTATTTGACACAGTGCATTGATATATCAGTGGTGAGATGTTGCTGTTCTTCTCCGCCCCTTTACCCGTGTGAGAGAGTCGTTTGTCAGCTTGTACCCGCAGGCGATCACTGGCACCCAACTGTCTACCTGCCCCTGGAGTGATTCGTACCAGGCTTCAAACACGAGTGCTCAGAATAAGCCTACCACGCTTCACGCTTGTGATCTGACGTCTCGGACCTTACCAGTCTCTGAAGAATGTTCAGCGACCGGCAACCCTGAAAGAAAAGGGCCTACAGCGGTCATTAGGCCATGAACACACAGTCTTGGAGCTAGATGCGGGGTGCATGAAGTCGATGCCGTGGACTCCGATTCAAGAAGAAGGTGATCTTCGTCTTTGCAGGTTTTCGAAGAAGACTGGCCATCTTAGGGTCAGGGAGTGCCTGGGTTTGAGCGACGTAACTCTCGTGTTATTATTATTATTCCTACACCGCTGTGCCCTAGGGCGTGCCGGACCTTCAACAACTTACTATACAGGAAAACCGCGCCCTCGTGTAACTCTCGTGTTTACATCTAGGGTAGCCAGAAATAAGCACCGCTGAGGAATTCAGAACTCATCGGACATGGAGCCATAAGGGCAATCTGCCAACATCATTGAAACCTTTGTAATAATGCATTTTTTGACTGCCCTCGCCCTCCTTGCGTCTACCGCTGCTGCTCTGCCGACCGAGGCGACAGATGGGGAGTAGAACAATCTCGAGGCAAGCCCTCATCGTCCTTCGACCCAGACACCGTCTAATTGACACAAACCACAGAAACGACGGACCTGTCAGGTGTCTTTCCCAGTGAGTTCAATTTCATCCGGGACGATATCTCATTATCATATGACTGATGATCAAACCTAGATGCGTGTGTAGCTGTCTGCTGCAAGCCCCATGGTGGATGCAGCTTCCTCAACTGCGCCGATTCCGATGCGAGTCTTTGTCTCCAGATGCATAAAGCCGATGCTCTTGCGGCTGTTTGAGTAAAAAAGCTTCTCTCAAGGCTTGGGAAGATGCTGTGTGGCCAGCCTAAATGCGTGTGCGATTGTCATTATGGGTGATGTCACCGATTTGTGCTCGATTTGGTCTTTGGGAGTCTGAGCCGAGACGATCTGGGTTTTTCAGGAAGCAGAGACTCCTTGTGCGAGCAAATCTGCGCACAAAATCAAATATGACAAGAAGTTCCCATCATTGCTGCCTCTCTCAGTTTATGTGTGCCGTAAGGGTCATGAACACGAGCAATCAGACATGACAGAATATTCCAGGCTGGCTTCAGACCACCTGGCAGCGGTAATCTTCCGCCTACCCGGAGCAATACCGATTCTGCCTCGCCCAGTTACACATGACGGTCCCAACACAGCTGCAGCACTTGCACGCCTGCCAAGTTCAGCCTCACTTTCGATGCTTCCTGCAGCTAATGGTCATCACGTACCCTCATCTTTCGTTCCGTGTCGTTCTCCCCCTCGATGCACCCCAGCGTGCGCGTATTCCAGCGGAACTGGTTGTAACAGGCGCTGGGGTTGACCACGGCTGCGCAGTCGTCTGTCCGGAGCAGCTCGCGGGTGCATTCCGGAAATTCCTGACTCTGAGCAAGAGCAGAAAAAAAGGCAAGAAGCCAGAACGACGTAAGCTTCATTGTGGGTTGCCGAGTCGACTGCGGCTGACAGATTAGAGAGAGACAAACACCGTTGCATGCCCGGTGGAAGGACCGTTGCTGCTAGCCTGGTATATCAAGAGCTAGCCGACCGATATCACCTTGCATATACCGACTCGCGCGTTGATCATGTCCCACACCTCGGCCGGGCACCGACATTAGGCGGGGAAGCCGAATCAATCGGCTGTTTGCCATTAATTAACGACATCAAAATAGAGTTGGCCGCCACCTTCATCCGTGGCAGGCCCTGTCGGCAAACCAAAGATTGCCCCGTCTATCAAGTTTGAGGTCACAAAGATTAGAAAAGGAGTTCTAGGACGAACACAACCGGCCAAGGCCGCCAGCCACATGGCCACACCATCATCTGTCCGGGGTGTCAACCGCCTTCATGGTTCCGGCAGCTAACGTCTGCGTCCCGAACCATTGGTCGAAGCTTGATCCCGAGATGAACTCATATGGAGTAGAAAGCGGTTCGGTTACCGGACGGTTACCGGAAGAGGTTGCTATACTTGCCCACCTGCTTGAGCTTGCCAACCGTCAAGACCGGCAGTTCTCATACGCTCAACCTTGAAGGCTCAGGCCATCGTCCGTCAACAGTTCCGGGCATTATCATAAGACAATCCTAAATCCGCGCCTTAGCTCCGCTTTCTCTTCCTTCCCTGTTGGCCCTCCAAACCATCAGCACTAGCAATATGAAGTGGAATGCCGTCGTGGTGGCCATGGGGTTGGCAGCCCCCTCGCGCGCATTGCTTCGCTTTGGCTGTGCCCGCCTCACCATCCAACGTTTAGATCCCCTGGTCACCCCCGGGCAGAATCCTTCGCCGCATTTGCACCAGATTATTGGAGGGGTAAGTGCCAGTCTCCCCCGATGAGATAGGAATCTGACCATGCCGACCAGAACTCGTTCAACGTCTCGATGAATCACCCCGAGCACGACCTCGTCAAGCTGTCGACCTGCACCAGCTGCCAGTTCACCGAGGATCTCTCCAACTACTGGACCGCCGTCCTTTTCTTCCGCGCCCGAAACGGAACCTTCAAGAGAGTCCCGCAGATCGCCCAGGCAGGCATGGAGGGCACCCAGGGCGGCATGGTACCTACCCTTGCCCCCCATTCCCATCTCCGCTAACACCTGTGACCTCAGGTCGTTTACTACATGTCGGACGCCCTCTTCGACACAGCCCAGCGCTCCGCAGTCACCGCCTTCAAGCCGGGCTTCCGCATGCTCATCGGCGAGGCCTCGTACAGCACCCGCGAGCAAGCCCGCGACTTTCGCCAGCTGACGTACACCTGCATGGAGAACCAGGCGTCGCGCTCGCCCGAGACAGTCGGCTTCCCTAAAACCCCTTGCAAGCTGGGCATCATGGCCAACCACCGGTTCCCGACGTGCTGGGACGGCGTCAACCTCGACAGCCCCAACCACCGCGACCACGTGGCCTACCCGGAGTCGGGCACCTTCGAGTCCGGGGGCCGGTGCCCGGCAACGCACCCGGTCAAGATCCCGCAGATTCTGCTGGAGACGGTCTGGGATACCTCAGCGTTTAATCGCAGAGAGGACTGGCCCGAGGACGGCAGCCAGCCGTTTGTCTGGTCCAATGGTGATAGTACGGGGTATGGCTCGCACGCCGACTATGTGTTTGGCTGGAAGGACGACTCGTTGCAAAGGGCGATGGATGCGCATACGTATGTCTCGGCGCCGATGCTCAAGACGCAGAGCATTGCCGAGCAGAATAAGTGTGTAGTTAAGGATATGGTGGGGGAGAACTTCGATGGGTGTAAGTCTAGTTTCATGGAACCCTGGGTTGCGGAAAGTGATGCTAACTCGATGGCAGGGCTGAAAGAACTACCTGGTGGAAATCCTATATTTTGAACGTTATCGCTGGTTGGCACGGCTAAAGATTGTCTAACATTGGTGGCATGATGGAAGATGCGGGTTCCAAACTTGAAGCTCACAGGCTGGTTTCCTCAAACTCCTTGCTACCTTACCGTCCTCAGTATGGATTGTTTGACACCTTGAAGGAATTCCTCAACAATCTAAAGCTTTGTTCCCTTCTGACGGTCGAACAGCTCCCCATTGATCCCACCGCCTCTCTGCCGGGCCTCTGGTACGTACTGGGAACTTCAGTCTTCTCTCAAGACCCTGGCCGTCCCGGTGCAAACTCGTTGGGATGGGCCAGGCTAGACCTGCAAAGTTCTCGGGTACCAACGTAGAGCAGGAGAACGTGTTCGCCCAGCTGTCAACCCGTCGTCGCAATCAGCCTGACCCCTTCGGGGTTTTGCTAACCAGCTCTCGTGGCCTTCCGCGATGCCCACGATTGTCCGGGTAGAAATCACCCTCTTCATCAATGTGGCCTGATCCTAGGGGTTTTCCATCCTTGTCTTGGAACAATACGGAGACAACGTTCCTGTGTGTCTTGATTGTAGAGGATTGATGTTGTTTCCCCCTGCCCAGATTCCTCACCAGCTGTAATGTAATCGTGGACGGGCTCCCGGGAGGGGGGGACTGTCGCATCCAAAGCGAAGCACCGCCTCTTGGTCGGCCGCGCCGGCGCGTTGGAAGTCAGCGAGGTCCGGGTCGTCGTCGAGAGGCACGCGGTCTGGGTCCGACATAGCCAAGAGGGGCCTACCCTGGAGTCGACCTCGCCGCGGACCACAGGATTCATCGAACGAAGAGTTCCTGGCCACGAAGTGCTGCACCCCACGAGGGACCTGAACTCCACCCTGGAAGTCTCCCAGTTCCCTCACATATTGCGTTGGCCGTGTTGGGAACGTGGTCCCACTAGAACCCGAAACCGTCGCCCTCCAGGCATGCCGAGTCTGGCCTGCCCCTAGGGGCATCGAGGTTGGAATCAGGCGGCGACAAGGAGTCGTGGCTGCTGTCAGTTAGGAAAAACTACCCGTTTCGGCTTCAATGCGGACGTCGGCACTGAGGGAGAGGTTAGTCATTGGTAGGGGCTAACAATATTGCATACCTCGACCTTGAGACTCATCTGATGTGGTGACCGAACGCCAGGGAGGTTTACGTCGGCATTCTCCTCGCCGTTGTACCCCGCGACGACGAGTAGCGTCTACTGGAAGCAGTTGAAACTTGCGCAAGGCATTGACGGCCAGTTGCAGGGCAAAGCTGGTCCCCCCCCCCCCCGCCATCGCCAAATTGACAGATTACCTGACAAAGTTGAATACCCTTGCGCGCCCTTTGTTAGCCTGAATACAGTTGCGGAGCTCGTGTTGAAACCTCTAGGCTTAGTCCTCTCGGGAAGCGCGGCGGGACCCTGCGGGATTCATAAGCGCCGGCTGAACAGATCCATCGACGAGAAGCATCGCGACATTCCTCTCGTCACCCGCCCGACTCATCCGCTGCGTCCATTACTCCCGACGTCCTGATCTCGCGGGAGAGTTTGATGGACGCCCTGGAACCGTGGTGTTCAGACACTGCTGAATGGCTTCGACAATGTCACAGGTGGTTCCATGGAATAACTTGTAGGGTGCTGAGGGAGAGGAAGCTGAAACTGGTGTTTAGGAGGGTCGGCTGCCTAAGGTGTTAAAGATTCGGAATGGCAGAGGTTGTCGCAGACCCTACAGACGGCATCAAGTCTCCTCTAGACAATACACGACATTCTGACATCAGTTGTGACCTCTGAGATAATTACTTTAACCTCAACTGTGCCCGCTATTCAAGATCGGTGGCACTGGTTATTAAACCAAGAATGAAGATATTCCAATAATATTTCAGCATTACTAAGGTAGTCTATGCAAACACAATGCTGTAAGCACTTGATCCCACATCTCTCGTAAACATCAATCGTCGCCTTGCCAGCCCTACCCACACTCCCTTAATACCTCTACTCATCGTAAAACACCAAACACCTCACCTCAATACTCTCCCTCCCCTTGGTTCCCTCAGGCGTCGCCGGATCCACGAACGCCGTATGCGGCGTCCACCCAGCAAACCCCTTCCTTCCGCCAGGCTTGCCCTCGCCCCAGCTATCGAAGCACTTGAGCAGCAGCGCCTCGTCGGGCGTCATGTCCTTGACATAGTAAAACTTGTGCGCCTCGCTGGGCAACACCCCGTACGTCTCGCCTTTCACCTCATACCCCTCGGTGCTGGCTGCCTTGGTCATGTCCGGCAGTGTCTCCTTGCCGCGGTCGTCGTCATCGTCGTCCCCGGCTGCGCGGTGGTGAATCGGGTAGAGGAGGTCGACGGGGACGAGGTCGCTTGGCTTGGTGGTGCGCCAGTCGATGACCGCGAGCGGGAAGTCGGTTGCCGGGTGGCCGATGGGGCGCCAGACGTTGATGATTTGGTAGCGCCGCTTGAGCAGGGCGTCGAGCTCGGCCGGGGGCAGCTTGACGTGCCGGCGCACGCGGTTCTCGGCTGCCGCCGGGGTCTGGTCAACGTGCACTTGCTGGACGGGTTGGCGCGGGGAGGTGGGGTCGTGGCGGCGGATGGTGTGGTCGAAGATCTCAATATGCGAGATCTTACCCGTCAGTTTGGAACGCAGCAGGGTTTTAACTTCCTCGTAGTAGCCTGTGCGGACCGCCGAGTCGTCGGTGAAGGACTTCTCGGCGGCTGGGAAGTGGTAGGCTGCGAAGCCGGATACGTCGATGTCGCTACCGAAGGTGCCCGGCCGGGCGTCGGGCGTGAGGTGGTCGCGGAGGTTGGTGACGCTGCGCCGGCGCGGAGTGAGCGTGAAGGAAGTATAGGCGCCGTCGACCTTTGACCAGGGCTTGATGCCGGCCGAGATGGAGGCAGGGTCCAGGTAGCGGAACTCGCCGGTGGTGGTCATGATTGGGAGGTGTACTGCGGGGATGATATGAGAATGATGAGATAGTTAGTGGGGCAGGATGGGTATGGTAAGGTAAGGCGAGATGGGATGGTGTTGGTGGTGATACGGCTGTCGAAAGGCCGAGTTCGAGGGTTCAAGTTGCCCAATCCTTTAAATAAAGCTCAGCAGAACGCCCCTAGAAATTCAGCATCTTGACCATTAGTAATGTGGATCCAAGATGGTGGAGAGGATGTTCGAGCAATGGCAGCCAAGTTAGAATTATTCAGCGTTTTCGGGTCAATGTTTCAAACCGCCGGAAAAGATGCAAGTGGCAACCACACACGCCTAAAGCGTTTGGAGCCACATGACATGCTGACAGTGAGTGGCCCAACTAAGTTACATACGGACTCCCCGACAGCTTAGAATCACGCCATTCTCAGCCAGTGCCGTCAAGACCCGATGAGCTGCTGTACCCCGAACTCCAAGCCTAGCAAATTCGAGATCAAGCCTTATCCCCCCGCATTTCGTCAGACCCATCGGCCAGTTATCCGCACCCACTGTCAAGGATCGGCGCGTACACCGCAAACCCCCTCGTCTAAAGCGCATTCACCAAACGTTTGGTCAGCTGCGGCTTGCTAACCACACACACCGCGTCGGCCCCAAACTCCCTGTACAGGCTCGACATGATCGGCAGCATATCCAGTCGGCCTAAAACCGACGTGTCAATCACCACAGGCTCCCCGTCCACCCGCCGGATCAGATCTAGCGTCTGCCGACCATACATCGTGAGCGGGCTTTTGGTCTGCTAGATGACCCGCATGGCCAGGCGCCGCGCATCCTCGATGAACGACAGACACAGCCCGATACGCGACCCGCTCGTCACGACGACGTTGCGCTCAAACATGCGGAACACGTAGCCGAACCCGTACGTCGGCAAGCCCCGCTTCCAGGGGTACTTGGGTGGTTCCGCGATGGCCTGGCGCGTCCAGTCGCCCGCCCCGGATACCAGGCACGAGAAGTTGGTGACGGGCGAGTCGAGCCGGTCCGTGACGCTCGCAAAGCTGTGCTAGTCGGCCGGCGGGCGGCGCGCGACGCTGATGTTCTGGCCAAAGCGCACTGTGGTGTAGGAGAAGTGAAGGCGGGTGGCGTGCGGGGAGAGCGGCTCCGCAGTGACAGGGACGCGCCGGAGCAGCAACCAGGGGAGCATTTTGGCGAGCGTCAGCAGCATGAGGATCCAGAAGGCCGGGAGGTGAAGCAGGAACGTGGAGAGGGACGGTTCCTGTGAGCCGGGGAGGAAGACAAGCACCCAGAAGATGACCAGGACCGCCCAGTTGGCGAAGCGGTGGGTGAGCTCGAAGCAGCCGTGGCGTTTGGCGCGGAAGACGGGGTGGGCGACGACGATGATGGCCAGCAGAAGCGCCAGGATGAACTAGATCAGGACGAGCACCGCGATGGAGATGGGCGGGCGGTGGAAGTTGCAGGTGTCCCGCTGTGCACACCGCCGAGGTGGAAGATTTTGCAGGCCAGCCGGACGCAGTCTCATTGGGGCCGAGCGTGGCGCGACGCCATGGATGAGAAACAGCGAGTTGACGACTAGCGGGTGGCGGCAGAGGCCGCAGACGGCCAGGTTGACGGCCAAGGCGTTGACTAGGTCGAGCGGGGAGGCGCCCTTGACCATGAGGACGATGAAGGCGATGGCATTGCCGGTGAAGGCGAGGCTGAAGAGCCGACGGTAGACGTTGAAGGCCGCGTACCGGATGAAGGCGAAGCGCTTTTGCGAAAAGTCGTCGACTTCGTTCTGGGCCGTGAAGTTTGACGAGGAGTAGGTGTTGCACTTTGCTTTCTCAAGTGAGGTGGCGTCTGTGGGCTCGCTGGTTACAGGCACCGTCGAGCCCGAGTAGGATTGCATCCCCTCATCCAGAGTGGATGTGTCTAAGGATGCCGACGGCCCACTTCTCTGTGCGCCTGCCTGGGTTGAATGACCTCGCCGCACTGAGGGGATGTCCTCAGTGCTTGTTTCATGATGTTTGATCTCACGTTGGCCCTTCTCGCAGCTGACTGGGCACACCAATGCATGTCAGAAGCTAGCGCGAGCCATGTATGCGACAGTCTGCGACGCGGGGTCATGGTCCTGTCGCGTGTTTCTCATGGCGTCTCCGGTGAATGGCCCCGCGGCCGCCATCTGCCGATCTGTCTGCTTCCTGCATCAACTTGTCTGTCGATCAATGGCCGTCACGGTATTCCCCGCGTTCGCTTGGAATTTGCCACCCTGCCCATCGCCAACCGCTTTGCTCGAGGTGTCAGATGCAGATCGAGGTGTCAGGCAGGGCGGGTCTTTTGTGAGGCCGAGTAGCACAGCAGGCTGGGCGCGTCCCAAGTGCCTGGTTGAAATGTGCCAAGAGTTCGTGAAGGGCGTAGGGCAGCAGCCTCCTCATACCCCGAGGTTCGTAGAACGTGGCGGAAGACCCTGGCTGGCAATGCCCTGTGCCGCGGTGGGCGCCGTGATCAAGGAGCTGAGTCGCAGCAGAGCTTCGGAGTGCGGACAAACTTGGTGGATATCGATCCACTGCTCCAAATGCAACTCCCCTACTGAAGAGTCCACATCATCCATTGTGTTCAGCCACTTGGGACCCTCGTCCACGGTTTGCTTGTGCTCGCAGACAACGTTTGACGATATCTGCTCTGCCAATGTCGGCCACAAAAGAGAGATCACCCTGATCAGCAGATTGAAAGGGGACGGAGTCTCAATAAACAATGAGCTTGCGCACGGAAGTGAAAACCGAACAGGATACTACTATAGAACCCTAATCTCGAGCTTATCTTGGCAAGGTCACGGGTATCAAGCGTGGCGCCGTGGAGTCGTAGACAAGTCCAGTACGAGGTGTCAGATTTGACCCATCTTTTTCCTGTCGCCATACCTTTATCCAGCTCTTTCAGACTTTTCAGGCTTGGGCACTGACGAAGATCGCGAATAAGGGCCAATGACCGCGACTTAAAACACCAAAGGCCTAATGACAGCCGCAGACGCCCATGAAGCAATCTCTTTGGGTGTCGGGTTGCAACCAGGCTGTGTCCACTTTGTGGCATTGTGCGGCTGTGCCCCAGCGCCAGTGAAGCAACTCCGCCATCCTGGATGTGCTCTTCACTGAACCTCGGACGCGAATATTTGGACACTGGCAACCAACCTCAATTTCGTTCGCTCAATTGATTAATAGCAGAGAGGCGGCTACGACATGGAACTCTCAAAGCCCAAGCAATGTTGGGAGTGCCGGGGGCGGCGGCTGGTGTGCGACTTTGCGCGTCCGAAATGCCGGAAATGCCAGGTCAGGGGCGTGGACTGCCCCGGGTACGATGACAGGAAGCCCCTAAGATGGTTGCAGCCACAGCAGGTAAACGCAAAGGGGCCCAAGAAGATGGTCGTGCCACGGCAGCTCAAGCCTGATGCCGACCGGGACATGACCGCCGTCTTCGAGGCCATTGAGTACTGTGCGTCCCAGACTCGATATATGTGTTATGCCGTCGGCTAACTTTGACTTAGACAACATGCATATCGCCCCTACGATGGTCGCGACAGGGGTCTTCGGGGAAGACAGTCCCTACTGGATGCCGGCCTCCACCGCACCGCTTCTCCCTCGATCCTTCACCCAGAACATCGTCTGCACCTCACTGGCGCACCGCATTCTGCAGTCAAGCCTGGCTGCTCCGTCCCACCGAGTAGTCTTGGCCCAGCGGCTCCAACGACACCGTGGTTGCGCCCTGAGAGCCCTGACAGCCGAACTATCCAAGCCCGAACACCAGACCTCAGACCTGATACTGGCGTCAATCATCCTCCTGCTTCTAGTAGAGGTAAGCTTCGATATGCCGGCTCAGTTTTCGGTCCTGACATCCACCCAGATCCAGCACGCAATTGAGCCACCAGACTGGCGACACCATATCATGGGCGCCACTGTCATGATTGACTTAAGAGGCGGCCTGGGCGACGTCGTCTTTTCCCGTCCTCATCTCCGTCACCTGTTTCGATATTACGTCTTGTATGGATGGATACTCCCGAGGTCCCGAGCTTGTGCCAGACAAAGCGTTGCTAACTCCCGTTAGGCTCGAGATAATCGGTAACACGACGTCTCCTCACGTCGATATCGACTCTGCCCGCCGCCACCTCGAGGTTATCAGCCTGCTCCCCGTCCTGTTCGGCAACGGCTTGACCACATGCTTTCCTTGCCCACCCGATCTCCTCGCCGAGATCATCCGCATCAACCATCTTCGATCACGATTCCACAGCGTATCCGTCACAGATGTCCCTCCGGCCATGCTGCAGGAAGCCAAACACGCGGCCGCGTTGGACATACTCCGCCGCATCAAGGGCTTTCCAACAGACAGGTGGGCCGCCGAGGTCCTTGTTGGCCTTGGCAACAACGAAACTCCAGCGTCCCAGGCCGGCTTCTCCGGCTGGCACGCTATAGCCACCATCTACCAGTCCGCCATTGCCATCTACTGCATGGCGTCGCTTTTTCAGGACGTAGAACCGTATTCTCCTGACGATACAGTGCCTCCTGACCCTTGGAATGCCTTGACCACCGCACGAAGAACGTGTGCGTCGGTGCTCCTCAGCCACCTGCGCGAGGTCAGCCGGTGCCCCCAGCTTCGCAAGCTGGGTCTGTGGCCTTTGTTCGTGGCGGGTGTTGAAGCAGAGGACGAGGCGACGAAGCGGTTTATCGCCGGTGAGCTCCAGTGGATCAGCAATGCACTTGGCGGAGCTGCGCCCTTGGTAGCGAAGGACCTGCTGGAGAAGCGCGTATGGAGGCTTGGAACAGTGAGGCGCAGTTGGGATGGGCTCTTTGACCAGAGTTATGTGTTTGTCATATGAGTACACTGAGCCCGACTGATCGAACAAGATTTCACAGCCTCTTTGAAGCCTCTGCCCTATATTACATCTGGCTAATCAAGATTACGGCCCACTCTGCGTACGCATGCATTGGATGCTGTTCTGCGTTTAAATCTCCTTTTCGGGTTCATCATCACCTTGTCCACAGACTCGATACGAGGGCCGAGACCGACCCGCAGCGCCCTGGTCGATCATTTCTTGGCCTTCAATGTCACCTATTCAGGAAACATCAAAACAGCACCTCGGACACGGCGCATTCCATCCCCGCACCAAGCCGACACGTCTGGAAACGCCATCACAATCAGTCTCATGCGGTCTGCATAGCCTTGTGGAAATGATGAAATGGACCATGGGTTTTATTGTTAGGACGGGTATGAGGATAAAAGGACGTCGTCTTCCATGGAAGAGTCTGTCAATCGCACCTCACAATCTTCAACAGAGAACCACCATCATGAGGCCTTTGTCTTGCTACTTTCTCTCCGCTGTTCTCGTCAGCAGGGCGCCATACACCACCGCATCGACGTTCCGCCCACGCATTCTTGCCGATAGCAACCGCGATGGTATCGTCAACCACCTCGATGAAGCCGACAAACACGACTGGACCGACACCAGGGGAGCCATCTTCCTCCCCAATATTGGCGACTCCCTCGGCCGATGCGCTGCCGTGGATCTGACCGGCTCCCCTCTCTCCAACGTTGAGCTTTGGCGCTGCCACGACTCGTCGGGCGACCGCCTGCTTCCCTCGAGTGCCCAATACGCAGCCCCTCTGGTGACGCTTCCGCTCCCGGAGCTGTCGGATAATGCAACAGGCCGCATCTACACTGAACCCGACCATACTCGCGACCGCGTCCGCCTCTTCTGGCGGGAAAACGACTGGATGACGGGCTACTCGAGTGTGTGGTCCGTCGTTGACCGACAGCTCACCTTCAACGCGACGAATCTGCGCAGCGGCATCTCCCTCGCCATGGACGGCCGCGAGCTGGTGACAGACGCCTCGGTATGGGATGGTTCGGTCAGGGTCGTCTTCGAGGTGACAGACGGCGGTCGAACCGCGCGGGACTCCGTTGCGCTCAAGCAGGCCCCGGTCCTCCTGCACCACCATCTGCAGCAAGCCGAGATCGTCCTCAGCAGCGCCGCAGGCAACAAGGAAACGATCGGGTCAGGTTGGCAGGCCCACTTTCTTCGTGAATTGGAGAAAGCGGTGGGTGGTGATGCACGCATCGTCCTGTTCAACCAGAGCACCGACATCTGGGCCCAGGACTTCCTCGAACCGGGGTACGCCAGCATGCCCGGCCCAGACGGGCCCGTCTCCATCCGCATCCTCCTCCGCTCGGCGCAATCCACGCGCGAGGCAGGGCGGCAGGTTTTTTCCCAGCTCCGCAGCGCAGGGATCGGCGGCTTCCAGCCCGGCTCCGGCTCCGGCTTTGGCTGGGAGGAGATCAACTCGGGCGGCAACATCGAGACCATTCCCCCGTACACGTCGAGGTCGGGCAAGCGCTGGCCCAACGGCCGCGTCATCATGGGCACCCACTTCGGCACCTACCCGGCCGAGTCCATGGTCCGATTCTTGCAAAGCCAGCAAGTACAGTCTCCGCTGTTCCTCGAGACCGGCTGGCTCGGCGTCGGCCACGTTGACGAAATGGTGCAATTCGTAGCGTCCAGCTTTATCGAGCTAGGCTTCACCATTGCCGTGGCGGATACAACCTCGGCTCTCTCCCTCCTGCGCAACGCCAATCTCTCCGGCCACGGTAGCACCCCGCTGGTTTCGTACACGGGCGACGCCTCGCCCGACGCATTCACCGCCTTCCTTGACCCCGATCTTCTCCACAACACGACCATCTCTTCTATCCTCGCCGACCCATCGTTCATCGCGACCCAGGCCTACGCGCAAAAGTACATCGATCAGAACCTCGCCCTTCTTCTTCGTGAGGTGCCGCTGCGCGACCAAGACATCCTCCGCGTCCCTACTCTCTTCAAGGATATCACGTATCCCTGGCCCAGCGCACCTGATGGTCATCCGCCACGGCTAAGCCTGCCCTACCCGGGTGAGAAGAAGCTAAAGAGTCTGCTGCCGCAGGCCATCAATGGACTGGTGCTCGGGAACGGCAAGTATGTTGCGCCGAAGCAGTGGGGCCCAGTGGTGGAGGGGCAGGATATCTTTGCGCAGACGGTCGAGGAGGTCTATGGTCGGGTTGGCATGAAGGTGGAGTGGGTAGATGATTACATGAGCCATCATGTCAGGGGCGGAGAGGTGCACTGCGGGACGAATGCTTTGAGGGAGATGGAGCGGTGGTGGGATACTGAGTGACGGCGCTGAGTTGGTCAGAAGCTAAGCAGAGAGGAGATGATTGGATACAACCAAGACCTTTACACGTAGTTTAATATCATTTGCCATCCCTCCTCAGCGTCTTCTTGAGCACCGGCACCTCGACCGCCACCGCCTTCCCATCCTTCAGCTCAAAGACAAACACATCGGCCGGCAGGCCCCCATACTTGATCATATCCAGTGATCCCCACGACGAGCACGTCTCCCCAACCGCAACACCCTTCACTCCCAACGACGCCCTAAACGCAATTTTGTTCCCCCCCGCCAATCCCACAGGGTACAGCCACGCCCCAACCCTCGCCCCCTGGGGAACGCCCACGAGCCCGCCCACCACAGCCATCACATCGCTCCCGTTACTCACCAACCGGCTAACCTCCAACCCAGGCTCGCCCTCACTCACTCTCACCTCCACGACATCCGACCCCTCCTCCTCCTGCTCAGGCAGGGTATAATTGCCCGCGTACGTCGCCCCGGCCTGCTCCCTGCCTGCTTGCTCCGCCGCGCTCAGCCAGACGGCACTCAGCTTTTCCAGGAGCAGGTTATACGTGGCACCGGCACTCGGGCCCCCGACGTTTACCACAAATCCGATTCCGTAATCGGGCGATAGAGCGAGGAGGGTCATGTACGGGCCCATGGCGCCCTGTTTGGTGTACAGATCCACGATTCGCGTCGTGTTTAGGGGTGGAGTGGTTGAAATGGGAACTGCGAGGCGCATGATCTCCCAGGGCCGGCCGATCGAGAGAGACAGGCGGGCCGTGTGGGAGACGGGTTTGAGCCAGCGGCGGGTTGTGGAGGGCGGGAGGAGGGCGGAAGAAAGGATGGAGCGGCCGAGGGCGGTCAGGTCGGAGGGGGTGGAGTAGTAGCCTGATCCGCTGTATTGGGGGGACACAAGTCACGGTTGATTAGCTGGGTACAGGCAAAAGAGGAAACAGAATTGGGAGGGAGTGGGTGGGCGTACGGCGCTTCGTCGCCAAATTCCGTGTCCCACCCGTCGAGCACGAGGGCTTTGGTATCGTTGGGCTTGGTCAGGAAGGTACGGTTGAGTTTGAGGGGCTTGAGGAGTTTCTTCTGCACGAGGGAGGGGAATCTCGTGCCGGCAATCTTCTCGACGGCGTAGCCTAGCAGCTGGAAGGCCATGGTGGAGTAGGCGGGCGTGTGGTCGCTCGGGGCGATGGGGTACTGTCTGGTAATCTTGGCGAACGCCTCTGCCCGGAGGCGTTAGTCAAACAAATACTGGATGTGTTGCAGGAATTTACCCACCGTCTCTTGTGCATGGCCGGAGGCCGACGGTGCCGCACTGGATCTTCTCCGAGTCGTTCAGCACCGGCAGCCCGGGGCCCCCTTCCGGGAGGTACGGGGCGAGGTCGCCGAGGGCGTCTAGCTATGTCAGCGGGTGCACGTTGAAACAAGACTCGGCGACGTACAATCCCGCGGAATCCCGCCCATGTGGCTGGCCAGCGCGCCCAGGGTCACATCGGACCAGTCGATGTCGTACACCGGATTCCTGGCTTTGTCCTGTGCAAGCTCGGGGATGTACTTGGTCACCGGGTCATGCCAGTGCTTGTCTCCCAGCGCGGCCAGCGTCGTGTACACGGCGATGACCTTGGAGATGCTGGCGACGCGGAACAGCGTGTCGGGGCCGACGGGGCCATGGTAATACTCGAACAGTGTCTTGTCCGAGTGGCGCAGGAACACCTGGACGCCGAATGCTGTCCCATTGTCCAGCTGTCCACCCGCAAGGGCTCCGGCAATCTCATCCTGGATGGCCATCTTGGCTGCCGTCAAGGCCGGCGCGGAGGCCGGGACCTCTGGGTACGCCGGGCCAAAGATAGGGCAGTTTTGGCTCAGACCGAGCCCGGCGAAGGCGACGAGCACGAGGTGGCGGAGCGCCATTGAGAAACCTGTGCTTTCAGCCTGTCTTGAAAGCTTGAATGGAGACAAGCCTGAGAAGCTCGTCTAGTTGCCAGACCTTCTATACCCCCGGTCAACACCCGCCGCTCCATGTTATCGTGATGCATGCATCGCGCCTTGCCCGGAACCTGGGCCGCCCAACGTTACAACGTCCCTCCGGCTCGCCAAGGATTCTACCGGAATTTCTCAACTCAAACGAGCACTCTTGCATCTCGGCTGGGTCGGTTTCGATGGCCCGACCGTAAGCACCAAGCCAATTATGGACAGTGAGGCCCAACTGTTCGTCCATTATGCCGACGGAACATGCCAGCGTTACGCTGATTCGGCTCGAGGGAGAATCCATCCCCCGTCTATCCATGATCAATTCAGGTTCAGCATGTACAGGGCACTTTCCGTCTCCGTATCCGGAACCCCGTACCCAACCCGATTAAGCGATTTTTGTCTAGTTCCTGTACTGAACAGCCGGGTCCTGTATGTGACCGTACTGAAAGCCGACATTCCTTCCCTTGCGCTCAACAACTCCATCGAGCGTGTAACCTGTGTCGCTCGCGTCGACGTGCGCCTCAATACCCGCACCCTGCCGGGGATAGGGTCTTACAATCTCCCTGTGCCGTTTCAAGGCAGCAATCATCTCGTTCATGCCGACGTCATTCAGAAAAACACATTTCCCGAGAGGGCTGGGCACGGCGGCGCGAAGCTTGCCATCTCGCGTCTGATCGTCTAGTCAGCCAAGTGCCGACAACAGGACGGGGAAAACGACGGCATTGACCTTCAAAATCGCCTTAGTACCTTGTTCCAAGACCTCTTCGGTGAAGTCAGGGTCGTCCATCGCCAGGCCGACGCGAGAGAACAGGTCGAGCATTCGCTTGTGCTCCACGTCGTTGAGGAGGCCGCGCATGTTGGCAAGAGTGGCCGAGTAGGCCATGTCGATGGAAATGGCGTGGCCGTGACGGAGCGGCGGGTCGGGAATGAGTTCGTGGAGGGGCGACCATCTGACACGAGCATGAATTAGCAGCGGCGCGAGTGAAATGGCTGGGCTGAATAGTTCACTCACGTGTGCCCGTAAGCAATCACCCTGTCGAGGCCAATCTCGTGGAGGTTGGGTGTCTCGAGCTTCAGCATCTCATATATGCTGGCCTTGTTGATCTTATCGGCGACCTCTCTGATCTCTCTCGACGCACCGTCGGCGCGTCCAAAAGCGGTGGCAATAAGCTCCTCGCCGTACTTGTCGAGGAAGTTGAAGGTATCAAGGTCGGCGCATGTCGAGATCTTGATCAGCTCAGCGAAGCCGTTACGGATTTGCGCTTCGGGTAAGGTACGCAGGAAGTTGAAATCCAGGAACGTCTTCATTGGGGCATGGTAGGCGCCCAGACGGTTCTTGTAGTTGCCGTAATTGACGGCAACTTTGATCGAGACTGAGGCGTCAATCAGCCCAATGAGGGTCGTGGGTACGCGGATGTAGTTGGTGTTTCGGCGGTAGACGGCACAAGCAAAGCTGAAAGTCTGTTAGCAAGCGCCTGAGGCGGCGGAGACATGACCGCTCATCGGAGTCTGGACGGATCATACCCAGCGACATCGGTGACCAAACCACCGCCAACCACCAGAACGGGCTCCTTGCGGATCACGCCAAACTTGTTCATGGCTTCGACGATTTTAAGAAGCGTGTCGATAGTCTTGGCCTTCTCGCCAATCATGGTCCTGTGGACGCAGAGGTCAAGTCCATAGTGGTCAAAGTAGGTCTGCATTTGCTCGCCGTAGATGTCAGAGATATTGGCATCCATGACGGATAGGGCTCGGCCCCACCGCTGATAGCAGTCGGCCAGGTCCCTGTTCCGGACGTCGAAGACGCTGTCGAGGAATTTGAAGTCATACGAGATCTTCTCGCAGCCCTCGACGTGAAAGCCCGTCTTGGTCTCGATCACGGTGGCCTGTAGATCAGACATAGCAAGTGTGTCCGGCTGTCCGTGTGCGTGTGTGTGTTGAACAGACGCAGGAGGGTTGAAGGAGACAGGACCAGTCTGAGGGAAACAATAGAGACGCGCCTAAAGGGAGAGCACAGGGAGGGTCTCGTTCCGTCCTGTACTTGTTCCCTTTGAACGTCCTGCCCGGGAGACAACTGAGCTGTTTGTCAACTGAGCTCACACCTCCGCAAGTTCAGTGCATCATGTTAACATACTCTTCACACCTGACAATGGCCCCTGATGCAAATACGCACTTTTTCGCAGCTGCTTGCAGACTTTGGGCCGTGCCGCAAAGGGTAGTAGACGTGTGCCAAGTGTTAGCCCGTTTCCGGAATCCTACTCCGTGTCCTTGCATCGACGTCGACGTGACGGACGGAACAGGCGCCAGGCACACGCAGTAGCCGGATATGAATCATCATATGTAGCTGGATAGCAAAGCTGGCCTCGGGCGAATGGCAGCGGCCAGCATGTGAAAATTGAGCCGTCGCGTTCGGACCCATGGCTCTATAGGTTATTGGCAAATCATGAGGCCGAGGACGAGTCGAATCCGGTGAGCGTAAGGATAACGGACGGTATTGGTGCGGCGAATGGAGTTCCTTGTTGGGATCATCGAGTCGCTGTATTGTTTGAGATCCCGCGAGGCTCAAGTGTTTTCGAGAAACGGCTGCCTGCGGAAGAGGGCTCCGGCAGCAGCAAAAATTGCAAATGCTGGTTTCGAAGCTCAACAATGCAGCGACGTCATCGACCTGAGGCCCCCGATGAGGCAGGTGAGACCGCTCGGTCAGTCTTTCCTCAGACGCTGGGTCGGTGTTTCCGCCGCTGACGCTCGCATGATGAATCGACCAATTTTTGCAGTGCTGCCCTCAAGCCATTTGCGCCGCCTTGCTGTGACGCGATCTGTTCATGTGAGATCTTCGTGAAAAGGGGCACTCATGCTGCCGAGATCGTCCGGTCCGATCGAGTCGTGCCGGTTCAGTCAATTGGTAATTGGTGTCACTGCTGAGATATCTCACGAACGCACTGTTTCATTTCCTCTCAGATTGTCCTGTCAGTTTGAGACCATCGGCTACTTTCACACATGACCGTGTTTGACGTGTCCAGAGCCTACGCCCGGCAGGAGGACGTCTTCTACAACGACGGCCGCGAGCTTGAACTTCTACGGTTTGTTTATGGCAGGCCGGACCTCGACAAGATTCGAGGCAACCCTACAAAGGTGCTCGAGGCAATCGACGAGTATGCCCGTACACAAAAGTACCTCATGAATGTGGGCGAAGACAAGGGCAGGATTGTCGTTGACCTGATATCTGAGGTCAAGCCCAAGACGATGGTGAGAAGTCCGTGGGGTCCTAAAAGACAAGAGAGCTCATGACTGGTCCAGGTCGAGTTGGGAGGCTACGTAGCTTATTCTTGCATCCTCTTTGCCGATGCAGTGCGCGAGGCAGGCGGCGAGCGGTACTTCACCCTCGAAAGAGACCCGGTCTTTGGAGCTGTCATCATGGCCTTGGTCGACTTGGCCGGACTCAACGATTTTGTCACGGTGGTCTTCGGCTCAAGTGACACCTCAATCAAGAGATTGCATTCCGAGGGCGTCCTGAAGCACATCGACATGCTGTTCTTGGATCACTACAAGCCGGCTTACATGACGGACCTCAAGCTCTGCGAGGAGCTCCGTTTGGTGACGCCTGGTTCCGTGCTGGCAGCAGATAATGTTATCAAACCCGGCAATCCTCCGTATCTAGAGTACGTCCGAAGCACAGTTGCACAGAAGCGCAAGGCGGTGGAAGGGGGTGAACATGAGCTCGGCGTGCAAGGTCGATTTCCTGATTCGACTGCGAAACAATATGCCTGGCGACAAGACGGGGAGAGGCTAGTCAGCGCACGAGGGAACCCAAATCTAGTCTACGAGAGCAGGCTCATCAACAGCTTCGAGCCTACAGGTGTACCGGTAAGGGGAACCCCACGTCTCATGTGTTGGGGAAGTTGAAGACTAATACATGTCCAGGACGGCATCGAGGTAACCCGTTGTGTTCGCGAAGAATCATAGCGCAAGAACGGGGCCGAGCGCATTCAAGCCCCAGCGGACCTGTGACTGGAATGGAAGAGTGATGGCAGCATGACGTCAGACCAGAACATGAAAAATCGGGGTACCTGTGCTCAACATTGGAGGATGGCCGGTGTTTCTCTATCGAGAAACCGAGGGAATCTGACATTCTTCATTGGTCCTCTGTTGAGGCATCCGACCGCAAGTTGGTATCAGCATGATTCACGATGTTGACGGCCAAGTCGTCCCGCTTTGAGCACGCGCTGCAGAATGCCAGCCTGCTTTTTCTGAGTCTTGTGCTCCTTCCCCTCGATACCTTCATACTCTTTCTAAGCTATGCAGTGCGTATGCTGGTCGCAATCCCCGCGACTTCTCATCGGGTGCGGTTGCGGAGCACTTGTGATACCCGCCAGTTCAAGCCTCAAACTGTCCTCGTGACGGGTGTGGGGATGGCCAAAGGACTCGCCCTCGCCCGTCTGTTTTACAATGCGGGCCACACCGTCATCGGCGTCGACTTCGAGCCGCCATACCTGCCCATCAGCTGCGGGCACTTTTCTCGCTCCGTCAAAAGGTTCCACCGCTTGTCAAAACCGGACGGCACACAAGACGGCTCAGCCAGGTATTGCCAGCGCATCGTGGACATTGTCAAGAGAGAACACGTCAATCTGTGGGTTAGTTGCTCCGGTGTGGCCAGCGCCATCGAAGACGGACAGGCCAAAGAGATGGTTGAGAGGCTCACCAACCGCCGGGCAGTGCAGTTCGATGCGGCCACGACGCAGAAATTGCACGAGAAACACTCCTTTATCAGGTATACCCGCTCCATCGGCCTCTCAGTACCCGAAACGCACGCCGTCACTTCGTTGGCAGACGCCCTAATGGTCCTTGGAGACGCCTGCCAGACCGGAAGGAAGTTCATCATGAAGTACATCGGCGTCGACGATGCGGCGCGCGGCGACATGACTCTGCTTCCCCTGGACACTCCCGCCGCCACGGAAGCGCACATCTCTCGCCTGCAGATCTCCGAGAAGCGGCCATGGATTCTGCAGCAGTTCATCGACGGGCCCGAGTTTTGCACCCACGCCCTGGTCATCCGTGGCCAAGTCAAGGCCTTCACGGCTTGCCCGTCGGCGGAGCTGCTGATGCACTACGAGGCTCTTTCTCCAGACTCCGCGCTTTATCGCAGCATGCTGCAGTTCACGCAGGAGTACGCGGCCAGCGACCCCGAGCATTTCACTGGCCATCTGTCCTTTGACTTTCTCGTAGAATGCGAGGAGGCTCGAGAAGCGGAGAGGAACCCCAACAAGCTCGCCAGGCTTTACCCCATCGAGTGCAACCCCCGCGCACACACGGCGGTGGTTCTCTTCAGCGGCATGCTGGAGATGGCCGAGGCTTATATGTCGCTGCTTGAGGAACCGGCTTCCGAGTCGAATCTTGTGAACGAGAAAAGCATCTACGGGGCGTTCTCGGCTGAACCAGTCTATCCCAGGAACCCCGCGAAGTACCACTGGGTCGGCCATGACCTGGTCACACTTGTCGTGTTGCCCAGTCTGTCGTTGTTTTCGCGAGATGGGAGCAGCGTGGTGGAGGTGCTTGATGGCTTTCGCGTGTTCCTTGAGCACCTTCTCTTCTGGAAAGACGGCACGTACGAAATCTGGGATCCGCTGCCCGCTTGGTGGTTGTATCACGTCTATTGGCCTTTTCAGTTCGCCTTTGCGTTGACAACAGGCCGGAAATGGAGTCGTGTTAATGTCAGTACAACTAAGATATTTAACTGCTAAAGGTACTTTAGAGCGTAACGTTAATTTTCTTAATTGTAATGGAAGCCTAGCTTTCTTTATGATAATGTAACAAAATCAAAAGGAAATAACGTTAGTTAATCGTCTAACTTAACCAATGCTGCCCACAAGTCAAAGCGCCAAGCCAAGGCTTGGCTCAACGCAAGTCAAAGCAAGTCAAATCGACCCCAAAATTTGGTCAAAGCAAGTCAAGTCGAAGGCCGCTCGACTTGACTGATTTGAGGTCAGAATTAACTACCTTTAAAGCTATTCCCAGTATCTCGAGCACTCCAGGAACGCCAATTTGAGGGTTTTTCTAGTGTTGCGGTTGATGTGGGCTCAAAAACAGGGGGCAAGTGTCCATAACCCGGCTGGCCCAGGTGGGTCATCGGGCCGGAAAAACCCCCCACCCGGTAAAGCTCGGGCCCGGCCATGGGCCTCCAAACAACCAACTGTACAACGATGTAACAAACAACAACAGGCAACGTCTTCCTCGCCTTTCCACGATGGCCTTCAACCTCCTTACTATTCCAGCGATGTCTGCGGAGTGCCAGAGGGTGTTCAGCAGTGCGAAGCTTACAGTGGGCTTAAAACGCCAGAGCCTCGAAGACAATACTATCAACATGGTGGAGTGTCTGAAACAGTGGGCAAAGAGGCAGTAAAGACTGGGAGACTCGGATCTGGGTGGCTCGGGGGGGGGGGGGGGGGGGGAAAGGGGCCCGGTGCGGAACAACCTATTCCGGGGGATTATGTAAGCGGCTTGGCAAAGCTTTGGGTCAACGCAAGTCGAGGCACTGACAAGGCAAGTCGAGTATCTCTAGCCTCAAATCAAAGCAAGTCGGTGTGCCGATTTGACTTGATTTGCCTTGTGGGCAGCACTGAACTTAACTACGGATCTGTACAGTTGGGGGTCCAGTACGGAAGCCGATAGGCACAAAACGAACATAACCACCTTAGCACTCGAGCACTGCGACCATTTTGATTAGCTTGCACCAGGGTGTGATTAGAATAACACTAGCGTAACCCCCATTACTACATCTTTGATCCATCTTAAAGACAAAGCCCAACGCTGGCCAATCAGAGCCGAGAATTGATTTCCTGCATCGCATATGCAGCCGCACCGCCACAAATCTTCCCTAACTTCCTCTTCCTCCACAACAGTGAGCCACCTTTGGGTATGCTTACCACCAAGCTTCGATATACATTCTAGTACTGACGCGTATTCCTCCTGTAGCTGCAGTACGACTCCTACTCTCCCCACGAGACCTTCCGCAATTGCAAAAAACCCGCAGTACAAGGACAACACTCGCGAATACAAGATGTCTGATTCTGATGATGACCGGTCCGCGGTCGCCCCGCCCATTACCGAAAATCCCGAGGTTCAGCCGGTCGATGTCCCCTCTATGACGGGGGAAAACGAGGACCCCGCCTCCCCAGGCGAGAACGAAATTAGCACTGACGTTCCTGCTGGTTCGATTGCGGATACGGCGGCAAACATGTCGGATATTCCAATGGCCAGCGGAATACAGCACCCTACTCAGCAAAACGAAATTCTCGCGCAGCTTGCGCAGATCCCGCAGGACCAGTTGGCCAACTTCCTTCGCGTTTTAGCGGGCATGAGCACTGTCGCTCAGGGCGGTAATTTAACGAACATTCTTCCTGCTAGTTCTGCCGCAGGTACCGGTCCCGATACACCGGCCAAGCCTAGTTCTCGTCCGGCTGCAACGGGTACTCGCGAGGACGATAGCCTACACGAGTTTGACAATACCTCGACACATCGCTCCCGCCATGTCGCAAATCGTTCTCGTCGGGACATGGTTTCCGCCTCTGTCATAGAGGATGACGATCTGGAAGACGACACTCCTCGTCTTGGCCGCCAACCAGCCAGAACGACCACACAGAAGAACGAGTATAATTGGGTACTCGGCGACCAGACCCTCCCAGTAGCGGCGCTTTCAGGGGTTACGCCTCCCTCTCGTAACCCGCTGATGTACACCGCATACATCCTCAACAATCTCGCCCGATCTAGTCCCGATGAAAACTTGCTTTGGTCGATCCTACGCGCTGGTGGTGGAGTATGTTCTCCCTCTCCTGTAACATTTACAAGATCGTACTCACCTTCGTCAGATCCGGTACATTGTTCGTCTTCTTAAGGTCAAGGAGCGTGCTCAGGGTCCAGACGGCACGTCGTACGCCGTACTCAAGTGGGGTCGTCCTCAGCAGCGTACTGGTATGTTTATTATTATTGTTTGTCTTACACTTGTTGTACTAATCTACATTAGCTATTGCTGCCTATGCAAAGCTCGCACAGACTAATAACGGGGTCTCGTGTACTACCTGCCAGAACGCTTCGAGTGTCGGCCCGTTCCGGTCATGCATTGCGACGGGCGAGTTCAGTGGCGCTTGTACGAACTGCCAATATCATTCACGTGCTGCCCAGTGCAGCCTACGTAACGGCGCTGACGAGACTGGTATGTTTTTATCCTGTCTCATCTTTATAAATGCTTATAACGTATCAGGAACTGTTCAGCGCGGTATCAAGCGTGCCCGAACCGATATATCACCATCCGAGCAGCGTCCTCGCCCCCGTACTAGCGCTAGTGGTTTCCGCCACGACAGTGCTCGGCTCCAGAACGAGGACCATATTCACCAGTCTGGAGCGGCACCTAGTGGTACCTCTGCCAAGCAGCTCTTCCGCATTCTCTTCTGTTCTATGCCGACAGCAGAGCTGGAGGCTATCGTTAAGGACGGTCGCCTAGAACTTGACCGTCGTGGCAGCACCATTTGAGCTTCTGGGGCTGGAGATTACGACGATTACGATTGGGTCTTTATGGTACGGAGTTTGGGATGTGAGATGCATTGGGTTACGGGCTCTCTTTTCCTTCTGCTAGTTGAGAGTATTCCTGTGTAGGGCGTTCGTCCGTTTTTGAGCATTCACTAGCGTAGTCTCCTGTTTTACGTCGTTGTCTTGCCTGTAGCAGCCCATGTCTACAAATAGCGTATCGTTTTGGCGAGTTCTGCACCAGAAACACGCTATGCTAAGACTACGCCCCACTTAATATCTGGCAAAATTCTCTCACTTGGGTCTCTTTCTAATTTTGTCTTTGCGTTCACTTTTGTAATTGTGTAGTAATGCCTCGTGCTCCGCGTCTCAATTGGGAACAGCTTCGTCCCCAGATCACCAGCTTGTACCAATCTGGTGCAACCTCTCAGGCTATTACATCTTATCTTCTTGATGAAACCGGAGTCTCAATCACTCCAACGCATCTTCGTCGTCTTCTCCAGTCATGGGGTGTACCGCGCCAGCGCCCTAGAGCAGAAGTGACTCCTGACCTTAAGGAGCGTATCGAAGCACTCTTCTTTCAGCATGCCTTAACAGATGCCGAGATTGTAAAGGCTCTAGAACAAGAAGGAACAAATGTAATGTACCGTAGTGGGCCGGTAATACTATAATGTACTAATTAGTGGTAGTGTACTGGCCAATATAGAGGGTCGTCGTGATTGCAATTGACAGTCGTGGCGAGCTATCAGCGTTCCGAAGGTGACGAGCACTACGGTCACGCTCACGTATACTAGCCTCTGCTGCTTCAACGAAGCTGAGGCTAGGGGTTCCGCTACGCGTGTTGGTATACGCCGCGTTTCGACGCCCAGGGGACGAAGAGTTGCGATGGTTGTACACATCTGTACAACGCGCCACGGGGGTGTTCGGGCGAGCTTCAATATCTTGTCCCTGACTTTCTTGACTACGGCCAGCCGCAGGAGCATCGAGTCGATAAGCCGGTCGATCTGAGCCTGGTCAATGGTCCTTCAACACTCCTTCAGACACCTAACGAACTGTCACAGCGGGACAGGCGCACAATCCAATGACAATTGTATTCGGGCTAAACTACAGTCTAAGCTCTATTCCGTCAGGTACGGGCAGGCTTGATTGTCAAGACGTAGCTCGAGGAGCTACGAACAGATCTCGCGGCAGCGAGGTGCAGAATATTTAACCCACAGGGGCCCGTGCTTTCCACATGCCGGGTTCCACCCGTGGGTCCTAGCAGGCACGGCGCAATCGCCGTGACACGAACATAGCAATATCCAGTTGATTTTTCTTAAGCTCATATATATCAGGGTATAGCTTTTTCATCTTCCGTTTCAATAGGGCCCAACTATACCTAAATGGATTGAGATCTGAGCTATGAGCTGGCTAATTTCAAGGACTTCAATTACGTAGTTGAGGAGCCACTCGGTGGAGGACGCTGAAGTATATACCCGAGCATTGTCCTGCTGAAAATGCCTTGTACCGTCATGAGGAGGAAGGAGGCCCTTTCTCAGTGCTTATTGATAAAGCGCCCGCTAAACGCAGGAAGGCATTAGAAGGAGAAATAGCTATATAATCGCACCGTCCCCCAGACCTCTCCTGTGCCACGCTATGACGGAACATATGGAATTCAACACCCTACTTTATAGACCTCAGTAGCTTGACAACGGCCTCGTGGCCGTAGAGGGCGTCCCACGACAGCGCCGTCCGTCCGTCGCGATCCTTCGCTTCGACATCGACCTTGCCTGTATCGAGCAGTAGCTTGACAATGGCCTCGTGGCCCTCCTCGACGGCCCGCGACAGCGGCATCCGTCCGTCGTTATCCTTCGCATCAACCGCAGCGCCCCTCTCGAGGAGCTTCCTGTTGGATTTGGCAGGTGGTCAGAGAGGGCAGTTCAGGGGTGACCAATGGCTTGGCACCAGGATTCTCAGGATCAGGAACAGGCAGGGAACTTCTGGAAGAACACAGACAGGTACAACATCATCAATTGAGTGGTTGCCCATCTTTTTGATACCCAATTACTACGGTGCGGCACATTCGTGGCTGTTGGCTTTCCAACACTTCCGCACAACTTCCTCATACCCCTTCTCCGCCGCATATAGCAGCGGCGCCCATCCGCCCCTGCCTTTACCGCCCTTGTCTTTAACGAACAGATCTCCCCAGGCTGCCCAACTTGCACAACTCGATTCTAACCTATGCGCGCTTCTCAGGACCATAACGCCCATTTCCACTGACTTCTGTAAATTGTTTACTGCCTCCTTGTATCTTCCAAGACTCTCTAATACCCGCCCCACCCACCATAATCTAGTCGCTCTATCTAGGTCCTTTTGTGCTTGCGACTTGTGATCGAATAGCCCTTGTCCACTTCGGAAGATCTTGGTACTCTTTGGCCTGCACGCGATCCTGAGATGTATCCCAGTCCCAGATAAGCAGGAAGTCGTCTAGGGATTCTAGACGTTCTGACCACTTGGTATTTGGAATATCTGAATTGTCTACAAAGGAAACCGCAATCTTGATAACAGCCGAGAAATCTTTGTGCAGCCTAATGATTGAAGGCCTTGATGCCCCTTGGAGGAGGCAGATGATATCCCGTGGTCGGATTGGTTTTGCTGATGCTGGGAGGGTGAAGGACTGGCTCCGACCTTTGGGCGTGACCTTCCAAGTGATCGTATCTCCTTCAACCACAGATACTTCGCCCAAAACACAACCCTTGCCGCTGATCATCGCTACCTCCTTCCCGTCCTAAGTCTCAACAGACAGCTGGTTTCAGAGGGAAAAGGTAACAAGTTTCCTAGAGACCGTTTCCCACGAAGCACCGTAATCGGCTAATACCCCTGCCGCCCTGGGATCGTCGGAGCTATACCAAGCAAGGCATAAACTTTGTCCGATAGATAGCGAGAATCTGCCCCGCTCAATCGCGTTGTATCTCGGCTGGAAGACGGTGTTTCTGATGAGGTAGGTTATTGGAGGGATCAAGCCGCGCAGGTTTGGGTCGTCGTCGTAGAGCGACTGGAGTGCATCCAGGCCTGAGCCGAACGTATATCCGTCAATCTCGGTGGCCCGCATTTGACGAGAACATGCCGAGCTGCGGCAACCTCCTGAAGGACCTAATTCAAGTGAACCTTATTGGCGCTCCACTGGTAGTCTGGAGCGCGCCCCTCGTCCTTACCCAGATGCCTGACGCCGATTGCTGTGTGTTTGAGCCACGGCAGGTCTCTTGAACGTGTGGGCGCACAGCCGCTCCGGGCGCTTGCTTGGCCCTTCCCGGGAGGCTAGCTGTCCCTTTTCCATTAGACAATGACATCCTCTGTGTCAGATGGTGTCTGCTCGATTGGCCGCTGTGCCGCACTTGTCTGAACGGGTTCTGCGGCGCAGCCAGCTTCACCGTTTTCTTAGAAAACGGACAGCCCTACAGAGGAAAAGAGGCGCCCGTTTTTGGGTCCAGTAGCCCCCTGTTTTTGACCCCTCTTCTCCCAAAAGGTAAGCCTTTAAGGGCTGTCTTTGCTAGAGCAGGTGCAGCCCATGGGCCCGAGTTCTTCCAACCCTGGTTGCCTAAGCTTCCCCAAATGGTCACAGTTACGTAGCCAGCAGAGTTTCTCGACCCGCCTCACCTGCGGCTACAGAGCGCCGTTCCTTCGGTGACGAACGCGTTCACTAGCATCACAAAATCCGTGCATAGAGGCACACCACAGCGCCCAGCACAACCGTTCTGATCCGACCCAGATGTTACTACCTAATTTGTTGCTTACAAATAGTAGGTGCAAGAAGCTGCTGAGCCAACGCATTCCTCCCTCGAACATCGAACATCGGATGGCACAATACTGGGCTTGTTCAGAATACCCATGGGATGGGGAAATGTTATATATTATTATTCCTACACCGCTGTGCCCTAGGGCGTGCCGGACCTTCAACAACTTACTATACAGGAAAACCGCGCCCTCGTGGGCCGGGTGAAAAACCCATATCGACAATCAAGGAAACGATCAGTGTGCGATCCTGCAAATACAAAGTGGGAAGGCCTCTTGGCCTTCGAAGGGAAGGGATATCAGACCGCGAGCTCCAGCTCCCGCCTCCTGGCCAGACTGTACATCGGCAGTTTCCCCGAGTCCATCAGCCAGTCCAGGATCCTCTCCGTTAGCCGTGCAGCTTTGGGACTGATTCCCTGTAGGACAGAATAAAAGTCCCTTCGCGTTCTGACCTCGGCTCTCTCCCCTCTTCGAGTCAACGGTGGGCCAAGCACCACATCACAAGGTGTTCGACAGTCTCTCGCCCCTCTCCACACTCGCATATAGGCGTCAGAACCTCTGGGGCTCTCCTTTCGAATAAGAAAGCCCGAAGGCCTATGGCCCCGGTTCGAATCCGGATCAACAGTGAACTCTTCGCTCTGCTGAGGCCGTCGTGTCTCCTTAGGGTTTTGTCTTGGAACAGAGTCTCGTGCTGGTGGTCAAGGTCATCTGCGGGCCTCGTTGCTGTCCGGCCGTCTCGTTCCTTGAGCCACCTCTCTCTCCAGGCCTCCTCCATTACTCTGTCCGTGTCGGCAGTCCCTCCCGTCCAAACTGCAATTGTGTTGGCGGCTTTTTCTACCGCTGTGGGCTCCTGCGGCCCAAAGGCTCGCGGTCGGCTCCTGTTATCCGTCCTCGAGTTGAGTATCTGAACTCCAAAATTATCCCGACAGCAAATTTTCGTCTTTCTCGCGTATACCGTCAAGAATTCCGCGGTCTTCGTCTTCGCCGAACATCGTCGACAGACGCCGCGACCATCGTGGTCGCGATGAGCGACGCTCCTGCTCCCGCCGTCGTTACTGCCGCAGCTCAGGTTGCCGCAGTCGTGGTTGGTCTCGAGACCGACGGGACCGTTCCCTTGAGCGGCGTCGCAGCCGCTCCCCGACCCTCCGCTGCCGCCGCCATGAGAGTCCGATTTACCCGGACTATTGGCCCGCTCGAGACCGATCTAATGAGCCCAGCCCTATTGCGGTTCTCTGTTCGGGTATCCGTCACGAGGAGAGCGTTGATGTCCAAGTAGTCCCATGTCTTGTACCGGTCATGTTTCTCGGCATGCCACTTCTTGGAGAACTCAAGCGAGTGCGGGTACGCGGGCAGCGGCAGCTCGTCCGGGTACTTCTGCGCGCGGGTGACGACAAGGTTAGTTTACAGCAGCGCAGCGTCCGCGGTCCGGTAAGGGCTCCTGCGGGCCTGATTGACCACGAAGAGTGTCCAGATGTCGCCATCCGTGTACTTGGCCCTTAACACGTAGCAGTCCTTAGGTAAATGCGAGCCAAGATCACCGCAGAAGGGACACGCAGGGAAGTCCCCGATGGCGGGATCAATCATCATGCACTGATTGACTGTGTGGCTCCGTCTGCCCCAAGCGAAGCAGCGCTCGTTGGGCTCGGGGTTGACATGGAGCCGAGCCTCCTCGGCCGCGCTGACTCGGCCCTGGAGGGACTTTAGCAGACGCCGGCCGTTCCCAATGCGGAACTGGCTACCAGGCTGGGTGCTGACCCTATTGTGGTCGGGAAGTTGGGGAACCTTCTGGATCAGGTTGCGGTATTTGCTGAGGCTATGCTCCTTCATGAAGCTGCGGATTTTCGCGTGTCCGTCAAAAGCCGACCGGCCACAGCCAGACAATTTCCTCTCATCAGCAGGATCCGTTGCCCTTCAAAGCGACCAGCAGCGGCATCTGGGCCGCTTGGGAGGACCTGTGCGTCAGCCAGGCTCTCGAACTCGATCTCGGCCTGCACGATCCCGGCCCTCTCGGACAGGTCAACCGGCGCCTGCTTGTATCTCCCGTGTTCTCCTCGACCTCGGCTCCAGTCACGGCTGCGGGACCGGCTTCGGTACCGATTGCGTTTGTTGTCCCGATGAGGGGAGCGGTTTCGGCCGCGGCGGCTACCGTTCTGGCGGCGGGACTTGGTGGGTTCAGTGGTTCACGTCGGCGGTCCCGATTATTGTCCCGGCGGCGGGAGTAGCTTCTGTCCCGTCGCGTGCGACGGTAGGACTGCTCATGGTACATGTAATCACCATGGGAACCACGGCCACGGTGGCCTGGACTTGGGCTGCTGTCCCGGATGTAGCGACCACGGTAATCGCCACACGACGAGGTAGAGTCGCGTCTGCAACCAGAAGTTTCATTGCGCGTCATCCTTGACACTTGTAGTGGACAAACGACAGAATCTTGTTGTTACATTTGTTGCTGCTGGTGCTTGGTATTTTTTTGTCGTTGAGGGTCAAGTAAATCTGATTCAGATGAGCGGGATCGAACCTGGAAGCGAGGACACCGAATCTTCTTGCTCCGTGTTTTCTTACAGTTGTGGGCTCTCACCATGCAGAATTCCACTCCAACACGCAACCACGTAAGGTGGTCTGTTCCTTGAATCTGGCAGCGAACAAGATAATGTCGGGTTCCCAACATCGAACTCGCCGAGCCAGAAGCCAGGGCATATCCCACGAGACTTGGAAAAACAAACCTGCGATTTGCGAGCTTTGCCTCCGGCAACAGAAGACGTACAAGGATGTCACTTTCATTTTGAGAAGACACCATGTCTTTGACATCGAGTACATGTTGCTGCCAGCAAAACAATGGTTTGGCTTATACTTGTCAGTTGCAACCCGCTTTGTTCGGTGCCGACTGACAGTCTGAATCTTACTTGGCACTTTCTACAGCCCTGCCAACAGGTCTCTCAGTTCTCGCTCCTCGTTCATGCCTCAGCATATTTCTCTTCTTGATCGAGCGGGGCTTAAACTTCTTCCTCGTTGCATAGCTTAACGATGACCGCAGTCTGTTATCCAGCATCGGCAACCATGGCCGGCCCCCCAAAAAAGCCCCTGCTTACGTTGGACCAGCTCCTCTGAGTGGTTGCCCTGGTGTTGCATACACAGCCACAAAGGAATGCCATAGCAGCGCATTGGCGGCCTCCGACTATATTAACCGGATCTCAATGTCAACAATCCGGATTTCTGATTCGAGAACCGGGGCCGTGGCATTTCCTTAGACCCCCAATACAGTGGCCAGCATCCTGCTACACTGATTTGACCGGTTGCCACAACACTTATCTCTTCTACAACCCCCAGTATTCCTTGCTGAAATCACGCGAGAGCAGGGTTGCATCAAAGCTTCGCCAACAGAACAAGGCTGCAGGTCAAGACAGCCAAGAATGGCAGTGCCAACACTTCTCGTGACCAACGGAGACCGAGCAGCGGAAGAGATAAATTGTTCCACAACCGCAAAGACCTCGCTCTGCTCCGATTCCCAGACTTCCATTCCTCAGAGCCTTCACCCCACCACATCATCACCAAGGCCTACCAACACCAAGCCCACACAAAAGCCTCTTGACAGATATGGACGACTCCACGAACAAACAACCCTCTTCCAACCCCCAAAAACCTCCCTCTCTCCACTCCGTCGCCTCCTCAACCACCCTCGCCGTCAAAGCCGACCCCGAAGCCCAGTCCACCACCCAACAAGAGACAGAGTTCATCCCCGAGCGGTACACCTATCTCAAGAGAGTCGGGCCGGGCAACCCCGACGCCAAGCCAAAGGAGAAATCCAAGTTGGGCAAGCTCATGTCCAAGTTCCAGAGCCCTGCCGTCAGAAAGACCCTCGCGGCGCGCGAGCGGGAGAAGCTGGAGGAGGAGCGCACCGGCCTTAAGAAGCATACGGCGTTTGGTGGGCCGATGTCGACAAACGCCGCTACGGCTGCTTTCATGTAACGTAATGGGAAAACTGGGGGGCTTTGGTGATATTAAGGCAATCGGTTGGAGAGGGTTTGGTCTGGCTTCTTCTTCTAATTACTGCATGTTCTCCATTTCCCTCCAAAGTTCCCTCCTTCTGTTTGCACCCTCCGCCTATTCTCCCCTCGTCTCGCTTCAAGAGCCAAAGCCATCCCGTTCTCGTACGTCCACGCAAGCCCTTCCCCCGAAGTCCCAGACCTGCTCCAACGCCATGTAATGCAACGTTTCTCAACACATCAGTACCATCTGATAAAACCCTTCTGTCATGCCAAAAGCTCAACCATCCGATTCTCAGTCCTCATCATCCCCATTGTCCTCAGACTCCTCGTCGTCGTAACTACCCATCCATCAAAGTCCGAGTAAATTATCAGCGAGTCGTGGGTGTCAGCGAGTCGTGGCCTCAGGTATTTTTAGTGTATATCAGTCGCAGAAAAGTACCCTGGATGGATGGATGGAATTTACTGTATTTCGCCCGGAGGCACGAAGCCTAAAGGGCCTTGGCACGCTAACTACATCCAATTCGTTGACGTTCGGTCATCAACTCGTACAAGCCCTCTACTCGTTTCCCCTGTCTCACGCCACTAACTATTGCCTCGACTGGGTTTTAGCAGATCGACTTGGAGGCTACGTTCTCCAAGTGTTCAGCGTCCTATCTTCAGCAGCTAAAGCGGAATCTGCTGGCTGAGGCTGTGTGGTGTTAGTGGAATTCCCCTACTGTGAATGAATGATCCAATCTCCGTCCTGCCTCGTCAAGATCCAATCTCCCTGTCACCATTGCGTACTTGATCGTTGCCCGGACTGCTTTCGTGTCTGGCGACCACATCTTTGGATCCGATGGTGCTTTCCCTCCCAGGTAGAATGAGAGGCTCCCTCGCCTTGCCACTGTGCATTGCAACATGTCTTCCCTCAGAGCTGGCCATCTCACGCATTGCAGTAGAAAATGTTCCACGGTTTCCCTCGCTCGGCCGCAGGGACAAAGGTCTGACTTGACCGCTCCGATTCTGCTTAGAAAGCCGTTCAGCCTCGCCATTCCGGTTTGGAGTTGTGCCAAGATGCAGGCCTCTCTTAGTTTCAACTTGTCGTAGAGATCGCGAGTGTGCTTGCCAGGTAGTGCCATGTCCAGAGCCTTTGAGAATTTGCCTGCGCCTTCGGGGAGAACTCTCCTCTGTTGTCGTTTGTTCAATGCCAGCCTGATTACAGTGCCCTAAAATTGTTAAGGTGCACTAACAATATTTAGGTATTCTGTTCTACAGGGAATCAGTCCCAAAGCTGCACGGCTAACGGAGAGGATCCTGGACTGGCTGATGGACTCGGGGAAACTGCCGATGTACAGTCTGGCCAGGAGGCGGGAGCTGGAGCTCGCGGTCTGATATCCCTTTCCTTCGAAGGCCAAGAGGCCTTCTCACTTTGTATTTGCAGGATCACACACTGATCGTTTCCTTGATTGTCGATATGGGTTTTTCACCCGGCCCAGGAGGGCGCGGTTCTCCTGTATAGTAAGTTGTTGAAGGTCCGGCACGCCCTAGGGCACAACGGTGTAGGAATAATAATATAATTAATAAAGGAGGCAAATTTACAGCTTCAAGCCCAGCTTGCTGTTACCTGCACTGTAATATCTGAGTGAGGATCCCTGGCATGAAATGGCTCAGCTCCTTATTAGCTCTCAAGCACCCAATCCGACGACTTTATGCGCCGCATCTCAATGTTGCCGCTGTCCTCTGGCCCCCTTCATCCCCAGCAGGCTTGCCACTAATGCTAGAAATCACAACGTTCAAGACCTCGTTTCCAACCCCAAACAGCAGGAACAGACTCAAGACCTGCCCAAAAGTCCAGTCCCTCTCCTCGTCGCTTACACGGTTCCGGGCGACCATCTGCTCGAGCGAAACGATGGCGTAGATGGCCATACCCGCGTAGGCGACAATATTGATGGAATCCCGAATCCACGTGGCGGTCGACTCGTCGTTGCTACATGTATCGAACGACGGCCTCTCTCGGCTGGAGCTCGAATCTCGCAATCTCCAGGCCCCGTGACGCAAGCAACACCACATTCCCATCCAACACGTCGCGGAGAGGAAGAGGGAAATAACAAAGACGCCCGGAACAGACGCAAACGTAGCGAGGATGATGTAGCGGAATACATCGTTGGTCGCCGGGATGCTCACGCCAAACAGCACGTAGACAACAGTCGAGTTACACTCGGGCTGGCTCCCGAACGTGGGCGCGCGGCTCCAGACTAGGACGTTGAAGGCGACAAAGGCCGCGACGGTGACGAGGTACACGACCTCGTTGATGATGCGGTGGGCAGTCTCATTACTGTGTCCTGGCACCGCCGCGCCTGTGGTCAGCGTGATGCCGAGCAGGGCGAGCAGGTGCAGCACGACGACGGCGTGGAAGAGCGTGAGTCGGTCGTGGGCTGTCTGGTAGAGTGCCGTCGACAGCAGCGCGAGGCCCTGGATGCTCATGGCCGTTCGCAGGCTCCGGTTGAAGCTGTTTGCGTTGGGGGTCGGCGAGACCATCTTGACGAGGAAGCCGACGATGCGGCCGCCGAGACATAAGGAGTAGGCGGATATGCGGATCTGCAATAGCCGTGGTAAGTTGTCGGGCCCTTGGAGGTCTTTGGCTTTCAGGTTCACGTACCCCAACGCCGCTTACGTCCGGGTTCGCTTCGATGATACACTTGGTTAAATTCATTGGTGTTGTGGCTGCTTCGGTAACTTGAACCCAGGTATGGAAGTCGACCCTTCATAAGCTCATCGCGCGAACGATTAAAACCACTGGTGACTGCCCATGCTCAGCCAAGGCGCTTCGTTGATTTCGGCGCATAGCCACTGTAGTTGCCTTACGCTTGCCGCTTCGTCCCGTCCAGTCCCCGAATGAGGCGCGGCAGTGCATGCAGTCTGCCCTGCCATTGGAGTGAGACGCGAGACCCCCTGCGGGTTTATAAAGCTCTGGTCTGGTTCCAAGCTGTTCAACTTACCCCTCACTCCATCCCTGAGCTGCGTCCTGTCAACTCTTAAAATTAAGGAAACCAATTATTAGCTACTCAGCATGTCGGAGACCGACACCGACTCACTACTGCAGCGCTGTACGCAGTGGCCCCTTACTATCCGTCGAGTACAGTAGGTGGATTTGTTCGACGTTGGCTAATTGCCGTTCGCAGTGCTGTTTGTTATAGGCATCTCCGCCGTCGATATCTTGTTCAATGCAGTCGCTGGTGCGGCTGCTGTCGCCACCGGTGCCCATGTCAACGGCGAGGGTGCCACTGCGTTCGCGATCCGTGTCGGCGTCCTCGCCGCAGTGACCAAGTCTGGCGTGCGAGCATTTGTCGCTTTCCTGAGTCTTGCGAGCATGGATATCGCCAGCTGGAGCCTTTTGGTCCTCGTCCTCTCCAAGTTCGGCATCGCTGTGCTGGTTACTGCGCAGGTTTGCAGCCAGGTGCTGGGGCATGGTGCGTGGACCTGCAACTTAGTCAAGGGCAAATCTAATCAATCAACTTGCAATGGAAACAGTGCCGTCTCCGCTCCTCATTGCCGCCATCGTGGCTGCCATACCGTGGCAGGCAGAGGGTTATGGGCCTGTGATACGTAAGCATGCTCGGTTCTTGTGCATTTTCTCGCGGCGCCCATACTAAGGTTTCCCGGCATCAAGGCTGTGGCGGCAGTTCAAGTTACTCACACTCGAATGGTTACCGCACTATCACTTCCACAACACACCGCTTCGATCCGTGCCGGTTTTTTTGCCTTTACATTTACATCATTGGGTGGGACGCCCTGGCTGGACACACATTTGCCCGCATGGCCCAGAACCAAGGTGCGTACCTTAGCCGAGTGTACTTGGACTGTCTACCTTCAGGCTACTTAGTTTATCCCTTCGACGCTCTAACCCGCCAAAGGAATGAGCATCTGCGCTCTTGGAGCGGCAGCAGCAGCCGGCGGAGTGTTTGGCGTTGTGTCAGGGATATCGACCGTCATCGAGCTCGTCGTCACCTTCTTGAGAGGTCGCCGACAGACCACGGTCACATATTCCTCGGCTGACGAGCTTGAGCCACTTATTCTTCAGGAAAGGCTCGGGGCCAGAGTTGGGGGGCAAGAGCGTTTCGATTTGACTCGAAACGGCGGGAGGGCTTGAGCCAGCAATGAACTCCAAGGTCGTCTTGTTCAAAGTGAGAGTGACCCGGGACTAAGACATCTCGGCAGCTCTCCGCACCTGGCTACTGCTGCTACCTGCATTGTAATAATTGATGCAGGCAATTATTTGATTATCCGAAGAATCCCTCCAGCTGGAATCAATGTCTCAACTCGTTACTCGTTGGCTCTCGTGTACCCAATCCAACGGTATGTGCCACACTACCGCAGTACAAATAGACCGCAACTAACACGGAAAGCCAAGACGACCGTCTTGTATGGTTTCGCGTTCGTGGACATCGATATCGCTGTCGGGGCTCCTCGAGCTTGGCAAGGAGCCCGGCAGACAAGATAACCCCTGCTTGAACTCCCCCCGCAATTGCTACTTGTAGGCAACCCCGACATCCCGAATGAGTCGGATCTCCTTTTCGCCAACATTCAACCAATGATACTGGCTGTCTATCTCCTCAACCACAGAACAATATCAACGACGAGGAGGAAGGAGCGATGAAATCGTGCTGAAGAACTTGAAGTGCGTTTGCATGTGTTAGGCGCTATCAACAGAAAATTGTGTGACTTCTTTCTCCCGATATCAATGTTGGCCGAAGCCGGCCGCAAGAAATCTTTGGTGCCCACACGATGCTCAAATGGGTGGCGGATTGCCACGGTGCCCAGCAAAGCTGAGTGGAATTTTTCCCGATATAGCCGCCCTTAACTGAGGGATCACAGCTGGCAGGACCGGGGCTCGCCGCCACAGGAGGGGCGTAAAAGATCTGGTCGTCGAGGCAGACTAGTGCCATTGCGCTCTCAGTGAGATACATGACTTGTTGGAAAACCAACAGCCACGATTCCCGGGTGTTATACCGACGAGAGATCACGACAGTGGGTTAGGTGCTCCAGAGCACCAAGAGGTGAATTTTTATTGATGGTCCTTAATCCCCCTCATCTCCAGCGGTGGGCATCGCACTGATCTTGTTAAATAATTTGTTCACAGCCCCTGTCGCTCCTCAACAGTAGGGCATCGGCATCCCAACTTCCGAGTTTCAAGTTCCATGACTTCCAGCAACAAGCGTTTCAGAGTACTGCGACTTTCCAACATGACTATACACTCCCCAAAATACGTCCCAATCTCCTTGAAGCCCATAACGTCCGTTGTACCAGTTCTCTGCGGATTCTCGTGGGTTTAGTAGAGTTAGTACAGAGATCCACGTCAAACGTTCTGTTCAGGACGCCACCCTCGTTAATTGATTTAGTCCTTCTTCCGGCCCTTTTTAGGTCCATTTCCACCTTCTAACTGAATGATTTGCTCAATGTACGGATTACTATAGAATCCTCTCAATCCACGCCTGGATTTGCTCCTACGGCAAGTTCTTCCAACACTCCTCCCATACCTTGATTGTCTCCTGCCGGCTCTTCGGTGCTTCTTTCTTTGTTATATATCTCTTCATCTATGACTATTAAGGCTCAATTGGATTGAGATCCAATGAATTTCCTGACCACAGTATTTGTATAACCTAGTGAAGATTATAAACTCTGCCTTAGTGTGACGAATCTCAAAGCCCCAACTTCTGAAAGGGACTCCTGAAGGTTATACTTGACAACGGGGTGAGGTTCGGTGAAGCCAAAGGGTTCACAACAAGCAATGTCCAAGGGTACTGACAATCTTGCACTTGAGTTGCTTACTGGAGAACTCCCAGAGTCCTCCAGAACGAGTGACTATATACTAGATGCATTTGGTTGCTCTCTCGTGCTCTCTAGAGCCACCTAGAGCCAATGCTCTATGGTGCTCTCGAGAGCCTCTTAGAGCGTCCTCTGATTGGCCTTGCACTGGTGCTCTCTCATGCTCCTGAGAGCTCTCTGGAGCACCTCTAGGACTCGTTCCGATTGGTCCTAAGTGATTGGCTCGAAACGTCCTACGTTCCCCACTGGCTTCTGCAAGTAAGCCGCCGTTGTTGACTCTCGTTGGTTCATTTGTGACACGATGCCCCTCCTCCATGGTCGACGTCCCGACGACCAGGCTCCTTCTCTTCCTGAAATAGAACCAACAGTTTCATCCACCTTGGTGCGTAGCGTTTCTCCTCTCGCAATGCCTCCGTCATGGCTGACCGTATACGCAAGCGAAAGAACCGAGACGGTTCTAGCACCCAGCGCCGCCGTCGTCTTGCCGAGTTCTCGTCCTCGTCCGGATTCCTCATGCCTAAGTGCTCTTACTGCCACGAACACGGGCTTGATTGCCATGTGTCCGGTACCTCGAATCGCTGTGGTCCTTGCAACCGGGTAAACCGCCCATCGTGCGATGTCTGGGGCCTCGACCCCGGCACTTGTAGGGTTCTCCTTGGGCGATCGTTGGCGGTGGGTTGACGCTTCTTAGTTCGTTCGTTTCTTTCGGAGAAAGACAAGCTTGATCGTGAAGAAGAGGAAACGCTAGCGAAGTTGCTTCGTCTTCGCAAGCAGAAGCGGGCCTTGGAGGAACGAGTGAAGAAGGCGGTATCTCGCGAGCTTCGGGATATTTCGGAGCTTGAGCGCGAAGAGGGGTTGGCGTCCCTTATTCCTTCTGGCGACTCCTCGTCAAATGCCTTGTCGGCTCAGGCTGTCCCTGGTCCTTCTGTCTTTTCTTCGCTGGACCCTGCCCTGCTAGACCATTTGGTGGGTTTCGACTGGTCTGCAGGTCCTTCGTTCCTGGGCGATCAGGGTGTTGTCGGTGGAACTCCCTCAACTTCTCAGGACAGTGGAGGTTCGTAGCTGGTTGCCATGAGTTTTCTTCGGGTCCGAAATCGAGCCATTTGACGAGATACTCGAGTTGTCCCTTTACAATGCGTGAATCCAGAATTTCTTCAACGTCCCATTCTTCTTCTTCATCTTCAGCGTCCACGTCCGTAGCGAGCCGTACGTTCTTTGGTGCTGGTTCCAAAAGTGAAATATGAAAAACGTTCGTCTTCAGCCTCATCGTGGCTGGTAATGACAGTCGGTAGTTGGATGTCGAAATTCGTTCGTCGACCTTGAATGGTCCAATCTTTTTGAAGTCCAGCTTCCTGCTTGGTCGTTTTGTTCGAAGATTCCGTGAAATAAGATAGACCTTGTCTCCCCTCTCTAGGCGAGGTCCCTCGAGCCTGTGTTTGTCGTAATATTTCCTCATCCTGTCTCTGACAAACTCGAGTTCTTCCTTGAGCATCGCGTGCAGCGCGTGCATCTGGTCTGCCTTGACCTTCGCCCTGGGAACCGATCCTTCGGGTCCCTGGCGTAAATCCGCTTCGTAGCCGTAGTTCGCAAAGAACGGTGATACCTTCGTAGTTTCGGTTGGCGTCGTGTTATACGCAAGCTGCGCCGCTGGCAACAACATGACCCAGTCATCTTGCTGGTAGTTGACGTAAGATCGAAGGTACTGTTCTACAACTTGGTTGAGTCGTTCTGTTTGCCCGTCCGTTCGCGGGTGGTAGGCTGTCGAAAGCTTGCTTTTCGTTCCCAGGCGTGCCATCAACGCCTGCCAGAACTTCGAGACGAACTTCGTATCTCGGTCTGTGATCCATTCCTCCGGCCATGCGTGAATTGAGGTGATGTGCCGGTAGACCACGTCTGCGAGTTGTCCTGCTGACCATGCTTCTTTGTACTGGATGAAGTAGGCCCACTTGGTAAGTCGGTCAACCACAGTGAGTATGCTGTCGTACTTCACTCCTGTCGCTGTGTCTATCGAAAGCGGTAGCTTGGTGACGAAGTCCATCGTCACTGAGCTCCATGGTCGTTCTGCAACTGGCAACGGTTGCAAGAGTCCGTATGGTTTGTGTCGCGCTGACTTGCTTCGGTTGCAGAGGTCGCAATTGCTGACAACGTCCTTGACTCTTTGGCGTAATCCCGGGAAGTCGTAGTTCTGTCTGACCTTCGCAATGGTCTTGGCGATTCCCATGTGTCCTCCGAGTTTTGACTCGTGGATCATCTTGATGAGTCTCTCTTGCTCGTCCTTTGTCGTGCAGTCGGCCGCCTCTGGCCGCTGCTCCCTGAAGACTGCTCCAATTTCTCCCGAGCGTATAGGGGTGTCCACGCGGCAATCCTCACACGGTTGAGAGCTGCTCTCGTCGTAACGGCTGCTCTGCGGTTTGGAGGCGCGGCTCTGCGTGTCGAGATCTTCTCGCGGTCGGGGAAGCGTAGCGTCGTCGCAATCTTCCACCGGTTGGGAAGCGTGTCGAAGTGACCCGTCCTGCTGCTCTAGGAGTAGAGGTGGTGATTCTTCGGCGTTTTTTCCGAAGTGGTCTGGCCGTCTGCTCAACGCGTCTGCTCGCGCGTTTTCTGAGCCTTTCTTGTAGTGAATGACGAAGTTGAATTCTGATAGAAACTCGGACCATCGAGTCTGTCGTCCATTCAGCTCCTTCGTGGAGGTGAAGTATCGAAGGTTCTTGTGATCCGTGTACACCTGAACCGGGTGTGTTGTGCCGCTGAGGTAGGGTCTCCATTCCTTGAAAGCTTCGATGATGGCCAACAGCTCCTTGTCGTGGATCGGGTAATTGAGCTGTGGTCCTGCAAGCTTCTTGGAGAAGAACGCAACTGGATGTAGCTTGCTATTCTCGTCCCTCTGACTGAGTTGTCCGCCGACCGCGTAATCCGACGCGTCGGTTTCGACCTCAAATGGCTTCCTTGGATCTGGCAGCACGAGTACTGGATCTGCGGCGATTGCGTTGCGGATCCGCTGGAATGCTTGCTCGTGTGCTTCCTTCCACTGGAATTCAACGTCCTTCTTCGTCAGATCGTGCAGAGGTCGTGCGATGTCGCCGAAGTTCTTAATGAACATTCGATAGAAATTGGCAAATCCGATGAATCCTCGGACTTCTGTCGTATTTTCCGGCCTTGGCCAAGTCTTGATGGCATCAATCTTCGTAGGTTCCATTCGTATCTCTCCTGGCGAAATCTCGAAGCCTAGGAAGACTGTCTTCCTGACGTGGAACTCGCTCTTGTCCTTGTTGACTGAGAGCTTCTGGTTGTGCAGTGCGTCGAGCACCTGCTTCACGTGTCGTCCGTGTTCTTCGAGCGTTTTCGAGAAGATGAGGATGTCGTCGAGGTAACAGACTGCAAATTTATCGAGGAATGGTCGTATTGCGTGATCAACGACCGCTTGGAATGTCGCTGGGGCGTTGGTCAACCCGAATGGCATAACGAGGTACTCGTAGTGCCCGTAAGGGGTTCTGAACGCTGTCTTCCACTCATCGCCTTTCCTGATCCTGATATGTGCGTATGCCGTTGGTAGATCGAGACGTGTGAACCACTGCGCTCCTGCCAACTGATCCCGAAGTCTGGAGATCAAAGGCAGTGGGTACCGGTTCTTCACCGTCTGGTCATTTAGCTGTCGGTAATCCACGCACATTCGTAGCTTCCCGTCCTTCTTTGGAACGAAAAGAACTGGGTAGCCTGCTGGTGATGTCGAAGGTCGAATATGTCCTCGTTGGAGGTTTTCCTCGAGATACCTTCGTAACTCCGCGTCTTGCTTCTCGTTGGTGTGGTACACCTTGAAGAACTTTAACTGGGCGCCCTCTTTGAGCTTGATCTCGTGGTCCCAAGGTCCATGATCTGGCAGCCCTTCCATATGCTTTGCCTCGAATGCTGGGTGTCCTCGGTACTCGTCCGGGATCTGCCCTGTCTTATCGTCTCTTTTCGCACCTTCATAGTACGAGAACTTGTCGCTTCCGGCCGTGATGAATGCCGCTTCGAATCCAGTGACCCATTCCTGGAATTCGAGTGTTCCATGATCATCGATCGAAATGACGGCTACTTCTCTGCTCGCCCGTCTATTCTGATCATATCGTTTGCCGCTTCTTCCGGATCGCGTCGTGGTCTCTCCGCCACTGCTCGCTTCCTGCGGTGGGCCCGTGAGCAACGCGTCGTCGTGCGTACCGCCCATACGTGGCTCCTCTTCTGCGCGTTCTCCCATCAAGTTGGTCGGATACGACGGAGTGTCTCTCGGTCGCAGGTGGCCACCTCCCTTCCAACTGATGTCAGGGTCGTAATCCTCGTGCCATGGGCGTCCAAGAATCATGTCTTTCTTCGGCCCCATGTCCACGATGTCAAATACCACCTGGGTGGTCTTCCCTTCCACCTCAATGTCGAGTGGCTCGGTCTCTCGTCGAACCCATTGTGTCTCGAACGGTCCTTTGACGATATATGATTCCTTCTTGAGCTTCCATGGAATTCGCAGTTGATTGACGATTGCTGGAGAGATAAGGTCGAGCTGCGACCCTCCGTCCACTAACGCCAGTGCCTGAAATCCATTCCATCGCGCGGTGGCCCAGAGTCTGTTGTCTGGTCGTTCGTCCTGAACAGCAGCTACTTCGCGTTCGTCTGCTGGGAGGTCATAATAAGCCTGTCGTCTGCGCCAGTTCTTCCTGCACTGCGCGGCTTGTCGCTTTTGTTGTGGCGTTAAGCGTCGACGGGCCCCTCGGAGGGCCCGGAGCCGTTTCCCAACTCCGTCTTAAGAGCCAGAGAGGCGTCCCGCTCGGACTCTGTGTCATCTGCGACCAGCGCCTGACACTCTCGGAGCCATTGTCCGCTCTCACGTTCCCACTGAGAGTTCGATGTCCTCTTCTTCTGGATCTTGAATTGAGGTGCATCCTTTTGTCGGGTGGTCCTGTCGATGTTGATATACTGGCAGTGACCTAGGGGTTGCTGGAATTTGTGCAGTCGTTCATCGAGTAAGCCGTTTTCCCCTCGCAACTCGATTTTGCGTTCCTGGAGATAGGCGGCGTTGGGTCCCTCTTGCTTTCCTGCGCTCCGGGTTCTCCACTGACCGCGGTTGTCCTGGACTGGGGTGCGTCTGCACAGTCGAGCCGTTTTGAGCGCTGGGCCGGGTGGTGCAACTTCGCCCCTGCCGTCGGCAAATGCCTGTTCGTAGGCGTTGGCTTGCTCGATGTCAGAGTCATCCTGAGTGTGGCCAACGGCCGCTACTTCGACGATTCTGACGTGCTTGTCAATGGTGGCTGCTTCCTTTCCTGGGACCGGTTTCCAATCTTTCTTGGCGCTGCGGCAGTCACGCTTGAAGTGTCCCTTCTTGCCGCAATTGAAGCAGGTGACGCCTGCCTTGTCCCTGGCAGCGCCCCTTCTTCCTTCCTTCTGGGTCTGGGTGGCGTCCACATCCATCGCACCTGCGTGCGTGCCGTAAGACGTGCTCTTGTACTGGTGCTTCTGCTTGTCGTTCGCCTGATACGTCGGAGCCACTCCGCCCTTGCCTTTGCGCTGCTGCTTGCGCGCGTATAGGCGGTCATCGATCCGAATCGCCATTGCCATGTACCTGTCGAGGGTGTCGGGTCGATCCATCTTGTACAGTTCATCCTTGACTTCTTCCTTGAGGCCATCGTAGAACAACTGCATCAGTCCTTCGTCGTTGATTTCGGAACGCAGCGAGTCCTGCCGGAACTGGGTGGCGTAGGCTGCTGCCGATTTGGTCTGCCGAAGTCGTGCGAGTCGCTGCTGAGCGTGCAGTTTCTCATCTCGGTTTCCGAACATCTTGCGGATCTCTTCCTCGAATTTGGCGTAGCTGCTGAACACCTCCTGGGTAAAATCCTCCTGCTCTTCTTCATCGCCGGTGTGCTTCAGGTAATCGTCCAAGGTCGGTTCGAACCATCCAAGTGCTTTGTCTTCGAGACGGGATGCGGCGTAGCCGACCTTTTGAGCTTCGTTGACGAATCGTTCCGCGTAGTAGAGGAAGTAGGCCCTCATCTGGACGAGCCATCCAGCGAGCTCATCCTTGGATCCTCCATACTTAGGCGGTGCCTCCATCTTGGCTTTGGCGGTCTGTCCGCGCAGGTAGGCGAGCTCTCGTTCGAGTTGGGCGTTGCGGGCATTGACCTGCTCGAGTGCCTGGGCAGTTGCCGTGGTGTTGCCTCCTGCGGCCTGGGCCTGCAGAGCGGGGGTGTTCGGAGTGCTGGGTGCCATGGCGATGGGTAACCTTCAGTCAAGTCCGTGACAGAACCAAAGGGAGTAAGCAACGTGTGACGAATCTCAAAGCCCCAACTTCTGAAAGGGACTCCTGAAGGTTATACTTGACAACGGGGTGAGGTTCGGTGAAGCCAAAGGGTTCACAACAAGCAATGTCCAAGGGTACTGACAATCTTGCACTTGAGTTGCTTACTGGAGAACTCCCAGAGTCCTCCAGAACGAGTGACTATATACTAGATGCATTTGGTTGCTCTCTCGTGCTCTCTAGAGCCACCTAGAGCCAATGCTCTATGGTGCTCTCGAGAGCCTCTTAGAGCGTCCTCTGATTGGCCTTGCACTGGTGCTCTCTCATGCTCCTGAGAGCTCTCTGGAGCACCTCTAGGACTCGTTCCGATTGGTCCTAAGTGATTGGCTCGAAACGTCCTACGTTCCCCACTGGCTTCTGCAAGTAAGCCGCCGTTGTTGACTCTCGTTGGTTCATTTGTGACACTTAGATATACTGAGCATACGATAGGGCCTTTATCTTCTTGGACTATCGTACCAGGGTGATCCTTTTTACACTCTTTCGCTAAAGGAGAGAGCTTAGGAAGAAGGTTTTTCGTCTAATGACGATATGAATTAATCCCTCCTTTTCCTCTACTTCCTAGCTTTCCATTCTTCTTATTACATTTCCACTGTAGTTTCGATTAGAACGGGTAACCGAAGATAACCTTCCTAAATTAATTGCAAGCTCCTACTTATCACGTAGGATATATTCTAGCTCTTCGTTTAGCTTCTAGATAGCTTTCTCTGCTTGTTCCTTCTCTTGCTTTATTTCAGGAAGCCAATTGTTGGAACCTGCAGGGCGACGACCGCTGAGATATGCGCTGGAAGAAGCTATTCCCAGTCAAAGCAGTGGATTGAATTTTTTTAAGGTGGTAAAAGTGATTGATTGACCATGCTGTTGATGGGCATGGGAGAGGACTAAGTATGTAAGGAAGAGGGGTTGCAGTGCTGGCACCGATCAACCACCGAGGTCCGTTGAATGCAGCCATCAAGGCGGCTTCGTTCCGACACCAATAAGTTAATAATAGGAGGTTTTTGTCACGGCGATTGCGCCGTGCCTGCCAGGACCCACGGGTGGGGCCCAGCGTGTGGGGGCCCTGCGGGTTAAAGATCCTGCACCTCGCTGCCGCGAGTTCTGCCGTAGCTCCTTGAGCCACGTCTTGACAATCAAGCCTGCCCGTACCTGACGGAATAGAGCCCAGACTGTAGCTTTGCCCGAATACAACTGCCATTGGACTATCAGCCTGTCCCACCCGTGACAGTTTTCTTATTATAAGAGAAACAACCCTAGAATATAAACAGAGAACATCTTTTCCAATATTCTTGAACAGCACTCCGGACGAATCTTTCGTCTTTCGTTCTCTAGATCCGATAACTACTGTACTACGGCGATGAAGAAGAACCATAGAAGTTTCATCGGAATATATAACCAATTTCCAATTCTCGAAGGTCTAATATTGATCAGCTAAATTGTCACCGGTGGGCGCAACTGACCACTGCGTAACACCCTCCTCAAAAGAGGGACCGCGGTTCGAACTGTCCAGTCGAACCAGGAGTTGCGCACATGAACATTTCACACTGTCACGACCCGTGACATAAACACTATTAAAGACATTTAGCTCTCATTTTATTCGTCAACCTAAGCTTTCTGATCAGTTGAGTCTTCTTGAAACCTACTGCTTTAAGGATTTATAGAATTGTAGTTGCCGAGATATCGTTGCCCTTGAGGCTAAGCGCAAGAAAGCGATGTCGGAGAGGAGGGGTTCTATTTATACGGCGGGCCGCGCGAGGACTCGGGTCTAACACGGCGCTAAACCTGAGGGAGGGCCACTAAACCCAGCGGGTGCGACAACGAGTTCTATTTTACAGGTACAGAAGCTCACTCGAACCGGAATCGAGCCGGTGACGGTTGAAGGAGCCGAAGACTATATATATAGCCTTTGGTGTCTCGAAACTCTCGATTTACATGCGACTCTTCTAAGCTAAGTTCACCAATGTGTTCTATACCAGTGGCATCATCCGAGGCGATACAGTACCACCACGCGAGACAGCATGATTACAAACCCCCCACCTGTGAATCACAAGTCCCCAGCGCCAGCTCCAGCATCGCAGGACCAGCACTGAGTGTCGGCAGGGTCCCCGCACGCCTCCTTGTCAAATCTGGCCGTCTGCGGATATGGGCAGAGAATGCGGTGGTGCGTCGACCCGTCCAGGGCTTTGATATCGACGGGCGTCTGCTCGGGCGCCGTGCCGTTCTCAACCCAGGCTCGGAGCTGATCGAAGAGGCTGGTTGGCTGGCCACTCGCATGACCCCAGCAGTGGCCGAGACCTGGGACCTCGAAATGGCGATAGAAGCTGTCAGTATCCGGAAGAAGCGCGCTAATTTCGCTGTGGTACCGTCGGGTGGCGTTCGGGGGGACGAGGGTATCCCACTACAAGGGCAAGGTCGTCGTTCAGCTATTAACACACTCCGAAGTGCACACAAAGGACAAAGAAGGGAGGCGGAGGGACTTACGAGGCCGTGAAAGGTAACCATCTTCCCGCCCGCATCGCGGAACCGGGTCAAGTCCGGGTCGTCGGTGTCCATGACCGAGCGATAGATCTGCCGGCCGATGCGCACCATGTCGTCAAATTCGGCGTAGGTCATTTCGGCAGCATCGAAGTTCGGATCACCCCTGGCGAGGAAGTACTTCATCCAGCTCATCGCCATCGAGTTGGGGTTACCGACACAAGTGCCATTGCTGCACTTGGTCGACGCAATTCCAGGGGTCTCGAATCCGCCGGCGCCCCCCTCGTTACTGATGTACGTACCTGGAGAGAGACCGTACCAAGTCGGTTCCCTTTTGGCTGTGACGATGCCATGCCACGTCGCGTTGACAACGACGGCGGCTGCAGTGCCGATCTCGACGGTCCTGTTGCCGGCCTGGCGGCAGTCGGGCACCAGCGTGCCGATGAGTTGGAAGGGGTTGAACGACCTAAGACAGGCGTCGACGTCCGAGACGATACCGTCAGTCACACCATCGAGCTCGTCGCACGCGGTGATGGCTGCGGCGGAAATGGCATCCATCTCGCATCCGTAGGGGTAGGTCTTCAGCCTATTCATGACCTCCTGCGGCCAGTACAAACTCATGCCTGTCAAGCTCGAGTACAGCACGGGCGCGCCGGCGGAGATGCCGTCGTATGCGGTGGGATAGCGCTGGGCGAGCATGAGCCCCTGGCGGCCACCCTGGGAGCAGCCGTTCCAGTACGAAAAAGCCGGGCCCTTGCCGTAGAAGCGCTTGATAAGAGCCTTGCTGATGATGGCCTGCTAAGTGTCAAAACTTAAGGTAAGGGCGTCGCTGTCACTGTAATACTCACCTGGTCATTGAGCGAGACCGATGCAAAGTTGTTCAATTTGTACCAGTTAACGTTTCCAGGGCTAATCAGCGCCCATTCGGACGGATCCAAGGCACTCCCCAGCCCGGCATCGGTTGTGCTAGTCGCATAGCCGTCGCCGATGGCGCCCTTCATGGTCTCGTACGAGAGAGCCCAGCGGCCAGTCGCCCACCCGCCGCCGCCGGCAGCCTGGAAACGGTTGTTCCAACTCGGATTCTCGATGGGCAACCAGGTTTCGACGATGGTGTTGTCATTCTGCCCGGGATGGGTGTAGGACACGGTGACGTTGCAGAAGGTGGCGTTTTGGACCGGTATTGTGGGCTGGGTGAACCTGAAGATGTCAAGACCCCATGCGGTAAAGTTCGTTACGAGATTTGTAGTGACGGAAAGGACTTCGCCGCCAAACAGGCCAATTCCATGGAACGTCGGGGGCACGCATGCCGCGGAGAGAACCTCTGCCATGTTGGGCAGAGGAGTGCAGAGCATTGATGGTCGTGCTGGGTGAGTCATGTAGCGTGGTTGTTTTCTTCAAGTCAGACAGTGAACTGAACGTTAAGGAGTTGCCGGGCATCATCATATATATATATGCTTGTGCAACCGTGCAACTCCAATGCGACAGCAACGCCCACGCATTCCTCGTTTCAATCAGTCATTGGACCGTTGAAGCGAAGCGAAGTACGACACTAGGACTGCTGCGCCTTCACCGCGGGCCAGGTTGAGTTTCTTGGCCCCCACGTTAGATCAGGACCTTGATGAACTGCCGCTGTCACCCAGCAGCTTCCATGACGAGACTCCTACCGTGATTGTCAGCATAGACAATGCAGGGTGCGGACCAAGGAAAGCATACCATGGAAATTTGGATAAGTTGCTCCTGGGGAATATTCCAGATCGCCAGACTCGTTCTCATCACCCGATACGTCTTGAGGCAAGCTATGACGTTCCGTGGCGCACATGCTTCTCTGTCGTTAACTCTTGCCAACCACGGGAAGAGAGTTCGCGAGGGAAAATTGTGAAGCAAATTGCGAGGGACGGAAACGAGGACAAACACACGCCAAACCGTCCAATCATTGGCACGGGCTCAGCTGATTGGACGCTTCCGTCTGAACAACAGTGGTCCAGCATTTGGGCTTTTGAGCTCCTGGCGCTGAAAGAAGTCCTGAATAGAAGGCTGGAGATAATGAAGACACTAACAACCCTAGTTACTGTATAACCCCCGATCTCAGGGTATCTTTCCGGACTGCCGGTAAATCGGACGCCGATGTGGGGCAAAAGTGGGACCCGTGCCGGCAAATGCGCCCCACAATCGGGGCCGAGGTCCGGGTGGACGCCCGGCCCGACTCGTATTCGTATTCGGAAGCCCACTTATACGCAGCCCCAGAGTTTACAACGTTCGGGACGGTATATATAGCTCAAAAAATTTCTCGGACCAGTACGTAAGTTTTGCCCGTGCTATTCAGTTCAGTATATTCTATTGTTGGAACCATGTCTCCTTCCGCCACTCGTGTCCCCTTTCCAGTCACGGTCTATCCGTTCAGATCTCCCACGCCCGGCTCGTGCGCCTACGAGAGGGGCTCGTCGTCTGCTAAAAACGCCCTTGTGTTCCTCCCCGGGCTTACCAGCGGACCACACGCCACGGATCTCAATTTCCTGGCCAATATGCTCGAGCAATCCCCGTCCCTGGACTACGCTCTCTGGGAATTCCGGATGCGCAGCTCGTACTCGGGCTTCGGGTACTCAAGCCTCGCACACGACGTCGAAGACATGACTGCCCTGATCCAGTACCTTCGCGCTATTGGCAAGGAGAAAATTGTCCTGATGGGGTCTTCCACCGGTAACGTAGTCCGTCGCTCCCGGTAATGACACATGTCCAGTCTGATGTTGGTGCATCCAGGTTGCCAGAACTGCCTTGAATACACCGACCGCATCAAGTACAAAACCCCATCGGTCGACGGCTACATTCTTACCAGCCCGGTCTCAGATCGCGAGGCGGCCTTTTTGTTCATGTCGCCTGGGGAGCTGGACAAGAGTGTCCGGGTGGCGGTAGATATGATCTACGACGGAAAAAAGGACCAACCCATGGCGCAGGAGCATCTGCCGTTCATCTTTACGACACCGGTTACAGCATACAGGTGGCATTCTCTCTCTGCCAAGAGGTGAGCGCTGTATGGTTTCCTCGCACATTTTGTTCACTGCTAACTGGTTTGGTGTCAGCGGCGATGACGACTATTTCTCGTCCGACCTCCCTGACTCAACGCTCGCTGCCAAGTTTGGGAGGGTGGACAAGCCTCTGTTGTTCTTGCCGGCTGGGGACGATGAGATGGTGCCGCCGACCGTGGACAGGAAGGCGTTGCTGGGTCGATGGATCTCGGCGTGCAGGCCGGGAGTTGCCAGTGAATTATCTGGGTTCATTCCGGAGGCAGATCATGTCGTTTCGCGGCCTGAGGCTCAAGCATGGCTTGCGGAGCGGGTGGGAGGGTTCCTGAGAGAGATCTAACTTGGGTTGCCGTGGTTTGGACTGGGTTTGCCTGTCCTAAAATGCGTAATGCATTGACATTCTTCGCAGGCCTTCTCGCCGTATTGCTCGCATCGGCGGCCGGTTTTCGGTTTGCATCCACATAAAAGTACTAACACGAGTAAGGTACTTATTGCTGGAGAAGGTGGCCAACAGTTGGGGACATATCATGATTGCGGATCTGAAAGAGTACCAGCTCAATTTCTATCAACTGAATGCCCTGTTGCTCTAACCGAACTCTCAAAAAATCCAACAATTCCAAAGGAGTGCTCCGGTCTTCCGCATGCTCGAAGACCATCTAACAGAACATATCATCAGATCCATCATGGATGGCAACCGCGTCTCCACATATGTGCCATGACTCTAAGTGCACCTGTAGGAGTTGTACTTGCCCTTATCAATGCACGATCCCTCGCTAGGAAGGGGCCACTCAATGCCGTTGCAGTCCTTGCCGGTGTACACTATGTTTACAATGATTCCCGTCAGAGTCTGCTTACATCTTCATCAATAGCAATGGCGACTGTGGTCACCAGCGACGGAAACGGCATGACTTACCCCTTGGCTCCGACAGCGTGCCCGGGTTCCAGAAGAAGGCACCGGTTGCGTCATCGAGGTTGTAGCACCTGCCCGAGACGGGAGCGGCGTGGTAGAGGATGTCCTTGTCATTTTGGCTGCGCACGAAGAATTCATGTCAACAGGTGTTTTCTTTGAGAGAAGAAGACTAGGCTTGCTGTGCCTACCAATCATCCAAAGTCTTGTACTGGTTCAACTTGGGCCAGTCTGCCATGACAGAGGGCATGGCGGCGGCGATGGCGAGGAGGATTTGGGTCTTCATTGTGGCTTTTGTGATGTTGTTGTTCGTTGTTGGTAGTGTATATTAGGTGCGCAAGAGTTGGTGGTATTGGTTGTAGTGATGAGATTGGTGTCAGTTGGTTTGATGACGTTCTGGAACAGTTGACGAGCGTTGGGAGGTTCTCTTTATACTTTTTTGTCGTTCGTTTCTGTTGCCATGTGTCCGCACCGTGACCGCGTGAGAGGCCCACGGACATAGACCTACTCGTTTCATGCCCAGAAGAATAGACCTTACGTTTCATATTGCTCTGACATGGCGCGAAGCCCACATTCCCCGGCTTCTGCACATGTAGGCCACGGAATGTCAGCACTAGATGCGGCACGGCGTTCTGCGCCGGGTTTGCTTACACCGGCCGGCCTATTAGAGCCCCCCGCACAGCAACTGACAACTCGGTATTGGCTAATCTCCTAACATGGATAACATGGAAGTCAATGCTATGTCCATGATTTGCAAAATAAATAGGACATCTTTTGTCGTGGTTCACCTAGAAACTCAAAAATAGCCTTCACTCTAGAATTTTATAGCTTATCTGCAATCAGATATCAACGCCTTCACTCCAGAGTCCGATGTTACACCTTGCTGTATATACAGTATTCACAGGCCATGTTTCAGGCCACGGCGCTGATTGAATAACTCCAAGTCCGAGGATCCGAGATCACGGCCCATCGGCCATGATGTAGGAAGTGAGATAGATCAAAGTCTGCCGCACGGCCTGGGCCGGTCGCTTAGGCTTCAAGTTACTATGGAATTCCCAAAACTACGCTCTACCATTCAATTTACTGTGCTGGTCCAGTTCTGGTCGCGACGTTACTCCTACTCCGGCCGACCGTCACGACCGTCATGGCCAGGCACTTGACCGTCGTGAAAAGTAATATATGTATGGATCTTGCAGCACCCATAGACTGTCTGTCGTTTGTTTGAATCGAGGGCAGATCTGAGGCCTCCCACAGAGTCATCTTCGTAGGCGGCTGAAGCACGGCGACCACAATGATCATATGCTTTATTGATGCTGTTATCCCCGGAAACGCTCGGATGGCTGAGACAGAACATGAGCATCCAAACAATTGTCGATGTTGCGTTCACATTGAACCTTGGGTCAGCCTGGTAAGGCACCTAGGCCCGATCGACCAAAGGTCGCATTGAGCGTATTTGTATTTATAGTGACCGCATCATGCCCTAACCGCTCACGTCAATGCGACCAATGCTGCTGATCAACGTCCAGTGGCCTAGCCAGATTTGCTCCGAGTTCCCGTCTCTTCTTCCTGTTCTCTCTCCTCTGCCAATCCATGCCACGGCCCGGCTGAGAACGGTTCCTGCAACCACTCAATGAAGGGGCCGTACTCGTCTTGACCGACCGCTTTCTTGACTTCGGACAGGGTCAGCGGCGCGGGTTGTCCGGCGTCAGCTGCAAGGCTGGGGTGCTAACAATCATTAGCAGGAGGTAACATATAATAGCGAATCTCGTCCCGGCTGACCATGGAGGAGTTGGCCAGATTCCTGGTTCCGCTCGTCTTATCGTCACGGTCAGTGGGATTGTCAGTGCCTCTGGCAGCAGCGGTCGGATCCGGCATGGCAACAGCACGAGAATGTGAAGGTAGCTGAGTGTATGAACGGGATCTGGTTCTATTTGTTGTTGTAGACGGAGAGAAACGATGTTCAATAGCGATCCGTGAGCCTTGCAAATGCGATGAACGTGGTATTTCGGTGTAGCCTGGAGTACGCTGCTACATTGCACTGAAATCAACATGGAGCCAGGAGGAGTGGGAGAGTGGCGAATTATAGTTATAGATATGAAGAATGATGGTAGGCAAGACGGCTGACAGCTTTTTCTGCCATGTCAGCAGAGTCACGGTCAATGTCACTCTCTCCTGCTCCATTCTTGCCTCCTACACAGTTGTGGACGAAAAAGCGGCCTACTGGACATTACATCCCGTGCCGGAACCCTGGAAGCCTCTCAAGTCTTGGGCACTGCTCACATTCGCACCCCGAGGGTCCTCGTACCTAAGAAGGAGTGTACACGAGTGTCCCAAACCTCAGCGGGAGACCGGGGTACAGTTCATGGCGCAAAAGTGACATTCAAAATGGGGATTGGAAGGCTCCCCGGCTTTGTATGCAGCTACGCACCCCTGCGGTGGGCTTCCCGATCTCTTCGTCGTGGGGTTTCCGATCTTCGCCTTCGCTGCTGGTTGGGGTCCCGCGAACCCGGCCCGCGGGATGTCAGGATCCCTCAATTGCCGGTGTCGACAGTGGGGGGTTGCGAAACCGGGAAGGCACATTGTACACGTGTAACTCGGCTGGGTTCTTGGGATCAGCCCTAACATCAGGCTGGATACTCTCAGAAGTCTACCAATTAAGCCTTAGGGTGCAAGGAAGGCTGGGAAGCGAAGCGCAACAAACGTCAGAAATCTAAGAATGCATGTCAGACCGGCGACGCCACGGGCTTGCCAAGCATCGACTTCGAATGTCACTTTAATTCTGACTGCTTGAGTGGGGGACCTGAGCGTCCACTGGTGCGCGGGCGGCTCAGTCCGAGGCAAAAAGGCAGGGGCAACCTGAAAACCACAGAAGCCCAATACATTCGCCGCCAGTTGCCTTTGCTGAATTCAACCCTAATTTGCCTGTTCGTGTTCGATCGCTACTCATATCTCCGTCCCCCCTTTTCGTCTCTTCATTCTTGTTTGTCGTTCCTCTTCCTTTCATCGGTTGATTCTTTCCACTTTTTCGCCCAGTTCTTTTCCCTGTAATTTTCTTTTCATCTTTTCTTTCTGGCCAGAGCCCCGCCCGCCATGGATATGCCGCGCCATGAGGCACAAACCAGGTTGGAGCATGGAAACACTCCTGCATCCCTAACCACGAGCATATCCTCCAACACTTTCCCCTTTTTAGATTACGTTCCCACTTGCGAGACGCTGCTAATCACTCCCACAAAAAGCAGGCAACTCCTCCTTGCTCGGCGCCTCCTCCAGCAGATCCCCAGACCCCTCTTTATTTAAGCAGGTGCACGAACCGCCTCGCCGTCGCGCGATCCAGTACTTGTCGCCCGGCTGCTGTGCCAGAAGAGAATACACTGAATCGGTAGGAAACGCGGGCACGGGGTAGAGGGTGTGGCCGAGCGATCTGCAGCCGGCCGCGGCTGGGTCCCACGTACCCGGGGTGGAAATGACGATGACTGACGACGGGGTCGGTTGTTGGGAGAAGGATGGTGGGGTAAGGAGCAGGAGAGTAAAGCCCGTTGGAAGGTAGCGGAGCATTGTTGAATAAGTGGGATATACAAAGTTATTGGTCGGTTTTGGTAGAGTATGGGGCCTGGAAGGCAGTTAGTTACAGTAGAGAACAAGCTGGTTCCATTTTCTTTCGAAGATGAAGAGGGTCTGCACGTTTATATTAACCACTGAGGGGAACTTGCCTGCCACTCTGTCACATTGCTTAAAAATTTTACATTCAGCGGCGGGAGGTTGGCCCGACGGCTCTGTTCCCTTACAGTAAGCACGACAAACACGAACATACTCTGTCCGAAATGTTCTCGTGCCCCATGGTGTGTTGCCACAAGAACTCAAGACTTGTCCTGAGTCTCATAGACCAGCGGTAATTCGCAGGCCTAACCTGAAGTCAACCAAGAAAAAAAGAATAAAAGAAAAATAATAAGAGGTCAAGGTCAACTGAGTTAAGAAAGGATAACGTAACTACCCTCCGAAAGAAAATGAGAGAAAACATAAGTTAGATAACAAAGAAACATTGAGCACAGAACGGAACAGAAAGAAAGAAAATGAATAAAGTAGAAAAGAGAGGAAAGTAAAAGAGAAAAGCAAAGGAAAAGAAAAAAGCAAAGGAAAAAAGAAAAGCAGATAAGTTAAAATAAAATAACATTAACGTTAGGTTAAAATGGAAAACATATTAAAAGAAAGAAAGAAAAAGAAAAGTGCAAAGAAGGAAGCAAAGTAAGAAGGAAAAGAAAAGTAAAAAAGAAAGGTAAAGTCTAAGAGAGATAAAGGAAGAGAGAGAAAAGAATGGGAATCCGCCCACGGTATATGAGGCCATCGCGAGGAGGTACCAGACTCCGCAAATTCAGCAGGATACACGGATCCTCCTTGGCCGGGAGGACGTGTGCGTCCGCAGCATATAATAAGTGCCGAAAAGAAAAAAAATCTTGACAGCATCAGAATGACGTGCCAACTCGCCGGATGGCATCAGGACACTCGCCAACTCGAAGACTAGTTCTCCTACCTTGATCTACGCCCTCGGACACCTTTGTAGTGGACTGTGGGAAGTTAGGGCTGGCCTACAAATGGTTACACAACCACCCAACTTTAAGCCTTCTTCCACTGCGATCATTGAATTCACGCAAGCACGCGCCAGCAGGCTTCCGGGCCGTTTGAAGTGATTGTCCAAGATATAAAAGTTGGGTTATAATTCCCCGTTCATTCAAATTGATCATTAAACCTTTATCTAAGTCTAGGGCCTAACAGTCTCAACTATTCCAACTAGAGGTAAGCCTTCGAACCACAATCAAAAACCCTTCCCTTGTCAAGACCCTTACCTGCCCAGCCATCCAATCCATCAGCAGTACTCCTTGACATGATCCTCCCAGAATACAAGCCACTCAGCGAGTAGCTTCAGATACCCCTCAAACCGACCGCAGCCCACAAATACGTCCAGACGCATCCAACCCTGCCCTTCCTCCCAATTGGCCCGGACCTGCGGGAGATCGAATTCCGCGAGCAGTGCCTGCGCATCCAAGTCATCGGCGCTGGCATCTCGAGCAACGCAGTGGTCTGCCGGCATGGCCGGCAGCGAAGCGAGCAGAGACGAAACATCCGGCTCCAGCATAATCGTGACGTCGTCGTCCTCGTCCGCCTCCTGCTTAATTTTGACCTCGTCTTTCTCATCCGGATCACGCTTAAGTTTGACGCCCTCTTCCTCAGCCAGCTCCCGCTTGATTTTGACGTCGTCCTGCTCGGCCGGCTCCTGCTTGACCTTGACCTCATCCACCTCGTCCGGCTCACGCTTTGTTTTGATTTCGTCCGGCTCGGCCTTCAGGCCCGGGGAAGGTGGCGGAGGCGAGGGCGATGGATCCACCTCTGTCGCGTCGAGGTCCCGCGAGTGCAGGTACGCCTCCCGGTAGAGGCGTTGCCAGCCGTCCACCCTGATCCTCAGCCGGAGGTTCGTCCGAGACAAGGACGGCGCGCCGGCGCGCGAGGCGAGGTGCATCCGCCGCATGATGGTGGAGCCCTCCGCGGCGCGGACGGTGAGCTCCGTGTTCGGCGGCGGCGGCGGCGGGGATGGGAACGGGGACGGGCGAGGGGGAGCGCCGCCCGCGCACAGAAACACGTTGTCGAGGAGCCCCTCGAGCTCCGTCACCGCTTGCCTGTGATGCTCGACACGAGCAAAAATCTGCTCCACCACGGCCCGGGCCGCGTCGATGGTTGTCCCGGCTGGCTGCGCCCCCTCGCCCACGCACAGGAGGACGCTGTCGAGGTGCGCCTCAAGGTCCTGCGTCGCTCGCCGGTGATGCTCCATTCGGGCGAGGAATTGGTCGGCGACGTCTTCGGCCTCGATGCGTGGCTGCTTTGCCCGCTGGCTGTCTTCTGTTGCCATAGTTAGCGCTGTTGCTTCGGTGTTGGGAATGCATGTGAAGTCGGGGGGAGGGGGGAGGGTTGGTCATGAGGCTGGACAGACAGCTCTTGACACCAAAGCTTTTCTGCGTTTGATGGTGATTGCCGAAAGTGAAAGTGAGCAGTAACTTACCAGACGAGGCGGAACGGCGGCGCTTCCTGCAACTGCCAGAGGCATCTCCAGTGGCCAGACTGGTAGGGTGGTTGCCTCCCGGCGGAGGACTGGGTGTCACGGGAGAGACGTTGTTGTTGTCTGGATCAAAGTCAGGCGGGTCCTGCCGGAGGTGTGCTAGGTGACAATCGCAGCTGGCCGTAGATCCAAGTGCCCAAAACATGGTAGCCAACAGATGTTTAGATGCCCCGAATGACAGCGCTGGTAGGTCAAGGACGACAGAACAGCCATGGACGTATCAAGAGGTAAGGGGAGCAGTAAGAAACGCAAGACAGGATAGACAAAGATGAACACTGCTCGCTGGAGGAAAAGAATAAGGCAGCGCAGAATCGTGACGCGAACGCCGCGGTGCGCAAAGTAGCGCTGGCTTCGTCGAGATACACAGATACAGCCACAATGAAGCTGAGATATAAAAGTCTCAAAGAGCGTAAGGCACTTACCATGCTCCATGGTGGCAGCGAGGCGCGCAGAGCGGCGGACAGGGGCCACGGTAGTGTACTCTTTCGCAGCGACGCTTGGCATGGCGATAGGTTTTATGTTGTTCATAAAAAGAGCAGACTCGAGATGTTGGTGTTCTTCGCTATTCAAACTTTAGGACAGTGTCGAACAAGTCGAGTCAAGTCTGCGTAGAGCGAGGGAAGAAAGGGGGGGGCGACGGCTAATTTATACGCGGACGAAGAGGGAATCAGCCGCCCATGCAATATGTAGTATCAGCTTTGTTTTTTCTGGTTACACTCGCATCGACGCCATCGTCTGCATGTGGTACTGGATCTAGATCTCTAGTGTGGAAGCCAATGCAGTATCAGTGATGCAGTTGCAGCCTGCGACGGGTCAGAGAGACGTATGCCATGAACCTTAATGCAGGGGACTTCGTCATGTCGACTCCACCTGGAGTACGTCCATTTCCTCCGACGTGTCCAGGCCGGGTTGATACAGCTCGAATCCCAGTCGACCTCGCAGTAACACGGCTATCTCTGTACCTCTTGCATGAGACACTTCCCTCGGTCCCATAGAATAAGTCTCGGGTGACTCCAGAAATCTGGGATGGTCGAGGACGAGTGAACCTACCGCGCGTCTCCCTCCACCAGCAGTTAAACCACCACGATTGCACATAGATACATTCAATGAGTCCTCATATTCCGAGCCGGCGGGTCTGCTGTTCGAGTAATGACCTTACCATGGCACTGAAGTGACATGGAAACCGACTTGACCCAATCAGCAAGGTTTCCAAACCAGGTGGTGCCAGTCTAAATTGACGCACTTACTGGCATCGTCTGCATTTCTTGTCATGGCTTTGGACAACCAGACCAGGTGAGCAGGGTCTGCATGTTTTGTAGTTGATCCAGAACTGAGCGATGCAGAAGTGCTAGAGCTAGCACCCTTGATATGCTCCGCAGCATCATTAACACCCAGTTTGTTTCACTGTCGACAAGCCCCAGTAGGAATGGGCCGCTTGGAGACAGACAGAAAAGCTGCCCAACAGCCATCCTCAAGGGTGCGATAACTCGGGTACCCTATGCAGTGGCACTGCTGCCGAGGGGGCGGCCAATCTTGCTTGCTCGGGCAATTCCATGTTGGACGGGGCTGCAACCTTCAAGGAAACGGGCAGAGAAAACGACAAAGAGAGAAAGACGGAGAAGGGGAAACGCGGAGCAGAAGAGAGGAGCAGGAAAGAGGCGGAGTAGGCAAAAGGGGACAGGAAAATGGCAGGTCCAGCAGGGTAAGAAAATGGGTGGGCAAGACAGGTGGTGGTTGGATAGAAACGGCTGGGTAGGAAAATGGCAGAGAGTACGAAACGCTGAGTACCTGGAGGACCAGGACATGGCAGAGATTCGTCCGATTGGCGAGCGGGACGGGAGATCGCCGTCCCGAAACCCGCCCCAAATACCGACAGGACGGAATCCCCTGTCAGCCCTGCGGGGTAGCGAGGCACGAGTGGGCCGGTGATGACTGCACGACGGGTTTTGCCGACGGGAAACAACATCCAAGAAACACAAGAACGCCTTCTCCCCCGCCTACTTGCCAGTTCAGCGCTTCAAGAGCATCTCCTAATCCAGTTGTGACCTTACCAGCCTCACCATGTCTGTCCCTGTCAAGATAGCCGTCCTTGACGACTACCAGGGGATCTCGGAGCCCAAGTTCAAGGCCCTGGACCCCGCCAAGTACGACATCTCCTTCTTCAAGGACACGCTCCTCCCGTACAACCACCCCGAAACGCCTCAGGATGTCAAGGACCAGCTGGTCGCCAGACTCGAGCCCTTCAACGTGATTTGTATGTGCCCGCGTGGACGATCTCTCATGCTGTCCTCTCCTCACTAACCCCCCAGCCACAATGCGCGAACGCACGCCCTTCCCGCGCGAGCTTATCGCCCGCCTGCCCAACCTCAAGCTGCTGCTCACAACTGGTAACCGCAATCTCGCCCTGGACCTGCCGGCCTTCCAGGAACGCGGCATCCCCGTGGCCGGCGCCGTCGGCGGCTCCGACAGCACTACCGAGCACTGCGTCGCGCTGATCCTCGCGGCGGCGCGCAACGTTGCCCAGGACGACCTGTCGGTCAAGACGGGCGGGTGGCAGACCGTTCCCACGGTCAGTCTCAGCGGCAAGTTGTTTGGGACGGTCGGGCTGGGCAGGTTGGGGATGGCGGTGGCGCGGATCATGGCCGTTGCGTTTGGGATGCGGGTTATTGCGTGGAGCGAGAACCTGACGCAGGAGCGGGCGGATGAGCAGGCGACGAAGGCGGGTCTGCCGGTGGAGGGCAAAGATGGGGAGAAGACGTTTCGGGTGGTGAGCAAGGAGGAGTTGTTTCGGACGGCGGATGTGGTGAGCGTGCACCTGGTGCTGTCGGATCGGTCGAGGGGCGGAATTGCGGCGCGGGAACTCGAGATGATGAAGTCGACGGCGATTCTTGTGAATACCTCGCGGGGACCGCTCGTAGTCGAGAAGGACTTGCTGGATGCGCTCGAGAAGGGCAAGATCAGGGCGGCGGCGCTGGACGTGTTTGACCTGGAGCCGTTGCCGCTGGACAGCCGGTGGAGGACGACGAAATGGGGGCAAGATGGGCGCAGTCGGGTACTTCTGACACCGCACATGGTATGTCGATTCGATCTATTCCCCCCCAGCGCTGAGCTAACACGGCCAGGGATATGTGGAGGAGGCGACGCTGGATGCCTGGTACGACGAGCAGATCAAAAATCTGCAGCGGTGGGAGGGGGGAGAAGAGCTGGCCCAGAGCCTGTACTGAGCCGAAGTCAGGACAGAACACTAACAGAGACCAAACGCAATCGACCGCCGTTCATTGGCGTAGCGCGAGGCTGACCGCGAAGGCTTTGTGGGCACTCCAGCACCTAAACGCCGATTATCAGACGAGATCTTCACACTGCCGTTGTCTTTTGTTATCCCAGATGATTGCCAGTTGCCAATGCCAGGTCCTTTGTTGTTCGTGCCTTACAAAAGTTGAGAAGTTAAGGTACCGACCCCAAACTGCGCATCATCATCGCTCCTGCCACTTTCAACCGATTAACTTGTGCCGATCAAATTGCATCGCTGAGACCACTTCTGCCTTTCACCATCAGGCGATCGGCCAGTGCCATTGGTGAGTTTATATATCGGGCATCCCATTTTTTTTGCAAACACGTTAACGAACGAAGAGCGACAGTATTTTTGAGCGCAGCACAACCTGATCCCTGCAGCAAATAGCTCACGATGGGCTCTCATGATGCTAAGGCTGGGGGTCACCAGGCCCCCTCAAGCCCGAAAATCAAGCAGGAACCTGACGCGGCCGATCCGCGGGTCCATCTGGACCTTCCGGAAGCGACCCGGACATCCCAGGCCCCGTCCGAGGGTAAGCGACTCCAAACAGCGACCGATTTCCTTAACTAACCATTACAGTAAACTCCAAGTCGTTCTACGGCCCCCCCAAGCTGCCATTCCGCCCACCCAACATGGAAGAGGGTGAAATTGTCGGTCAGTACCACTCGCACTTCGCAGTTTGCAATTCTTGCTGATTCGCCTCAGAGCCGCCTGCGGAGACAATTTCGTGGCCCGAATCCAGTCCCTTTCCCCGCGCGCTTCACCGGCGCGATCCCTTGGCCGACGTTCCTTCCCAAAGGTCGGCCAATTTCGAGCCCGTCAGCAACAATCGGCGCCGAGGCTCGGCCATGTCCCCTCCATCCGGGCGCCGCCGGCGCCGCGGCATTGTCCCCATGGGCTTCGATACCTTTTCCGCTCTCCGGCCTGTACCGCAGGCTTCTGCGAAACCCGCCCGGCCCAAGCCGAACTCGCTGCCCTCTTCGGGTTCCCAGCGTACCGGCACGTCCAACGCGTTGCAACCTGCGCCGACGCAACTCCTTTCACTCGAGTGCCAGCGCCGCCGCTTCAACCCCCAGTTTGTGGTAAAGGAAGCTTCCAGCAACGTCTTCACCTGCTCAGTTAAGCTGCGGGACATTACCATCCATGGCGACAAAGCGCACAGCTCCTCGATCGATGCGAAGCATGCGGTCGCGGCGAAGGCACTCCCGATTGTTCGGAAGTGGCCCATTTGCTCGTCTGAGCTGGCACAGCCGTATCGCAAGGACCACGTGGCGAGCACCCGTGTCAAAGAGGAACACCGGGCCCTGACCCGTGCTGCTCCAAAGTTGGAGCAGGACACCGTGATGGCCGATGTGCCCGCGGTGCATGGTAGAGACGGGGGGGCCACTGGCCTGCCCTCCCGCGGCCGCAAGCTCGACAGTGTTGCGGAGCGGGCCGAGGTGCTCGACCAGATGCGGCGCATGACGCGCGGCGCTCTGCCCGAGCACATACTCGACAACGCCGAGTCTGCCCGCGTCTTTCTCGAGGGCCTGGTGGCCGGCGTTCGGGCGGCTCGCCTGTTTGAGCCGGCCACTCGTGCCCGCTCGCGTTCCCCGGCCGCCGCGCCTCGGTCGTCCGCAAGCTACCGCGAGCGCTCTCCGCCGTTTGGTCCTTCAGTCGGCTACCGTGACCTGGACGCTCCTTCCACCGATGATCCTCCTTGTCAGTTTACGGACCTGTACCCGCGTCCCCGCCGGGATCCCAACCTGCCCAGCACGGATAGATATCGTCCGGACATGGATAGTTACCGCCCGGATTACGCGAACGGGCCTCGTTACGCCAGCAGTGGGCCTTCAGAGAAGGAGTGGCCTCACGATAAGTTCCGTCCTTAGGCTGCTTCCCTGTGGAAGCCCGCCTCGGCTCGTGTACGGGCCGTTGGCAGCCACATCGCTGGCAGGGTTTTCTTTGTTGCATTTCCTCTCACCACGTTATCATCAAGCATACTTATCAAGGTCGGTCTCGGATTTTGGGCCCTGGTAGCTGGGGATGCCACTTACATCATCAAGCGCCGGGAATTCGGGGAGGAAATGGTTGATTAGCAGGCATATCGGCGGCGGGCGGATTCCTGTGTAGAGTAGTGTTTCTTTTCACTGTTTGTAAATTTCCATCGCGATTGGAGCTTGTTCGTCTTCAATAAAGTCAATGACATTACTCTTTGCCCACTTCCACCGTGAACTAAGCCCCATCACAGCTTACTCGGCATCCTCGTCGCCCCATCCAACCTGATGACCACCCCATTCAGCATAACATTCTCAATCGCCTGCCTCACCAGCGACGCAAACTCGTCGGGCTTGCCCGCCCTCGCGGGAAACTCCATGGCCTTCTGCAGACCCTCCCGCACCTTGTCAGATAAGTGCGCCGTCATGTTGCTCTCAAACATGCTCGGCGCGATGGTAACCACCCGGATCCCGAACCGCGACAGGTCCCGCGCCATCGGCAGCGTCATGGCCGCCACGGCGCCCTTCGACGCCGAGTACGCCACCTGGCCCATCTGCCCCTCGAACGCGGCCGCGCTGGCGACCATGACCACAACCCCGCGCTCGCCATCGGGGCCAGAGGGGCCGGTGGCGGCCAGGTGCGGCAGGAGTTGCCGGACGAGGTCGAGCGTGCCGCGCAGGTTGATGGAGAGCACGAAGTCGATTGATTCCAGCGAGGCCGGGCGGAGGTGCTTGTCGAGGATCAGGGCGGGCAGGCCGACGCCAGCGGCGGGGATGATGCCGCCGAGGGGTTTGCCGGTCTGGCGGGTCCAAGAGACGATGGACGAGACGGCCGAAGCGATGCTGGTTGTGGAGGACACGTCGCACTGGATGAACCTTGCGCTGGCGCCTAGCGCGGTGGCTAGCTCTTCGCCTGCTTCTGTGTTCATGTCTAGAATGGCTGCGTTGCCGCCTTGGGCGCAGATGTCGAGCACGCAGGCGCGGCCGAGGCCGGAGGCGCTGGGGGGGGGCTGTGAGTGATGTGGGGAGCGAGAGTGGGATGGGCGGGAGGTGGGAGGCTTACCCCCCGGAGACGACGAATGTGCGGCCTGAAATCTTCATTGTAAATGGAGTGATGATTCGGTCGGATCAATCAAACACTAAGGTTCGTGTCAAGTAATGTGGCCGGTAATGAAGGACATCGTCAACACCGACGACCTGGGTTGTCAGATGCGTGCCGGGATTTTGACTGCCGAATATGGGGAAGCTGCAGGGATTACCTCGGTTGAAAGTCGGACCCCTTGTCGACTGAAAGTTTTGGGGGGGGGGGCGCGGGTGAACGTATTCGTATTTCACATGCAATATATTGTTACATGTATTTTACGTCATATGACGCTACGCCGCATTGTCGGTTGTGGCTGTGTCATCGCATGTCACCGAGATTCGTGTTCCCTGTCATGCAGATAGGGACCGGCAGCATCCACTCTGATAAGCCGAGCAACAGCATCGTGAAAGGGAGCAATCCGAAGTGCCGCTCCACCACGCCCGCAGTCGTCCAACAAATACCGAAGATCGAATCGCTAGAAGTGAACCGACCAACTTAATCAATCGAAGCCCAAATCGAGGTCTCCTCCCGACGAGCCCTCCACAGCACCGCATGAGCGGCTTCGAGCTGCCCGGCATGACGCGCCCGCGACGGTCCTCTGCCACCAGCGAGGATAGCACAGGCACGGTGCGCGAGCAGGAGCTTGGGAGCATGTACGACTACCTGGCCAAGGTCATCCTGCTGGGGCCAAGCGGGACTGGCAAGTGAGTGCTGCCGCCGTCGCATTGCCGGAGCCTTCCAGTGACCGAGAACCAGATCCTGTCTGCTACACCGCTTCGTCAAGAATGAGTGGCGCGTGCTCTCCTCGCAGACCATCGGCGTCGAGTTCGCGAGCAAAATTATCAAGGTCGGCACGGGCGCGCGCAGGAAGCGCATAAAGCTGCAGGCAAGTCGCTGGCGGAGACAAATTCGACATTGCAGCCACTAACGATGCCCAGCTCTGGGACACAGCAGGGACGGAACGGTTCCGTTCCGTCTCGCGGTCCTACTACCGCGGCGCGGCCGGCGCGATCCTCATCTACGACATCACCTCGCACGCCTCCTTCACCAGTCTCCAACCATTCCTCAACGATGCGCGCGCCCTCGCCTCGCCGAACCTGTCCCTCCTGCTGGTCGGCAACAAGCTCGACCTCGCGGGCGACCCACTCGTCGACACGAACCTGCCGCCACCTACGCCGAGCGAGAGCATCAGCTCCGTAGCAACGTCGTCATATCCCAGCACGCCCGTCCCGTCGTCCTCCTACTCTTCCGTCTCGACGATACACCCCGGGCTGGGAGCGCAGCTCAAGGCGACGGTGGCGCCCGACGGCAGGGAGGTGTCGGCCGTGGAGGCGAGCCGGTGGGCCAGCTCGGTGCAGATACCCGTCACGATGGAGGTCAGCGCGTACAGCGGGGAGGGAGTGGATGAGGTGTTTGGGCGGCTGGCGAGGATGATCCTGACCAAAATCGAGCTGGGCGAGATTGACCCGGATGATCCCATGAGCGGAATCCAGTATGGGGATGCCGGGGCGATGTGGAATGCTGGGGCCAGCGACGGGGCCAGCATCAAGAGCACCGTCACGGCCGATGAGCTTGGGGTTGGCGGGCGGAGGAGGAGGAGGACGCGGAGGGTTGGACAAGGGCTGAGGGAGTGGGAGGAGGTGTTTACGCTGACGAATCGGAGGAGGAATAAGGGCTGTTGTTGAGGGGAGCTTAAAGGTCTTTGAGGGCGGACTATGTTCGCAGGAAGGTGCATTCATGATACCATATTATACCTAATCTTGTCGGCTGGGCCCGGCGTATGGAGATGAGGATCGAGGGGCCGTTGTTCGGTTTCCGTAGCTGCTGGGTTTTGTTACTCATTGGACGGAGAGTGAGGATAGACGCTGCTTTACACAGCTACATAATGAGCCATTTCTCGAACTTCACAGCTCTCCACCTGACTTGGAAGGACGTTATATCCTGTCTACTTGGCTTGGTTAAGTTACCGGACTTCAAGGTGAGCGCAAGGTCACTGACAAGAATTGAAACCGACAGCAAGGCAGAGGACGCAAGGTTGTGCAGGGCATAGCGACGAGGGCGGATGCGGAACGGAAGGGAAGAACAGGGATGAAAAGAACAGGCACAGCGCGATGATGGACAAAGTGTCGAGGCAAAAAGGTGAAGTGGTTGAACAGTAGCTTCTTGTTCGCTGTCGAGCAGAGTACGCTCGAACAAGCCATGTCGAGCTCTACGCAGTTCACGACCTTCTTGTTGCAATAAGCAGAGCTTCAGTACCACGACACTCCGAACTGACGTTGACTGACAAATCCGAGTCCATGTCAGCTCGGGAGCGGTACTGCGTCGCCTATTTCTCGGATGACAAGCCCACCCTGCGCCAGTCTCGGCCCGTAGCCGGGAGGTGTCAGCACCGCGCTTGTGAGCTCGCCTTCTCCCAAAAGGACACGGACGGGTCCCTTCCGAGCTCAGAACCCTGGTACTAGCGCGGCAGGCTAAATTCAACGTGTCAGTGCATGATCATTTCTCCGAACTTGTACCGTGACTTATCAGCTCGAGGTCGGATACGGTCGGCAACAGGCAAGCGTTGTTCCACGAGTCAAATTTTCTGACATATTACAAATATACATCGTACGGGAAGGCGCGCCTTGTCTCGCCACGAAACGCGCAGCATTGGACGAGTTACAGGGAATACAGCCGTTGCAGCACCTGGTCGGGAACTTGATGCAGGCATGTAGATCCGCACGCGGGATTCGTCTGTCGTAGCTTCCTGTGGAGAGTGCCAGGGGTTCTTGCGTCTAACATCCCATTCGTCGACGCGGGGGAGCTGGTCCCGGGGTCGTGGAAGCTGCGTATCCGGCAGCTCGACCTCGACAACAACCATGGACCACTTACACGGATATTGCCTTATAAGCCGACCGGTATCTGGCCGGTGCTGCATGTTTTTGTCGCTCTCCAACCCGCGTTCTTCCCTCCGGTCTGTGAGACGGCGGTTGTTCCTTCAGCAGACCGTCCCACTGCCCCGCGATCTGCCCCTCCAGCAGCTCTCACCTTTCACCAGCGCTCGCCATGGCTCCTCGCGTCGTGATCCCCATCGACCAGAACTGGGAGTTTCGGCAGGCCGACAAGCAGGACGCCCAGTTCCTGCCCGTCAGCCAGTTCCCGACCAATGTGCACCTCGACCTGCAGCACCACGGCCAGATCCCGGACGCCTTCATCGGCAAGAACGAGCTCGCCGTACAGTGGGTGGGCGAGGCCCAATGGACCTACAGGACCACCTTCGCAGCCCAGCCGGTGGCCACGGGCGCCAAGGCCGTGCTCGCCTTTGACGGGCTCGACACGTTTGCGACGGTCGTGCTCAACGGCACCACCATCCTCGAGACCGACAACATGTTCATCCCGGAGCGGGTCGACGTGACGTCGGTCCTCAAGGAGCAGAACGAGCTGACCATCCACTTCGACAGCGCCTTCCTGCGGGGGTGCAAGCTGGTCGAGCAGTACCCGGATCACAAGTGGGGATGCTGGAACGGCGACACGTCGCGGCTGGCTGTCCGCAAGGCGCAGTATCACTGGGTGAGTCGACTGCTGAGCGAACCCTGAGCTTGTGCTGACGTTTTCAGGGTTGGGATTGGGGCCCGACCCTCTTGACCTGCGGCCCGTGGCGCCCCATCAACCTGGAGATCTACGACTCCCGCCTGGCCGACCTTCACGCCGACTCGGTGGTCGACAAGTCGCTGAGCAGGGCCAACGTCACCGTGACGGCGACGGTCGAGGGCAAGGCAGACAGGGTGCGCATCGACATCTCCCTCGAGGGCAAGCCGGTCGCCTCCGAAACGGCCGACGCCAGCTCCGGGTCGGCCACCGTCTCGTTCCTCGTCGACAGCCCCGCCTTGTGGTACCCTATCCGCTACGGCAAGCAACCGCTGTACCAGGTCAGCGCGATGCTGCTTAGCGGCGACGAGGAGGTCGACACCCTCTCTAAGCGCATCGGCCTGCGCAGGGCCGAGCTGATCCAGCGCCCGCTTCAGGACCAGCCCGGCACCAGCTTCTTCTTCGAGATCAACAACATCCCTGTCTACTGCGGCGGCAGCGACTGGATCCCCGCCGACAATTTCATCCCGCGCATCAGCCGCGAGCGCTACTACGACTGGGTCCGGCTGGTGGCCGAGGGCAACCAGTTCATGATCCGCGTCTGGGGCGGCGGCATCTACGAGGAGCAGGCCTTCTACGACGCCTGCGACGAGATGGGCATCCTGGTGTGGCAGGACTTCATGTTTGGCTGCGGCAACTATCCGGCCTGGCCGGCGCTGCTGGCGTCCATCGACCGCGAGGCCCGCGAGAACGTCAGGTTGCTTCGCCACCACCCGTCCATCGTCATCTGGGCCGGCAACAACGAGGACTATCAATACCAGGAGTCCGAAAACCTCACGTACGACTTCGCCAACAAGGACGCCGAGAGCTGGCTCCGCACCGACTTCCCCGCCCGCTACATCTACGAGAAGGTGCTCGCCGACGCCTGCGCCGACCTGGTCCCGTCCACCTTCTACCACCCGGGCTCGCCCTGGGGCGCCGGCCTCAACACGCGCGACGCTACCGTAGGCGACATCCACCAGTGGAACGTGTGGCACGGCACGCAGGAGAAGTGGCAGAACTTTGACCAGCTCGTCGGCCGTTTCGTCTCGGAATTCGGCATGCAGGCGTTCCCCTCGGTCAAGACCATCGACGCGTACCTGCCCCTCGGAAAAGACGACCCGGACCGCTACCCGCAGTCGTCGACCGTCGACTTCCACAACAAGGCCGAGGGCCACGAGCGGCGCATCGCGCTGTACCTGGTCGAGAACCTGCGCTACGCGCCCGACCCGCTCGAGCACTTTGTGTATAGCACGCAGCTGATGCAGGCCGAGTGCCTGGCCTCGGCGTACCGCCTCTGGAAGCGCGAATGGCGCGGCCCGGGGAGGGAGTACTGCGGCGGCGCGCTCGTCTGGCAAACCAACGACTGCTGGCCTGTCACGAGCTGGAGCATTGCCGATTACTACTTGCGCCCCAAGCTGGCCTACTTCACGGTCAAGCGCGAGATGGCGCCCGTGAGTATTGGGATTACCCGCCGCGAGCACAGGCATCCGCGGGATAAGTACACTCGGGTCAACGTTGACGTCAAGACGCAGATCGAGGTGTGGGGAAGCAATCTGACTCTAGAAGACCTGACGGTGGACTGCGTGCTCAAGGCGTGGGACGTCGAGTCCGGCGAGGAGACGTTCTCGCAGACGGTGGCGGCCGGCGTGCTGCTTCCGGAGAACCGGTCGACCGAGATCGCCGCGCTGGACGTGCCCGTTCGGCAGAGGAACGCCGGCGAGGAAGGGCGGACTGTCGTGGCGGCGTATCTCGTCAAAGACGGCAGGCAGATTGCGCGCTACGTCAACTGGCCCGAGCCGCTCAAGTATGTGCATCTGCAGAAGCCGAGGGCGCTCAGGGTGCAGCTGACGCCGGATGGCGCAGCGGTCGAGATCAGCGCCGAGGTGCCGGTCAAGGGCGTGGCGCTGGAGTGCGAGGATGATAGTGTCAAGTTTGATGACAATTTGGTGGATATTGTGCCGGGCGAGGTTGTGACGATCGGCGTTAAGGGGGCTACTGCCGAGACGAGGATTGAGACGCGGTATCTGGGGATGCTTTAGAGACGGAAAGAGAGAGAGCGAGAGATAGAGTTTCAGATTTCATTAGATTCTTGTACACTCAACGCCAATAGATGAAATGACCATGATAACAACGCAAACCCCAGAATGCACCCGTACGCCGTGATATGCAACTTTTCAAGCTATCCCAACGTGCTCAGCAGCAACCCGTGCTGCCGGCCGCCTGCGCCGCCTCGAGCTTCTTCTCGTCGACGCTCGTGTCCATAACCTGCTCAACCTTCTCGTTGGGCCCGGCAATCAGGATCTTGATGACCTGGCCCTCCTTGACCTTCTTGAAGGCCTCCTCGGCGTCCTTGAAGGGCACGACGCCGTTGACGAGCGCCTTGACGTCGACCTTGCCGTCCGCAACGAGCTGAATGGCGAGCTTGTAGTCGCCGCTGCCGTAGCGGAACGAGCCCCTGGCCGTCACCTCCTTGAGGCACAGCGCCATGATGGGGAAGGTGATGTCGGACTTGCCCATGCCGCCCTGCACGTAGGTGCCGCCCATGCGCACAACGTGCAGCGATGTCTGGATGGACGGCTCGGCGCCCGAGGCGTCAATGACGGCGTCGGCGCCCTCGCCGAGGTCGGCCTCGGCGATCAGCTTTCGCGCGTTCTCCTCGGCCGACACGCGCTGCGACATGTACGTGTGCGTGGCGCAGTACGACCGCGCAAAGTCCAGCTTGGCCTGCACAATGTCCACCGAGACCACCTTGGTCGCGCCAAAGGAGCGCGCCACGGCCGCGCAGAGCAGGCCCACAGGGCCCGCGCCCATGATCACGACGCTCTGGCCGGGCTGCACGCGCGCCTGCTTGACAATGTGCACGGCGACGGCGAGCGGCTCGATCAGGGCGCCTTCCTGCAGGGAGACGTTGTCGGGAAGCTTGTAGCAAAAGTCGGAGGGCGCACTCCAGAAACCGGTCAGGGTGCCGTCGTAGGGCGGGGTGGCGGCGAAGCGCATGTCCGGGCAGAGGTTGTAGTGGCCTGAGAGGCAGGGCTCGCAGCGGCGGCAGGGGTAGCCCGGCTCGAGGGCGACGCGGTCGCCCTTCTTGAGAGTGGTCACGGACGCGCCGACCTCGACGACGGTGCCGGCCGACTCGTGGCCCAAGACCATGGGGTCCTTGACGACGAAATGGCCGATGGCGCCGTGCACCCAGTAGTGCACGTCGGAGCCGCATATGCCCGTGTAGTTGATGGCGACGAGCACATCGTGCGGGTGCTGCAGCTTGGGCACGGGCCGCTCCTCGAAGCTGACGTCGTTGGGCTTGTTGAGGACGAACGAGAGGTTCTGCGAGGTTAGCTTGTGGAGGCAGGGGGATCGGAGTCGAAGGGACCTACAGAAGCCATTGTGATGGTAGTGAGTCGAAAAGAGAGATGACTTCACGGGAGAGTTCGGGGCGAGGCAGCAGCGGTAGGGATGACAACGGAGAAAGCTCGTCGTGAAGGGAAGGGGGAGCTTGGGGAGGATGGGATTAAATAGGGCAGGAGTAGCTACTCCATATGGCACCTCTCACTCAGCACCGCTTCTCGGAGATGCCTAGCCAGAGATCTCTTTTGCCTGTTTCCCAGCCAGCTTGGGCATGAATGAACCAAGACTGCCCCTCCTTGTCCAACCGCATGTGTAATATGCTTGGTCGTGCTTTTGGTGGGCGGGTGTGGGGAGCTTCGATGCGCCAGCAGGGCCAGACTTCCATCCATCATCCCCCCACCAGCCGGATCTGGTTACGCCATGGGTTTGGTGTTGAGCCCGCCGACAGCCGCCCGCGGTCTGTTCTGGAAGCTGTTGCAGCTGTCAAAGCACCAAGCTCCCGCAACCCCACGAGCGCTTTTATCCACCATTTTACCCGCACCAATTATCAAAGGAGCGCATCTCGGCCGGTATCCGCCCGGGGCTGTCACGACGAATCTTCCCAGGACAGGCGCGTCAGGTGAGAGCCAGAGACTTCTTTATCCACGATGTGTACGGAGTATCGGTAGGAGGGGATATGTCGGTGACAAAATGCGATGGAGCAGAGCTCTCGATGCAATTTGCCGCTGAACCTCAGGGTCAGACTCGATGGCTGGGGTCTCCACACGCTGCGGCGGCGAAACTTGGTACAGACGATACATACAGAGTCCAACACCGCGGAACGGTAGAGCGCAGAACCCGGCGGAAAAGGGACTGCGGCGAGGTGAATAGGCCTTGATTTATCGTTATTTATCATCGAAGCTCGTGGGGACGTCACATTGCAGATGGCTAGCCAGACCGGTCGCGGCAGTTGGCCGGGGTCGCAGGACAGGGTTGTACAGGGTACGGAGGACTGTGATCGATGAGATGGAAGTTCAGCTGGTCAATAGCGGCATGACCAACCAACGACCATCGATGAGGACATTCAGTCTTCTGGCTCCATCAACTGCCCAATCCAACAAAAAGCTCCGAGAATCACAGCGGGTTCTGTGGAAATACCAGATTGATAGGATCACCAATAAAAGATATGACAAGAGTGGGATTCGAACCCACGCCCTTTCGGACTGCCAGTCAGAATTCCTGAAGACAGCGCCTTAGACCGCTCGGCCATCTTGCCGTATTCGATATTATTGGAAAGTGGTTTGCAATATTATACAGTAGTGAAAGTTTGGCTAGTGAACAGGAAGTCTGACTTCTGGGAGGTTGACGGAAAGCGTTAACGCACAAACCACAGCGGGCATGACGTCGTCCCGGTGTCGGCGACGGCGGGGCCCGATGCAACCCGAGCGAGGTATCCCGCCGTCGCTTCTGAAGCGAGAGATGCATATCTGCATATCCCAGCACAGGATCCCATTTCGACACCGACATGAGGACTCGCTAGACTAGCGACTCAATGCGTTATGCGCGGTGGACAGCCATCGTCCCCAGGTCCCTGACCCGCGCGATTTACAGACTCGATCCATTCTCAAAAACCATGGCGACGGGGCGCACGTACAATGTAAGCAAAAACCCCCCAGATGACACCTCCATTGTCGGTGCACCAACTGAGCATTGAACCACCAGGATGCCATCGACGCCCTCAACTCCCTCCAGACGCCCTACGCCGTGATCGAGGCCCGCCGCAAGGCCGGCATCCGGCCCGATGCCGCCTCGGTCCGTGAGATGCGCGCCTATCTGGCCCGCATCGGCTACGCCCCGCGCGACCTTGACCGCCTCAACATCGTACACGTCGCCGGCACCAAGGGCAAGGGCAGCACCTGCGCCTTTGTCGACTCGATCCTCGCCCGCTACCAGCAAAAGGGCGGCCCACCGCACCGCGTCGGGCTGTTCACCTCGCCGCATCTGATCGCCGTGCGCGAGCGCATCCGCATCAATTCGGTACCCATCTCGGAGGAGCTGTTTGCGAAGTACTTTTTCGAGGTGTGGGACCGGCTGGAGGAGAACAAGGACGTCGCTGCGGACGCGGCGGTGTCGGGGAGCAAGCCCATCTACGCGCGGTATCTGACGCTCATGAGCTACCATGTGTTTCTGTCCGAGGGCGTCGATGCGGCCGTGTACGAGACGGGTATTGGCGGCGAATTCGACGCGACGAACGTTGTGGAAAGGCCGGTCGCGAGCGGCATCAGCACGCTCGGTATTGACCACGTCTTTGTACTGGGCGACACAGTCGATAAAATCGCATGGCACAAGGCGGGCATCATGAAGCCTGGTAGCCCGGCCTTTACCATCGAGCAGGTACCGGAGGCTGCCGAGGTGCTCAAGAAGCGGGCGGTAGAGAAGGGGGTTGACCTGAGGTTTCTGGACATTGACCCCCGACTTGTGGACGTGAAAATTCGCCCAGGTGCAACTTTCCAGAAGAAGAATGCGACGCTGGCGGTTGCCCTGGCGGGAACGGCTTTGAAGAGGTTGGATCCTTCCTTCTCACCAAGACCCGACGCGCTGCCGCAGGAGTTTGTCGACGGCTTAGAGCAAGTCGTCTGGCGCGGCAGGTGCGAGGTCAAGGACGAAGACAGCGTCGTCTGGCACGTGGACGGGGCACACACAGTCGACAGTCTGAAGATGGCGGCCCGCTGGTTTGTCGGCGAGTGTGCCAACCGGAGCGAAGCAGGACCCAAAGTGCTCATCTTCAACCAGCAGGGCCGCACCGAGGCGGTCGACTTCCTTGACGGGCTCTGCAACACGGTGAAGAACGCCGACCCAGCCGGGAAGGGGTTCGAGCATGTCATTTTCTGCACTAACGTCACGTATGCCGCAACGGGGTACAAGAGAGGTATGTGTCAGCTGTCCGACGTTGCGCGCGCAGATGCTAATAGTGCAGACTTTGTGAACCGTCAGCACAACCCCGCGGATATCGCAAACATGACGCAGCAGCGCGTGTTCGCCGAGAGGTGGAAGACCCTCGATCCCTCGGCCAACATCATGCTCATCCCCAGCATCGAGGAGGCGCTTAACACGGCCCGCAGCCTCGCAGAGAAGGAGGGCGAAAAGAAAGCACAGGCTCTCATCACGGGTAGCTTGCACCTGGTAGGAGGCGCCCTGGGCATCCTAGAAGGCGCCGATGCACTCTAGATTGGTGGTAAAAGTTGGACAGACGGGCTCGTCTTCATCGACTAGCCCGTGGTTTACCTCGTATTCAACTGTACAGGTCAGCTTCACAGCATGGAATGGAGTTCAGGTCATCTAGATTGGAGACAAGTTTTCAACTTGCTCGATGGTCTTGAGCACGGCGCCCACCAGGTGGAAGCTCCCTGTGACAAGCACCTTGCATGTCTTGCCGTTTTTCCTCGCCTGGGTCGCGATGTGTCTGACGTGCTCGACTGCGGGTTGAACCGCGTCATACACGACTGTTTTCGTTGCTGGTTCGACTTTCCGCATCGTCTGTTGCGCCTTGGTCTGAACGGTAATGTCGCGGGCCTCTCCCTCAGCCGACTTGTGCTCCTCGTTCCTCGTGAAAATGGCGTGGCTGAATACCGGTTGGCGACCGTCCTGAAGCCCAGCCAGCAGCGCCCTCAGCAACGGGTCCGGGTCTCTCTCCTGCTGGTTGAACACGAGAACCCGGACGCCGTCTTTCGCCGCGTCCGCTGTCCTGCCCGCAAACCACCGCCCGACCCCAGCGAGACTGTCGTCCGTGTGCGCCCCGTCCACATGCCACTCGATGCCGTCTGCACCTATGAGAACCTCGCACCGCCCACGCAGGGCAGCCTCCTTAAGCCCCTGCACAAATGGCGACGGGATATCGCTCAGTGACCAGTCCTCGGTCCCAAACCGCCCCTCGAGTTCGAAGCCCGTCCTCAGCAGGTGCTCCCTCGCGGCATACACCGCCAACGCCATATTGTACTTCTGGAACGGCCCCTGCAGCTTTGCTCCGTCGACCCCTCCCCACCGCTCAACCTCATCGTCTACAACCTCCACCAACTCAGCCCCCTTCTCCCTTGCCCGTGCCCTCAGCACCTCCATCACCCCCTTCTGCTCCGGCAAACTCCTCGTGAACGCCTTCACTCCCTCCTTGAACACCCCAGCCTTATGCCACGCAATCTTCTCGACCGTGTTCCCGAGCATGCTAACATGATCGACCCCAAGCTGCGTAATCACAGCGGCCGTCACCGCCTCCGGCGGAAGCACATTCGTGGCATCATACTCGCCACCAATCCCGCACTCGACCACCGCGTCCCTGGCCCCTTCCCGGATAAACGCATGCAGCGCAACAATGGTCAAGAACCGAAAGTAAAACGGCTTCGTTCCGGGCCCATCCAACTCCCCGTCCCCAACCTCCACCCCTCTTGCCCTCACCTCCTCCCTCGCAGCCGCCGTAAGCCGTTCCCAGACTTCATTCACATACCGCCCAAACTTTTCGCGCGAGATGATCTTCCCGTCGAGGACAATCCTCTCCCGAACGGAGAGCACATGCGGCGAGGTGTATAATGCCACCTTACTCCCGGCCACTTCTTCTTCCTTTCCTGCTGCGGTGAGGTATTGAGAGAGAATAGAAGCGACAAAGGCGCTAACACTCCCCTTGCCCTTGGTCCCGGCAACGTGCACACACCGCAACCCGGACCCGGCCAGCGACGAAGGGGTATAGCCTGCGCGGGCGAGCCAGGCGAGCATCTCCGGGATGGCCAGGGCGTTGAGGGCTCCTCCTCCCGCTCCTCCTCCTCTTCCACTTCCTCCTGTTGTGGCCGCTGGGGTGGTAGTTTCGAACAGGGATGTTATGGCGCGGTTTGATTGCAGGTGGGAGAGCCTGGTTAGGGCGGTGGTGTAGGCGTCTGAGGATGCCATTTTGTGGGTTGTTCGTGGGGAGATGGTGGTGGTGAGATGGCAGATGCGGGTGGAAATAGAATTCGGCCTTAAATGGGAGATGGCGGTGATGAGTTTGCTGATGCAGCGGCGTGCTGGCATTTCAGGATCCACTGATCAAGTCGGCGTTATAGGTTATTCTGCTGGCTACCGCGGATTTCAGCGGCCAGCGTATTTTGCTGGACTTCATGAAAAGCACGGTTTCAAACCAGAGAACTATCCGTAGTTAAAGGCGAGAGATCGTGCAGAGAGCCAGATCCTAGAAAAATGTGGGGCTTGAACAAGGCTTGTTCACCTCAACATTGACATGATACACCAAGTACAACTCTACACACATATCACCACATACGTATCACCAAATCTGGAGTCAAACCACAGGTCCAAACACTTGAGTGATAAAACTAGGAATTCAAACACACAACACCATGTCCATGGCCTGATCGTCTATTGACTACTTGATACACGCCGGCCTCTACCTAGCAGATCTAACGAGGAATGTACATCAACAAAAGAAAACCCCCTACTCCAGCCTCAAGCTCTGTAGCCTCGCCTCGGTCTGGATAACCTACCATAGCAAGTTAGCAACCACCCAACTCCTCAAAGCAAAACATGGAGAAAGAGCACATACCTCCAAAGCCTGCCGCACCTCCAGCACCTTCCTCACCTCAGCCAGCCAATCCCGACTGAGCGTCTTGGACCACCCTTTCAGGCCATTCATCTCCCTCGCCGCATTGTCGAGATCGCCCTCCTCGAGCAGCGTCTGCGTGCGAGTGAGAATGCTCTCGACATCATCACCCGCCGCCAGCCCCGGCTGCTTCTTGAAGAGCACTTTGCTGAGGACATAGCTCGAGGCGTGGCTAGCGACGCCCGCGTCGTCGGGCAGCAGGCTCGCCTTGCGCACCTCGGCGGCGACGCGGCGGAACCGGTCGATCAGCTCGGCGGGGGTGGCGATGCCGCGCTGGTATGCCGACGGGTGGATCGAGGCGATGGCGGCGTCGACGACCGGGTCCTGGGACGCAATCTCCTTGAGCGCGACTAGTTCCTTGATGAAGGGCCGCGGGTGGTGCGCGTCCTCGAGGCTGGCGCGCACCGCCTCTACGGCCACGTGAAGCTGCTGCGTGCGCAGGGCCGCGTCGACGACCTCGTTCCAGCCCGTCGTGAGCTTCTCGAGGTTGGCGACGGCCGCGGTCAGCTCGTTGAGCTTGCCCAGGCGGCCGTCGCGCTCCTCCTCGACGTGCTTCTTGATGTCGCGGGCGAACTGGCGCTGCAGCTGGACGGCCTGCTCGAGCAGCTGGTTGTTGAGCTTCTCCTCGGCCAGCTGCCGCTCGCGCTGCTGGATCAGCTGCACCTTGGCGTCGTAGCTCTGCTTGAGCCGCTCCATCTCGACCTCGAACTCCTTCCGGAACTGCCGCTCCTGCGCGGCCATGGCGGCCTCCAGGCGGGAGACTAGCTCGTTGGCGGCCTTGTCGAAGTTGTCGACGCGCTCCCTGACCTGCTTAGCAGCCTCCTTTTCGACTGACGCCTTCAGGGCACGGATTTTTTGGCCGACCTTGTTGACCTCGCCCTTTGCCTTGCCGATGGTGGCGCCGTACTTCTCGTTGGCGCCGTCGTGGTTGATGACGGTGATGATGTCGTTCAGCATGCGCACGAGGTCCTGCACCACGGGATCCGCGGCGTCGGGGACGGCCAGAGGGTCGATGAGCGAAGCTGGAGGCCACCGCGACGGCTCGTCAACCTCGGGTGCTTTCCATGCCTGCGCTGGTGCAGGCGTGGGTGCAGGAGCGGGAACAGGAGCCGGAGCAGCGGAAGCAGGGGTAGCAGGAGCGAGAGCAGGTTCCGGCTCCGGCTCCGGCTTCGTCTTGGCAATAGGCGCGGGGACAGGCTTCTGCTTCTCGACATCATCCTGCTTGGACTCGGCCTTGGGCAGCTTGGCCGTCTGCTCCTTTGCGTGGGCCACGACGGCAGGCTCAGCCTTGGACTTGGTCGCATCCTTGGCACCAGCCACCTTCTGAATCGCGCTCGATTGCCGGCCGCCAGTCTCGCCATCGGCGACACGCCATGAGGCGCCGCTCTGGGCGGGGATCTTGACGTGCTCCCCATCCGGCCGCCGACCCGTCACGCGGCTGGCCACGTTGGGGAACCGCTTCTTGAAGTCCATCTCTTCCAGGTACAGCACGGCCTGCTCGCCATAGGGAATGTACTCGGTGAAGAAGTCGTGGAAATTGTCGTTGATGCGCGAATACCATACGCCGCCGCCGAAGGCCAAGGCGCTCAGCAGGGTGAGGGTGAGGATGTAGTTGCGCAGCCTCCGGAAAAGGCCAGTCCTCTGACGCGGCGTCGGGAGAGGTGGTGGCGGGGTGATGGTGGCCTCAGGAGCGGGAGGCGTGAGGGGGGCATTCTCGGGAGGGATGGTGGACGAAGCGACATTCTCGACTTGGGGAGGAGGCGGCGGAGCCGTCGAAGGGGACGTCAGGGTCTCGGCAGAAGGAAGTTTGACCTCATCAGGGCGCTTCTTGTCGTCGGCATAGAACCTCTGAAACTCCGAGACAGCATCTGGTTAGCTCTTCAACGGGGACGTAGAGCTCGCATGACCTCATACCTGGCTTGACACGACTGCACGAAGCGCAGAAACCTGCCATTGGCGGCCGACAGCGGCTGCGGCGGGCCTGCTGCCCAGCGCCCTCACGGATCGCAGCGATGTCCGCAACATGAAGGGATGGGGTGGCCGGCAAGGCGCGATTGAAGTGAGTGTGGTGGTGTTCGGGGAGAATGCCGAAGCGAAAAAGAGCTCGGCAAAGTTCCGGGCAAGCTGCGGAACCAGGAACTCTGAACCAGAATCTTGGCACGACAGGGCAGGCCCGGCAGAAGTTAGCACCATCTCAATGATTCTCAAGCAGAACAACGCACTCGAAATTCGATGACTTCTAAAGAAGCTAGTAATCATAAACGGAAAAACGCAGTATGGGCTCATTAAAATTACCATCGTTGCAGGCTGTTGCTCTATCTGCCTACTATACACCAAGAGCGCCTGCTGAGCCCGGCCTGCCCTCCCACTTGAGAAGGGGCCTGGCCAGTGCCAAAACAAACATGACCCATGGAAAATAAGGTATTAAAAGGCACCATACCATCCACCCAGCGACTCCGCCCCAGATGTGTGACCCAAGTAACGTCCTATGACCTGCTCTATGACCGCGGCTCCCTCCTGCTGCAGCCGCATCTCCGTCCCTACGCAATCCCGGCATCCTATCCTCCCTCAGCAGGCGCATGGCCCGCCGGCTTGCGTGTTTGCGCCCTCCGGTGCTAAGCTGACCCCGGGCCGCTGGCCAGGCCTGGCGTGCCTCGGCCCGGCCTGGTCGAGGGGTAGCTTCTTGGCGATGGCGGTGAACAGCTCTTGCACGTTCTCGGCCGTCTTTGCCGACGTCTCAAAGAAGAGCAGCCCGGCCTCCTTGGCGTAGGCCTCGGCGTCGGCCGTCTCGATCGCTCGCTTGTCGGGCTGCTCCGTCACCAGGTCCAGCTTGTTGCCGGCGAGCGCGATGATGATGTTCTCGTTGGCCTGCCGCTGGAGCTCCTTGACCCATGACTTGGCCTTGTCGAGTGATGTCTGGGAGTGTTAGTGAGCCACAGAAGGAGATGTGCAACGCGACGGGGAACATACGGCTTGGGTAATGTCGTAGACGACAACTGCGCAGTTGGCATTCCGGTAGTACATGGGCGCCAGCGACTTGTACCGCTCCTGGCCCGCCGTGTCCCAAATTTCAAACTTGACCGTCGTGTTCTCGTCGAGCGAGATGGTCTGTGTTAGGAAGGCGGCACCGATGGTCGATTCCCGGTATGAGTCGAATTGATCCTACTGTAGTTAGCTTCTGCTTGGCTGCGGACGCAGAAGACAGCAGCAGTTCACCTTGACAAACCGCAGCACGATCGAGCTCTTTCCCACGGCAGATTCACCTGCACCCGATAAGCCTATGTTCTCGAAGGTACGACATCATATACCGTACCTAGCAGCACCAGCTTGAACTGGGCAAATCGGTTGCTCATTCCGCGAGCGCCCGGGGGTCCTCGAGTGGCCATGGCGAGGTTGTGGTTGTTCGTTGTGAAGGAAGATGTAAGGGCGACCGCGAGGCGGCACTGTCGGCTCGGCTGAAGCTGGGCTCTGACAATCAAAAGTTGTTGTTGCTCGAGACAAAGCTCGCTCGTACGGCAGATCGGGAGGTGGTCGCCGGCAAGGTCCGGATCTAGATGGTGAACTCTCTCGAAGATGTGATGCAGTGCAGGTTCGTCGAGGACCTGAACCGGGACTGATTGTTGAATGGTGTTGGAGTCGTTGAGCGCAGTCTGGGCATGGCTACTGTCAGTGGTCAGCGGGCGCATGCACACGTCAGGCTTGGGCCGATAGCGAAGGCAGACGGCCTGGTCCGTGCGTGTCCACGTGATGGCAGCGGCAAACTGGCTTCGTGCCCCTGTCTGTGCCAACCGTTGCCGGCAGCCAGTTGAGGCACGCCAAGACTCAAAGTGGCCAAAAGCTCGATCTGGCGACACTCCTGCAACGCCCTCTTGTTGGCGGCCAGGATGTCAGCTTCAAGTGTTGAAGAAGGATGGAGTCGAGGCGTTTATTCTTAGCAGCCGCAGCACAAATCTGAAATAGCTGACGACGAAATCCGCCGGTTTCCTTTTTACACTTTAACTTGAAGTACATGGGGTGCCAGTTTACGAATTAGTCTCGTAATCCTCCTCGTCGCCGCCATTGTTCGCAGCCTCGCCATGGCGCTCCCTTTCCGCGACATCAACGTCCAGATCGCCTCCGATTCGTATATATTCTCTTCTCCTTCAAGCCCCAATGCGCCCGCGCTGCTGATTGACCGTCCCACGGGCGATATCCGGCTCAGCGATGCCTCCCTGCTCGGCGGGAAGCGCGTGTCGCGCGTGACAAGCATCGCCGGCATCCTGGGCATGATCCGGTTGCGGCTGGGTAGGTTCTCTTCGACATAACGAGGGGAAGACCCGACCGTTAACTTCGCCAGACAAGTACATCATTGTCATCACCAAGGCCCAGCCCGTCGGCCGTCTGCGCGGACACATGGTGTACAAGATTGTGGCGACCGAGCTACTCCCCCTCCGCGAGCGCCAGGTACACGACCAGGATGAGGACCGCTTCCTCGCTCTGCTGCGCAACTTCATCAAGACGGGCCCCATGTACTTCTCGTACGCCGTCGACATCACAAACAGCTTCCAGCGCCAGGCGCAGCAGGACGCCGCGAGCCCGCTGTGGAAGCGCGCCGACGACCGCTTCTTTTGGAACCGCTTTATTCAGTCCGACCTGATCGACTTTCGCAACCAGGGCGGCCGCGGCCAGCCAGCGCCCCAAGCCGGCATCGACCCCTACATCCTCCCCGTGATCTTTGGCGTGCTCGAAATCCACCCCTCAGCATTCAAGGGTACGCCCCTGACAATAGCCCTGATCACGCGGCGCTCGCGGCACCGGGCTGGCACTCGCTACTTCACCCGCGGCCTCGACGATCAGGGGAATGCAGCCAACTACAACGAGACAGAACAAATCCTCATACTCAACGACAGCGCAGCAGGGCTCGGCGGGTATGCAGGCAGCTCGGGTCCGGGTATCCAGCGCAACACGGAAGGCAAAGACATGCAAATCCTGTCGTACGTCCAGACCCGCGGCAGCGTCCCGGCTTACTGGGCCGAAATCAACACGCTCAAGTACACGCCTAAGATCCAGATCCGCGCCGTCGAAGCCGCCCTCCCCGCAGCGCGAGCCCACTTCGACGAGCAGATCCGCATCTACGGCGACAACTACCTCGTCAACCTCGTCAACCAAAAAGGCCGCGAGATGCCCGTTAAGCAGGCCTACGAGCAGGTTGTCGAGGCGCTCGTCTCCAGCCCGCAGGAGCGCGTCCAAGCCGACCAGAGGACCGACGAAAAATTCCACACCATCGAGACGGGCGGCCCGCAGCGCTCGCCGTTCGACCGGCTGCACTACGTCTACTTTGACTTCCACGCCGAGACCAAGGGCCTGCAAATGCACCGCGCGCAATTGCTCATCGACCGGCTGCGCGACGCGCTCGTCGCCCAGCAGTACTTCCGCGCCGCAGACATGCCGGGCAGCCGCATCGACGGCCGGCTCGAGGTGCGCAACCTGCAGACGAGCGTCGTGCGCACAAACTGCATGGATTGTCTGGACCGCACCAACGTGGTGCAGAGCATGCTGGCGCGCTGGACGCTCGACCGCATGCTGATCGACCTGGGCATGCTGGCGCGCGGGTCCCGCTTCGCGGATGAGGACGACGCTTTCGAGCTGCTGTTCCGCAACATGTGGGCCGACAACGCCGACGTCGTCTCCAAGAGCTACAGCGGCACGGGCGCCATGAAGACGGACCTGACCCGCCTCGGCAAGCGGACCAAGGCCGGCGCGATGCAGGACCTGAACGTCGCCTGTACGCGCTACTGCAAAAACAATTTTCTGGACGGGCCCCGCCAGGACGCATTTGACCTGTTCCTCGGCGCCTACCAGCCGCCTGATGGCGGCATCGGCACAAACCTCATCTTTGCCGACCGCAGGCCCGTCTGGATCCAGAGCGTGCCGTACATTGCCGCCTTCGGCTTCTTCTTTGTGCTGGTGGGCTTGTACACCCCGCGGCTGCCTGACGCGGCGGTCTGGCCATTGCGGCTGTTCATCCTCTTCTGGGCGGCTGTCACGGTCTGGAGTGTGCACTTCATTCTGTCCAACGGCATGCTCTATGTACGTTCCCTTCCCTCTCCTGTTACGAATCTGACAGCATACTGACATTGCCAGGTCAACTGGCCCAAGCTGAATCCCCGGCCGTGGGCGACGGAGGGCTACCACGAGACCATCAGCCGGGTGCGCAAGGACCGGATCCTGGGCCCGCTGGTTGCGCGGCACGAGCGCGGCCTCAGCACGGCGAGGTATATCAGTGCCGAGGAGGGCAAGAAGAGGATTGAGTAGATGTGGCTTGGTGCTGTTTGTTTCTAGTATAGGGTATTGTAAGAAACCCGCGTTTCTGCATGGTTCGTTATTAGGCGGCTGCCTCTAGACTCGCGCTAAGCCAGGCATGTTCGACCTGACAAATTCATTGTAATAAGGGTGCTTCTGACGATAGACGGATTTCCGTAGCCCATGTTCAAATCGGAACAGGACCGTTGAGGTGGGGGGTGAACATTTGCTGCTTGTAGACTACACCAGCCGCAAGACAAGCAATTAGGACCCGACCTCGAACATTAACCAATGCTATACCATATTTGATTACAGAGTACAGTCCTGGGTATCGCGTGTTCCATCACCATGACCAAACCAAGCACCTCCTCAAACCAGGCAGCACAATTCATTTTCCCATCCGATGCTCATTACCAACCCAAACACCTATATCAGAACCCAACAAACGACAACTCTCAGATTACAGCCAAAGCAACCACCGAACCCCTCTCACAACCCCCTTCCCAACCCCCAACACAACCCTCACAATCATAACCAGAAACCACACATACCACATACACCCGACCAGGACCCACTCCACAATAAGCCACCCAGCCCGTCGAACCCACCGAAACCTTCTTCTCCTCCGCCTCAACATCATATCCATCGCGTCCACAACCCTCTTAACCTTCAGCCGCTGGCCCACAATCAAATCGTGATTCGCCTCGTCCGCGGCGTCGGCAGCCGACTGCGCGAGACTTGTCAGTTCCCCAGCGACTTTGTTTCGAAGGAACTCGACGTGGTGCAGGAGGGCGGGGGCTGTTTCCGTGGTGAATTGGGACGAGACGGCGTGGAAGTGGGATGTTGAGGCGGTGACTGACGAGGCGAGGGTGCGGGCGGCGAGGGGGTAGAGGTCCGTTTGCGGCGTGCTTGAAGTGTGAACCTGGCGGTTTTGGGTTGTTGTCTCCGAGTCGGTCGCGAGAAGGGCGATTTGTGGCCAGGAGAGGGTATGTCCAGTTCTGTGGTCTGGTTTGGGGAGGGGGAAAGAATTATGGGCGGCGATTTGGGGTGTTGGGGAGGGCAGCAGTTTTGACTGTTTGGCGCGGCTGTCTATTTCCATTGCGTAGATGCCCGAGCTGAGCAGCAAGGCCCGCAGGCGGGCGATCTCGCGCTTGGAGACAACTGCGCGGGCGGGAGGCGTGCTACGGTCGGCGATGGACCATTGCCGGCTCGAGGGTGTGGTGGAGTGGTTGGGGGCAATCACCGCCACGTCCAAGCGGGCTGTAGCTGCGCGTGCATCATCCCGTTCGGCCTGCGACTCCGTATCCGATCCGGCGGGCCCATGCTGGCGTACCAAGACCGGAGGCGGGGACGTGCTCGGGGAGGCATTCTGCACGTCGATCCTAGGCGGCTTGAGCAGATCGAACCTAGAAGACCTGCGGCTGATCGGCCTGGCTGGCGGGTGTGGAAGCTGACCAGACTTGGCCAGGTCGTGGACGAGCTGGGGTGCCTCGAGCAGGTTTTGGGCATCTTGCACGGTTAGGCTACAGCCATGTAGAGGACGCCTCGATCTACCCCGAGACTCGGCCTCGGAATCGTCCGAGGAGGTGCTGGAGGAGTCGTCGTCCTTACGCCAGAGCATGTCGCCGACCTTGGATACGCCGCTGCGCAGAACCGTATCAATGCGCGGGCCGCGGAGTAGCGATCGAAAGCTGATGCCACCATCTTCCCCGCGCAGCTTGGCGCTGCTGAGACTCTTATGCGACCGGTGGCCTCGCTCTCTAATCGGGCTCCGCGAGGGCCTCCGCTGGGGTGGTGGGATGCCGCCTCCAGTCGTCTCCGATGAGCCGATCCAGTGCTCAGGAGGGCTCAAGGCGGAAACTCCATCGTCTCCAGTAGCGTGCGCATCTGGGTGTCGTTCCTTGCTGCGCTCGCGGAATATGCTCTTGACCTTGGTCAGCGGGTTCCGATGCGGCGAGCTTGGCCTGCTGGACATGGGCGACAGGTCCTTGCCGATGGCTGGGACCAGATCCCTGGCTGGTCCCAGGTTCGGCGAGTTTGGTTGCGATGCATCGTCCTCAACTGACATCCGTCTGTTCCTTGGGACCTCCAAGCTGGTCCGGGTCGTCTGCGGCGGTGAAGAGTGCGACAGCGGAACCGGCTTCAGGCCAAGCCCTCTGAGCTCTGCCTCGCTGAGCTCAGGGCGCCAGTCGGCCCGCCGTCGGCTGCTGGCATCCTGAGACGCGCGAGGCTCCCGCTCTGGTGTCATGGGTGCAGACTGGATACGCTGAGCCTCGTGGTCGTAGAGCGGGTGCGATTCAGCCTCTCTCTGCTCCCGAGCGATCATTTCCTCCATTTGCTTCTCCAGAATTGACCTCACACTGCTACCTGGGCCGACCTTTGCGCGCCGACGATCGCTGTCAGTGTCGGACGACTCTGACAGTGAGCCCCGGTGGAGGCGGAGCAGGTCGCGGTTGGCGATCGAGCCGGTATGCCGGTGCTGCGAGCCCGTGAGCGCCCGGAACTTCTGCTGGGCACGGTCTCGGGCTGCACTGAGCACATGCTCATGCTCGTGTCGTGATGGGGGCGGGTCCGGGGTGGATTTATCCCCAGGAGTATGCGTTTCTAATGATTCTCTGGTGGACGCAGGGGTGGACAGCCGCGGCATCTCCTCGCGGGACATTGGCCGAGGCACATCGAGTCCCTGAGGAAAGACGCGCCGCCAGTGGCGGTCTTCAACCAGCCTCTTGTTGTTGTCGAGTTCGAGCCAGTACGCGTCTGCCAGCATGTCGGCTGGATCAATCACCCAGTCGACTCGGGGTCGCCTCGGCTTGGCCACAGCAGCTCTCCCGTTAGCTGATGGCGGAGAGGCTTGCAACGCCGCCTGGGCACCTGTGAACGGAGGGAGTGCAGAATTTCCCGGCTGGCAAGCCTGTCCCGTGGCCACCCACTTGGCGACATCGTCAATCCACTCGGAAACTTTGAGGACATCGTGGAAGCCCTGCGCCTCGCCATCGATAGTCCTCCGCTCGCGCACTCGTACTTTGCGGTTCCGTATGTACTGTAGAGGGTTGTAAGGCCGTCCGATGCGTGCCTCTGGCTCGTTCGTCGACGTCCTGGACACTGGGGCCGAGCCGTTCGGCGTGACTGGGGGAGTGGCAGTCCACGGCCGCGTTGTCCGCTCAGGCTCTAATGGGGGCACCAACTCAAGGAGCCGCCGGTACTGTGCCATCAAATCCAGGTACTCTTTGGCCTTTTGAGCCCTGGCGAGGGTCGACTGTGAGAAATGGTAGCGGTAGGTGGCGCCTGGCTCAAAGGCAGGCTGCAGGGGGCTAAAAACCCGCGGAGCGCCCACCCGGGGCGACCGGTCGGGCTTGGGCGACACGGTACGCGACACCTTTCTTTGCTGTTGGAGATGGTACCGAAGACTGCCTCCGGGAGCATTGTCTGGAAGCGGTGCCAGTCTCGGCGGGGTCGGCTGCGAAATCCTCCAAGAGGCAAGCCGTCTCGACTCGCTGAGGTTCAGGGCCATGTTGATGATCTGGGCGGCCTCCATATCGAGCTGGGCAATGCTCGCCCGCGGGGAGGAGCCCACAGCAGTGTCCCTGGCCAGTGATTCGCGTTTTTTCACTGCCGACGAGGTTGAGCTCTCCTCCGGATGCCCGCTGGGTCCGTCTTGATCAGAGGCTGTACCCTGCATGCTGCTCGAGGACGCCCTCGACACTGACCCTTCCCGCCCATGCCGGGCACTCCTGTATGCACGTTGCTCAATAGACGTCAGCTGTCGCTTGTCTGGAGCGTGTGTTGGGGCATCGCGGCGGCGGGTAGGATGATGGCTGCTCAGCAGAGGATCGGCTAGGAGAAAACCGCCGCTGGACTGATGCTTGTGGGCGCGATGGACGCTGGAGGGTCGGTTATCGGCATGGCTGCGGTTCCCTAGTGGTGTCTGTCTCCGGATTTCAAAGTCGGAGACGCAAATGCCTGCGGCCGAGTCTAGGGCGGCAGTGGTGTCTGGGGTGTCGGTCTCGCGATAGTGAAAGCTGGAGTGCCTCGCGTCGCGTCGAGGGCGGAGGTTTTGAGAAGGACTGGCATCTCGGTCCGTCATCGCGCTGCCCATCAACGCCTCGGTATGCCGCAGGATCTCTCGAGGGGGTTCGGACTGCAAAGACAAATCGTTATGCTCGGCTCATTGTCGGGTTCATGATGGTTTGGTTTCGATGCCTAGGGGTGCATGTGAAGTGCGACGTCAGAGCCGGCCGTGAACCCTTTTCATTCGCCGAGGTCGGTTGAGGTGTCTGGTTCCCCAGGGTCCCGTGTTACGAGCTATCGCTGAGCACGGCAGTCGGTGAGCCTGACGGGGATCGAGCCCCACTGTTACCCGCCAACAAGTGGGGCAGCTGTCAGCACTTTAATGTCAAGGGCAGGACAGTTATCAACGTCCTTCCACTTCAAAACGCAGCCGGAACACTGGGCTCTCGGGCTGTCTGCCAGCAAAGGCGAGCCCTTCATTCCTTGGTTTCAGCGGTGATTTTAATGAGCAGAATAGCGGTATAGCGGTCTTGATGCGAAGCAACCTAAGGCATGGAAACGTAGGGGAAAAGCAGGAAAAAATGGCAGTAGGGTGATGCCGACGACTCGTTCTTGACACGTTTGTTACCTTTACAGTGTCCGACTCATTAAACAGAGCAGCGCACCATTGAAAGTTCTGCGGTGCCAGCGTGCGCTGGCATGAAAAGCAGAGGAGGTTTTTCCTGGGGCTACCCCAGCTCAAGTCACCAGCCGACGAGGTGGCAGCCCATCTGCCTCCCTATCACATTATCCCTATTCTACCGAAGAGTCATAAACCTTGTCTTTAACGGTTCTTCGGCCGCCCAGTCTTCATAAGGTTTCGGCTCGCTCCCCGATCTGCGCGACTCCTCGCTCCCTTTCTCCACCCACTTACGATACAGCCGTTCGTCTCATCCCATCGTTCAAGTATCAATTCCAGTCCCCTCGTGGACTGATGGATGAGTGAAGTTCTTTGTATAACCCATTCCCTCGGCCCGTATATACCCGCGCATCCTACCTTCCCTCGGTTCCGCCTCCTCACCTGCCCTGACATCTGCCACTGCCTCAGCCTGTCCCTGGGCCTAACGCAATCTCTACCGCCCTCTCGGTATGTCTCCCAATTTCTCCGGTAGAATGCCTCCCAATCTTCTCGGTATGTCTCCCGCTTTCTTCAGTATGCTGGCTATCTGCCTCTCGCTCTGCCTCCCGCTCGGCTGTATACGCCTCCCGTTGATACCTTACGTCGCGGTAGAGGACATCGTATCTTGCGCGGGCGACTACGTCTTTCCGGCAGTCGCAGGCCTCCCGCACCTGGAAAAAGTCAGTTGCGCTCTTTACCTGCCGTCATCTGGTCGAGTTAAAAATGTTCGTTGGGTCTTACCCTGCGGAACTTCTTGGCATGGATCTTGCTACCCGGCGCCTTCTTGTCGGGGTGATGGTGCTTGGCCAGCTTGAATCAGGTGGCCTTGATCTCGCGCGTGCTGGCGTGTCGTGGGACGCCCAGGTCTGCGTAGTAGTCTGGGACCTCTGGCTGGGGGACGTGGGGGAAATCCATTTCGGAGTTGTGGGAATTGGGAACGTGACTTCGTCCGAGACTCGAGGTGAGAGCTCGGGATCGATGAGTTCTTATATTTGAAGGGTTTGACTGGAACAAAGGAAATGGACTAGTCAAAATCGGTGCTCGAGAGTTAAGGGTTCGTGAGAATCATTTTTTGACTTTCTCCGTTTGTTGTTGTGTAATTGATTCCCATTCGCCTGGGATGCGGTTTCAATGTAAGCAGGTGATGGACAAGTATTGCGGCTAAAAGGAAGAGAACAATAGAAACTTAGTCAAAATATCAATTTGCTATTCGGATTGCATCCATAGTTAAGAACTGCAAAAAGCTCACTGACCAGCCGCGTCTCTAAATGGGTGATCAGCTACGAAAAATCCGAGGGCTTTTACTCCGTTCCGCTCTGTGAGGGACCGATGCGGGCGTGAGCCAGACTTGCAAGAAACCGCTTGCTGCTACTTCGATCTGGGTTCGGACTGGCGGGTTGTCTAGAAATTCCCAGCCACACCCAAGTCACGGGTAATAACATCATCCAGTGACCGCTGAGGTATGCGCCGAACCACTGCCCGTTGGTGACACAAGGGAACGCAATCCTCAATATAAAGAGCTTCAACGCGTCAGAGCTTCTCAAATGGACTCAACAGTTCGAATCGTACCATCTTGTGCAGATGAATATTTCGTAATTCGCGAAAAAGATTCCAATGCTCTCGCCATATGCCCAAACCACCCAGCCATGACCATGAACCTAACCACTCCTTGCTCAACCCGCTAATCCCATACCGAACCCATCCCCAAACACCAGACCATCCAATCATCACTAAAACACAGTAACCGCACTCACCCACCCATTCTTCAACACCTCATACACCAGCCCAGGAAACCCATACAGTGTCGTCGTCGAGTCCTCCCCCCTGCCTTTACCCACGCCAGGATTCGTCCCGCCGCTCTCCTCCCACCCACCGAGCAACTCACAACTGCTACCGGGACTGTCGCCCCACCCCCGGTTGAGCACCATGCCCCGCTGCTTCTGCTGTGCCTCGGCTTCTGACGGGTAAAGTGACTTCCACGCCTCCCGCAGCCGGCCCTCGATCTCCGGAAATGGCGTCTCGGAGTTTATAACGGCGTCGCTAGAGTCGGAGGTGGTGGAAGCGGAGAGGTAGCTGATCTCCCAGCGGCAGCGGCGATGGCGGTTGAAAGGGTATGAGCCGGGGACGTTGCCGTGAAGGATCACTTTTGTGGCGACCAGGCGGTCGGGAGAGGTAGCTTTGAACGGAGGATCAGGGACGACGTTGCTATCTTGGGATGGTGGCGGGCGAGAGGGCCTGGTTGGTGTTGATACCAGCACGTCGAAACCGAGGTAGAAGTAGTTGTAGAAGCACTCGCCCGATACATTGGCGACGACGTCGTCCTCGACAGCCTCGTCGTCGTGCGAGTCGTACTCGTCCGACGGAGGGTGCGAGGACTGGTCTGTGTCGGTAAGGTCGTCCTGCCGCTTCAGGTCGTTCCCGTTGGGCCGCGCCATGGTGTTGCTGGCGGCCCGCAACTTGTGGATGTACATGCGCTGGTCGTTCTTGCGGTAGATGGCGTCGGGCGGCCCCAGCTCGGCCACCAGTTGCTGGGGCGTCGTCTCGCCGAGCATGATCCAGAAGGAGCCGTGGGTCCACTTCCGGAACAGCTGCAGCTTGCCGCCGCCGTGGACCTTGATCAGGGAGACCTCGTCCGGACACACGTCCTTGCCCTTGGCAAGTGGCGCGAATGCCTTGACGCTGGGGAGGATCTCGGTCCACATGGTGTCGCGGGCCTGGGCCCAGGAATCGCCGCTGAACACGGCCATGGAGTTTGGGATTTCGGTTGAAGGTAGCAGGGACACGACGTCCTTGGAGGCAGAGTAGTCCTTCTTCTTCATGGGGAATGTGAAGGCCACGCCTGGATACGACAGCACGTACATCTCGGCGTCTTCTATGTACTCTCCATCGTACGTCGGGCCCAGAAACCGCTGGTAAATATGTCGAAATGTCGGGCCGGGAGCGGCATCGGCGGGCCCCTCTTGTGTCGTGCTAGGCGGACGGACGAGATCCCGCTCCTTATCGTTGGCCGGCTTGAGAAAGATGTGGTTTTTGGTGAAATCGGTCACCTCGATCAACCGCAGCCGCTGTTCGGGCCCATCGAAGCGCATCCGCAGGCCGTTTGCCGGCAGGCCCAGAATGACGGGCTCTCTGACCGGGTCGGTCGGCGTGTACATGAGGTCGAGCTTAGGGAAGCGCTGGGGTTCGGCCTTGAGGCGTGTCAAGACATCGTGGAGCGAGGCGCCGAGCACGAGGAACCCCAGCGCCCTGCCGGGGTGGAGCTGCGCCGAGAAGAGCGACGACATTGCGATGAAGAGTGGATGGTAATGGCTGCGGCGCTGCCGCAGATGCGGGATCAGAAGGGCTGGCCAAGCTCACAAAAATATATGACGAGAAAGCTATGTTAATAACCAGCCTTTGTTGATGATCAGAAGGCCAGGAAGTACCTCAAGTATACGATGGTTGGACCCTGAGCCCCTCGTGATCGCGCCAGGCAGGTGAGAACGTCATCCGGCAGGCAAGGACGACACTGAGGGGCAGACCCACCGGTCCCTGGCTTGCCAAGAGCGAACAAGGCGTTTTGAGAAGAGAGCGTTGCTACGGCAATCGCAAATGTGCGTCTTGCATGCAAGGTTGTTTGTGTCGCGCTTGGCACACTTGCAATCCCCACTCGAAGTCTCAGACCACCATTGTCCCTCCGGCAATCCTAACACTCCAGCTATTCCCTTATCTCCGTCAAAGAGGCGCAAGAACGCGCCAGATTCTTGGATTGGGGTCAAGGTTTACCTATCTGTTTATTTAGCTTCGCCAATTCGAGACAACACAGCAACCAGCACAATATACAGAAGCTCCTGATGGAGCGCAGAAACACAGCCATGGGGCCACCCCCGAGGCAAACCGCGGGGCGCTCCAGCATCCGCCCCGGAGTACGAAATAGTACAGCGACATCGAGGCTTGGAGTCACACGAAACGCGTCGGTAACATCGCGACTCGCACGAGCGGCATCACCAGCAGAGTCCATCGCATCGATAGCGACAGCTGCCACGGCAGGCGCAAAGCGCAAGGAGCGCGACTTTGACCCCGACGACGGCGAGGCTACCAACATCAACGTCGTTGTGAGGTGTCGCGGCAGAAACGAGCGCGAGGTCAAAGAGAACAGCGCCGTGGTGGTGCGGACCGAGGCGACCAAGGGCAAGGTGGTCGAGCTGTCGATGGGGCCGAATGCGGTCAGCAACAAGTCCTACACCTTTGACCGCGTCTTCTCGCAGGCGGCAGACCAGGCCATGGTTTTTGAAGAGGCGGTGAGGCCGGTTCTGGACGAGGTAAGACTTTCAGGCATACGGCTTCCTGCCACGACTGACCTTGGCAGATGCTGGCCGGCTACAACTGCACCATCTTTGCATACGGCCAAACAGGCACGGGCAAGACGTACACAATGTCGGGTGACCTTTCTGAGACGATGGGGATGCTGTCCGATAACGCCGGCATCATCCCACGGGTGCTCCAGGCGCTGTTTCGGAAACTCGAGCTCGACGAGCAGGAAAGCTCGGTCCGGTGCTCCTTTATCGAGCTTTACAACGAGGAACTGCGCGACCTGCTCGCATCCGACGACAACCCGAAACTGAAGATCTACGACGATACATCACGGAAAGGCCACTCAACCACCATGGTGCAGGGCATGGAGGAGAGGTACATCCAGAACGCCGGCGAAGGCCTCAGGTGGCTGCGCGAGGGCAGCTTGAAGCGTCAGGTGGCGGCCACCAAGTGCAACGACCTGAGCAGCAGGAGCCACACGGTTTTTACCATCACGGTCTATGCGAAGCACAAGACGGATGGGAACGGGGAGGACTTTCTCATGCTGGGCAAGCTGAACCTGGTCGATCTGGCCGGCAGCGAGAACATCCAGCGGTCAGGGGCCGAAAACAAGCGCGCTGCCGAGGCCGGGCTGATCAACAAGAGCTTGCTCACGCTCGGGCGGGTCATCAACGCTCTCGTCGACCGCAGCGCCCACATCCCCTACAGAGAGTCGAAACTTACTCGGTTGCTGCAAGACTCGCTCGGCGGCCGCACCAAGACGTGCATCATCGCGACGATATCCCCGGCCAAGAGCAACCTCGAGGAGACCATCTCGACGCTGGACTACGCCTTCCGAGCCAAGAACATCCGCAACAAGCCGCAGCTGAACGCGCTGACTAGCAAGAAGACGCTGCTGCGGGATTTTACGATAGAGATTGAGCGTCTCAAGGCGGAGCTGATTGCGACGCGGCAGCGCAACGGCGTCTACCTGTCCAACGACATGTACGAGGAGCTAACGGTGCAAAACGAGTCGCGCCGCATCTTGACGGAGGAGCAGGCGGCCAAGATCGAGACGCTTGAGACGAACCTCAAGAACAAGCTGCAGGAGCTCTTGTCTGTGACGTCCAACTTGATGGGGCTCAAGAAGGAGCACGAGGGCACGATGGCCCGGTTCGACGAGACCAAAGAGGTGCTCGACCAGACCGAGATCGTGCTGGCAGCCACCAAGAAGGCACTGGCGGAAGAAACGCACCTCCGCAAGGCCCATCAAGCAACAGAAGAGCAGTTGGCTGTCGTCGGCGGTGACCTGCTCAGCACGCTCAAAAGAGCGGTCGGCGACATCGAGGGTCTCCACGCTAAGAACGATCGAAGGTCGGATCTGCACGACCTCAACCGCAGCACCTGGAACATGTCGCAGGCGCACGTCGCCGATATCACCGAGATTGTGGAGGGCCGAATCGAAGAGTTCCGACAGGGCCAGGAGGAGCATATCTCGAGCATGTCGCAGCGCATGCAGGCGTTTGTCAAGGAGGAGCTGGAGAAGCTGTCGTCGACGCAGACGTTCCTCGACGAGAACTTGGCCCAGTTCGCTGAGTCGAGGACGCAGCTACTAGAGCAGCAGCAACGGTCAAAAGAGGAGATGGACGTCGTGCTGGAGGAGATCAAGGTTGTTCGGAACAACGTGAAGCAGCGCGTCGGCGAGAGTCTCCAGGCTATTGCTGCGGCGGCCGAGCGCATTGCCGGCGATGTCCTGAGCGAGCTGAGCACGTTCCACAGCCAGCTGCACACGTCGTACAGCTCGCTAGGCAAGGACTTCAAGTCTGTGTTTGAGGAGCTGCTGCGGCACATACGCGCGCAGAAGGCCGAGTCCGATAGGCTCAGGCACGAGCTGGAGGAGGCGGCGCAGGCCATTGTCGAGTCCAACGAGTCGGTGTCTTCGAGGATACAGGAAGTGCTGGATGAGGAGCGGCAGCAGGCGGCAGCGGAGCGGCAGGCGCTGCTCATGCAAATAACGAGACTGGTCAACGCGCAGGGCGAGCTCCAGGAGTCGCGGCTGGCTGACAAGGCGGCGCAGATCCAGGACACCATTCTGGACTCCAACAAGACGTTCGAGGGCAGCGTGGCCGAGTACTCTGCGGGCATGGAGGCATGGGGCGAGAAGGACAGCAAGGTGCTTGAGGATGTCACGAGCTCTAGGGATGCGCTGAAGAACCGGCTCAAGGATGACTGGACGGTGAGTGTTTTGTGTTCCTCTGTGTGAACAAAGCTGACGGTACCAGGCCGCAAACAAGCACAGTACCTCAATCCAGACGACGAGCAAGTCGGTCCACGCCGAGACGGTGCGGGTGGTCGAGGAGCAGATGCATGACCTCGACGTGCAGATGCAGGACCTCGACGACTTTGTCTCGCGCGCCAAGTCGCACAACGCCTTCCACCACGAGCGGCACGCCGAGTCAGTGCAGGGCCTCACCGGCACGGTGGAGCAGTCCTTCTCCAACATATCCGGTCACTTTAAGCAAACCTTCGAAAGGGTACACACCCTGGGCGACGAGATGGACACGGATGCCAAGAAGCTTGAGGAGTCGCTGGAGCCGCTCGACGAGAGGGTGTGTCAGCCGCTGGCCGGGCTCCGCCAGGACGTCCAGAACACCGCGCTGCGCGAGTACGAACCGACCGGCGAGACACCAGAGAAGACCCAATACCACTACCCGACGGATCTGCCTCGCACGGGACCCCACGACGACCTGCTCGCCGCCATGCGCGAGTCGCCTGCGCGCTCGCACTCCCGCTCGCCCACTTCCCCACCGAACGCCTTCGCAATCATGCCTGATATCAACCTCACGCCGGTCAGGTCCCCGACCCGAACACCGACCAACAGCGACGACAGCACTGGTTCTAGCAACAATAAGAGCCCGCTGGCTGCTGCTGTCAGCTCGCTGCGCGAGGTCAATCCCAACGTGACGAGCCCGGCGAAGTTTGACCCCTCGGCGAGTGTCCTGTCGTCTCTAGTGCCGCCTGGTGCAAGTGGTGGGGATGGTGCGGCGTCGCTCCTGATGAAGCCTGGCAACCATGGCAGTAATACCCGGACGAGGGCGTCCCGGCTGTCTAAGAGGATTGGGCCCGTGGCGGAGGGCGCGGAGAATATGCCACTGCCGCCGCCGGTCATGCGGGGCTCGACTAGGAGGAAGAGTCCGCGGTTGCATTAAGCTACCTTCAACGGTCGATCGTTTCAGTTATCTCGGCTTTGACTTGATTTTGGGGTGTCCGGCTTGGAGTTAGGGGTGTTCCAACATTTGGTGTGTTTGGCTGGCTGGCTGGCAGTTTTGTTCTATGTTTGTAGGGTTACTGAGCACCGATACCCGTACGGTTCTACGCCTTTTCTAGTGGGGTTGGCGGTCTGATTTCAGTCACTGCTGTCATCATGATATGGCAGATTGGGTATTTCTACGTTGTCTTCCCCCCGGCATGAATGCTGTTGGTGTCGTCCAGCAATTCCGGTTTCTGGTCAAAGGTGTTGATGCCTACCGTTCCCATCACAGTGATGGTAAACCACTGAAGCAATATAGCCTTTAAGACTGTCAATAGTACATTCGCCGCGTTCTTGTCAAAGGCCTCAACTCTCGCTACCTCTACCGCACCAACAGAGACCAGGTACATGTAGCTTTACGGAACATTAGCCCGGTGCGCCGCAGATGTCCAGAAGATATTGCAGCACTTCATCCACCAGCAATCCGGACTGGGAGGGTCCTCGTTCTTCTCTACTTGCCGGGCAGTCTTCTCGACACCGGGAAGAGCTTCACATTGATGGCAGCCTTCTGTCAGAGCGCGTAAATGTCCCGGTCGTTCCACTTCCTACTTTCAGACATGAGCTTCAAGTCAAAGTTACACAGCAGCTGCGCCAGAATGAGCCGCATCTCGGCATAGGCAAGACTACATAGTAAGTGCAGAGTTAGCAACTTCACAATACGAGAGGGCCATCCACAACACCGGGCCTGTCATGTACACTCCTGGAGGAGACGAGGGAAGATGCAAAGGGATGTTGGAGGGAAGACATATATTTCCTCCCAATGCAGTTTCGCGGGCAGACCGAAATCGGCTGCAACATGCCGCGTACCTCGTGGGCATACTCGGGGCCGCCGAGCGAGCGCTCAGGGCCATATTTGTTGGCGTCGCGGAAGTTGGTCACGCTCTGATAGGACGCCCACTGGGGTTCCCCCACGGATGTCTGAAGATGTGGGACGGCACGCTGTCAGTGTGCTGAAAGTGAGAAGAAGCACGGGGGGGGAAAGAAGGAGGAGGGGGAGGACGGAGCGCCTGTGATGACAGGACTCCGCCTTACATCTCCGGGATCCAGGATCCCTAGATGTACTCACCTTTCGAGGGCGTGCGCCGGTGGAGGGCAAGGGGTACTGGGGGGTCTGTTTGGGTAAAGAGGGTAAGCGAGAATGGTCACAGTAAGAACACACACCACCGTTGGGTGATAACCTACACATACGAAACCCCTCCTCCAGCACAGCATTCATATACTTTGAGCTCATTCACCACTAGCAGGGTAACGTCCTCCGTCTCAAACGAGCCGCGAATCTCGCGCACCAACCTCTCATACTTATCCCGGTTGCTCAGCAAATAGAAGGTCGTCCCGCTCAGCTGTGTTGCCGTCGTCTCGCTCCCTGCCATAATCAATATATTCGCATTCTCCACGAGCTCGCCGCTGCGCATGCCCTTCTCTTCGTCCGTGTTATGCCGCAGGATATATGACATGAAATTCACGCGCGACACATATGCGCTCGCGAGCCTGCGCTTGGCCGTCTGTTCGCTCAACTCCAGTGCTCCCTGTTGCTGCGTACCAAATCCTGCGGGACGACAAGCGACCCCGAAAGTTTCAGCGCCGGGTGCGGCCGCAGGCCTTCGCCGAAGACGCTGAGCTTGATGTTGTCAAAGATAATGGCCACCCAAGGATAGTAGCCGCCGCTCTCGAGGCAGCCAAAGAACTGGCTGAAGGCGAGATCGCCGATCAGGTCGAAGGTGGCAGAGTTGTACCACCGGCCCACGTCGATGATCTGGCCGGCGGCGCGGTGGCCGTAGATGGTTTTCCATGCGCTGGGGGTGGTGAAGCGTACGACGGGCCCGTACTCATCATGCAGCTGCTTCAGCTTGTGCGGCCACTCGCCGCGCAAGAGGTGGTATAGATATGGCAGGTCCCAAAAGGCGTAGAGTCTCGGGCCGGGCACATCAGCTAGTGCATGTAAATAGGCGTACACTCCTCTCGCGACGAAGAGGAGGAACAGCACCTGGACAGTCGGGAATGATTAGTACATGTATTGGAAACTGGCTGTAGGGAAGGAAGAAAAGCAAGACGTCACTCCAACAATTGTTGTCCAAAGCACTCCTACTGGGTGCAAGAAACCAAGGAACATGATAGGCATTGTGGTTGAGAAGTCACGGCATACCTAAAGGCAAAGGATGGCAAAAGTTGAAGAGGCAGCAGGAGGATAATAAGTAAACTGGCGTTGCCGTCACGCGTCATTGTTCGAGTCAGCTACAGAACTGAGGTGGCGTCGAGGAATTTTTTGATTTATTACCTAGTCTAGACATTGCAAACCTGCAACTGCCTTGCCAGCTAAGCTCGGGAGTCTTAGTCCATGAGACGGGCCACGCTCGTAACTCATGAGTTGTTGATTTTTGACGCCAACGGACCCGGGATAATTGTTTTGCCATCGGATTCCAAACTTAAAAACGGTAACTTATTCTCAAACCATCCCCTAGACTTAGGTCTCATGTCATTGTCCCGGACTGTGCACGCGAGATGTCAGTGAATGTGAGTTTCCAATTCTCCTGGTGCATAATTACTACTTTAGAATAACAGACTTGACTTCTCGCGCTATTTCAATGAGAGTAAGGTATCCGGGCAGGTTGAGCTGCCACAGAAAGTCGGATACCTCTGAAAACCGCCCCATGCGCCTTTCGACATTATTACAGCTGTGACGGCAATCATCATCATCCGATCACCAGTTGTGCCAAACCGCATAGTCAAGTCCGACGGCAAAGACGTCCGCACGGCCCGGGCCCCAACTCACGGCAGAAGGCTGCCACACCACGTTAGCACCAACAGACTCCCACGCATTCCACCGGGTCCCATCCCATCCGCGATGCCAAACCGCGCTGTCGGTTCCGACAGCATAGACATCCAACCGGTTGGCCTGGTCCGACACAACCGAGGGAATCGACTCGATCACACCTCCCAACGACTCCCACCCACCCCATCGGCTGCCGTCCCACCAGCGATGCCACAGCGCATGGTCGGTCCCGGCCGCGAACACGTCGATCCTGTTGGCGTTCCATGAAACCGCGACGGGATCCGACTGGAGCACCCCGCCCAGCGACTCCCAGCCTCCCCAGCGGGCGCCGTCCCACCAGCGATGCCACAGCGCGTGGTCCTGGCCAACGGCGAACAGGTCGATGCGGTTGGGACCCCACGACACGGCCGAGACGGTGCCGGGCTTGACCGAACCGCCAAGAGATTCCCAGCCGCCCCAGCGCGTCCCGTCCCACCAGCGATGCCCGGGTTGTTTATCTTGTTGTTAGTAAAGAGACGCCCTGAGGTGGATTCTTTGTTTTTGAGAGCAGGACTCTCTTACCAGACAGCCGAGTCCCCGCCGACGGCGAAGACGTCGAGCCGATTGGCACCCCATGCAACCGCCGAGGGCGGCGACTGGATGACACAGCCGAGTGACTCCCACCCGGCCCAGCGGGTGCCGTCCCACCAAGAATGCCTGAGTGAAGGGGTGGGGGTTGTCAGCAACACCTAATGCCGTACCACATGGGGAGAGGATATTACCAGAGAGCCGAGTCAGAGCCCTGCGTGAAGAGATCGATGCGGTTCGGGCCCCAGGATACGGCCGCGGGAATGGTGTGATGGACAGCCCCGAGGGATTCCCATGCACGCCAGCTCAACCCGTCCCAGGCGCGGTGCTTGGTTAAATTGTCAACGCACTTGTTCAGGTCTTTGATAACATATCAGGTAGCTAGTGGCTGTGGGGAACAAATCAGCCAGAGGAGTCCAAGTCGAGAACAAAGAAATCAAGGCGGTTGGTATCATGAGACACGACACTGACCGGCGAGGCCACCGTTCCACCGAGGGATTGCCATTAATTGGGCGTGGTTGCGCGGCTGTCGAGCTTGCCTGTAGACGGAAGCGCAGCGGCCAAGGTGAGGCCGTGGGCCAGGAAGCCCAGGAAAGTGGGAATGCGAACCATAACGGCAGCAGGTATAGGCTTTGGTCGGGAAAAAGGTGTGGTGGACTGAGGTGCGTCTTGATCAGGTTGAGATCTTGCTGGTTCGCAAGCGGCTTACTTATACTTTCAGACGGTTGAAGGAAGGCTCATTCTAAACGACCAAGAGCTGCAGGACCGTGCTCTTCTTTCTCATAATGGCAGGTTACAGTGACATGGCTCGGTGGGGACTAAGACATGATGATGTCTGAGAAGACGAGGATGGCCCTTGGCCTTGATTGGGGTGCCCTCTACAATGCGATACACCATTGTAGCACCTCCACCATCGACGATAGGTTGCTCTGTAGTTCCATCACGACCCTCTCCAGCGTACGCGGCACCTCGGAGCTCGGAGAAACTCCAGTCCGGAAAAGGCCCGAATCTTCCATCTTTCCGATAATGAACTCCAGCCGAAACCGATGGATATGCTGGACTAATAGACTGGAAACTTCCCGATTTCGAAAGACTATGGCTGCGGCTTTGATGACGCCATACAGCCATCGGATTCTGGCACCTATTTGTCGGTGGGAGACTTGAAGTTGCTGCTGGGCTCTCAGCTCTTACGGAAATAGAAAGGGAAACGCAGGGTCTCAGCCTCCCTGTCAAGTTCAGAAGTAGCTGTTGTTGGTAGCCGCTGTAGCCGAATTGCAAGTTGCAACGTGAACCTGAAAAGATCGAGTGATGTTGGGTAAGCTATTTCAAGGTATCACAGTTCTCATGGCACGACATCTCAAGCTCGGCTTCCCCCGGCTCGGCACCGCGCTCCTCGGAACCCATGACTTCATCTTCCAGCGAATGCGGGCCGTTTTCTACCCTGTCGACTTGCCCCTAGCCGGATGGACCGATACGCTCATGTTGTTCATCCAGGAACCGATTCGGACCTTCGGATACTGCATTGGCGGAACCGAGCGATAATCCCCTGCAGACGAATGGCAGCTGATGATGTTTGCGGCAGTCCCTGGACAACACAAGCCCTCCGATCGTGCCGCCGCTTCTGCCGCGAAAATCCAGCGAATACGGTCAGTTCAGCCGTCTCAACACATCACTCTATTGATGCTTCCAGTAGTACTGCGCGAGCTCAACTTAGACTAGCTACATAGTTCGCTGTCACGGCTTCGGTGAAGTCCGAGACATCGGACTCAATAGTGAGGCCTAAGGCACGGTACCGGCTCTATTGCCACGGACATATTCAGAACTTGATATGTCCCATCACCTGCTGGACTGGGACGTCGCTGTTTCGGGATCACCACAAGTCGTCATGTCCGAGAATCTCGTTTATGCCGATCGGATCGACCGATCCAACCAGCGACCCTCCGGTCAGTCATTGATCCTGCAACCCGACCGGTTCTCGCTGCTAGCCAAAGGGTGATCTAGAAGGCGATGGCACAGTTGCTTTTTCGCGATTGGTCTGCGAGAGCCGAGACTTCGGACAGGATCGTGCTCTGAAACCGCCAAGAGGCGACCGCTGGTTGATTGTTGTTCCTACGCCATTGTATTCTAACGAGGGTGTGCCGGACGTTCGACCGCTCTGGATACGGGAAAACCGTACCCTTGGCCCCTTGCAGGCCGGATGAAAGATCTATACTAAGTTCAAGAAGCGTCCAAGCCAACAGACTCGACTCATACAATCCATCTTCCCTTCCGTCTAACAATGCCAGGCCCACAACCCCCCAAAGGAACGAGCTTCATATTTGGTAGTGCAGCAAGAGCATACAAGATCATGGGGAGGACTCGGGCCGTTCGGTCCATTGACTAGAACATCGAGCACGAATCCGCAGAGTGGATACCGGTGTACAAGGCGTTGTGCACCAAGTCATCGAGGCCGCTGTACTTACCGCAACCAGTGCAGACGGACCGTTGCTGTGCCATGACATTGCCTCGGATCGTGATCTTGGAGGCTTGTTAAGAGGCATGTTAGTGCGCGGCAATGTTGGGTTGGCTGGGTGTAAATGGGATTCAAAGCGTGAGCTTCAAAGTCACTGTCAACATGGAGCATGTCGGCTATATGAGCGCATTCGGCATCCGTCACGATCCAGCGATAGCCGATACTGCTGTTCGGATTCGTGACAACCTCGGAAGGGAGGGGCTCGTCCATCGCACGCGGATGGGCAGACAGGCCGGTGACGCTCATGGTTGCTGCCAACTGGCTGTTTCGATTGCTGCAGTGTCGTAGTGATTATTTCTGTCAAATCTTCTTGGGGAGAAGAAATGGAGGACGGTGTCCCGGATGACGTTGGCATGCAACCCCGACTACTATATACTGTTGACACATACGTTGGACAACGTACCTGGAGTCGGGTCGTCTACAGAGACCTGGCCGCCTACGGACAAATGCAGTCTGAAGTCACAATCCCCAGATGCATCATGCAATTTGGATTTGCAACCCTTACTGTATTACACGTGTAGCTTGACGACAATGTTGAATTGCCAGTTCTAGGCGCCAAGAGCCCATCTGCAGTTCAACAGTACGTAGTTACTGTGTATAGGTCTTAGAAAATCCAGGGTTTCAGTCCCCCTTCCTTGCCCAACCATGCAACAATTCAGCCAGCGCTCCCAACAATTCAATTTTTCTTGGCAATCTTCCAATCCAATCAATCCAATCCAATTCAAGCATGGATTTTTTGGGCTCAATTCAATCCAATTCGGACACTGTGATTGATTGACGAATTGTCAATTATTAGGCCTGATTTTTCCCTGTTTGGACGCCCTGAAAAACCCTGGGGGGGGGGGGGGGGGGGATACTGCCCATCTAGCCGGAAAAACAGCCGGACCGGACGCGTTGTGGGTGCCCCCCTAGTTCGAGGCGCGTTGTATCGTGATGGTTCCCCTTGGTGTTGCGTCCCCGGGTCGAGCCCGACTGTTCTACTAGGCCATAGCTGCCTCCGAAGTACCGCTATGGCTGACCTCCCCGATTGCTCAGCCACGGCTTCTACTGCCAGCGATGCTCCGACCCTCCTATCGACTGCTTCTACCGCCGGAAACAGCGCATTCTCCCGCCTTCGCCGGGCCCGCAGCATTACCTGTAACGGTCTCAGGTAGTATATTGCAACTAGCTGATGACGACTCTACGAGTACACTGAACTTGGAGAAGGAAAGAAGAGATGTGAGACTCTGGTAGCTGGGGAGCCAATTTATCCTCACAGGTGTGCGCTGCTAGAAGGTTCAACACTGTGGGTCGAGTGGGAATAGCTTCATCCAGGGGGTTTGGTGGACCCGTGCTTATACGAGAGCTGGCCGAGGGTCATCGAGGCCCATCTCGGGTCCAGCCCGTTACAACACTACCTCTATGGAGATGACTTCTACGATCCGCCCGAGGCTCTCCACGGCCTGGATGAGGTAGCAGCCTACTTTGGCGAGCCTGTTAGGCCGGTGGAAGATCCGTTGCAGTGGTGGTTGAGTAACCAGGAGCGATTTCCTAGGCTGTCAAAGATGGCGCTCGACTTGCTCTCTCTTCCACCCATGTCAACGGAGTGCGAGAGGACGTTCAGCCTTGCGAAACTGGACGTGGGAATGCAGAGGCACTCTACACAGGAGGATACAATATCAAAGCTCCAGTGCCTAAAGAATTGGCTGCGAAATCAAGGTCCTTCTTAGCAGGGTTGTAATCAGGAACCTGGATGTCTGGAGAAGGCCCAGTGATTCGGTCGGCTCGGAATAACCTCCCGGGATCATGTGACGTTAATTGCAATTCTTCAATTCAATTCAATTCTGGGCCTTCAATCAATCAATTATTCAGAAAGGCCTCAATTCAATCCAATTATGAGGCTTGGATTGGATTGATTGGATTGTTGGGAGCGCTGAATTCAGCATCTTGAAATGGGCGTCCTCCACGTCTTACCTGCCCTCATGCCCTCAGCTGGCCAAGGATAGCGATCTTCGGATCAAAAACGGACAATTTCGTGGCTCCTGCATGATGAAAGGGTCGGATGAGGTGATGAAAATAGTGACACATTGGGGGGAAGAACAGGTGGATTGGGGGATAAAACGGCGGCAAACTTGGAAGTGGGAGGAGGAAAGACGTCCTGGACTACACCGTTCATGTTCATGTTTCCAGAAGTGGCCAACCTCTGATCTAGAGGCTTTCAGTTTGACTTCATTCCGCTCGGCCACCTTGCCATTAGATGCGATAGTGACGGCCGAGAGTTGGTGGTCTTTGTCTCAGTCTTTTGTTGTGGTGTGGAGATGGGGGGATCACTATCTTATCAGTCGAATTGCCAAGGTACGATTTGTGGGTGAGGTGAGATGGCCGAATGCAGGATCCCAACCATATGGAAGGCTGGGCCCTACTCTGTACACGTACTTATCTATTCGTACGGCAAAGAGACAAGAAGGGCGCGATTTTCGCAATCGAGATTTCCACTCCAGGAGCAGCCCTTCTGGAGACGGCAGCTTTCATTAAGAGGGGGATTGCCTGTCCGGGTGACTCGTCCGGGCAGCTCGCCGAGTGCCGATCCGCCACGCCCGGGGATGCGTCACCGGAGCGGGGGCCGGAGATAACCGGTTTGGTCGGCGGGTGCTGCCACAGAGCTCAGGAGAGGGGTTGAGGGGGATGAGCTAAATAAAGAAATCATATCAACTCGACTTCCAGTGAATGAAGCGCTCTTACCTTAGCTTCACCAGGCCTCGTTTCTCATTCATCTCATTCTCCAATCCATCCACGTTCCAGTCTCATCTTGAAAGCAACCCCCTCTCGCTCATCTCCGTGACATCCCACTCTACCACATCCCACCAACCCACCCTTTCAAGTTTCCCACCAAGACCATGTCGGACCTCACCACCTTCTCGGCCCTCTCCTTCGACTGCTACGGCACCCTCATAGACTGGGAATCCGGCCTCCTCTCAGACCTCTCCCCGCTCCTCACCGCCCTCCCTTCCTCCCACCCCTGGCACACCACACCTTTACTCGCCGTGCAGCGCTTCAACGACCACTCAGAGCACCTCTGGGCGACGCAGCCCAAACTCGCCTACGACGCCAACCTGGTCGAGTCCTTCCGCCGGCTGGCCAAAGAACAGAACGTCAACCTCCCCGAAGAGACATTGTCGCGAATCGGCGATGGACCCGGCCGGTGGCCAGCCTTCGCCGACACGGTGGAAGGACTTTTAAAGTTGGGGAGGTACTACAAGCTGATCATCCTCAGCAACGTCAACGAGGCCAACATTACGCGGGCCGTGGCGGGGCCGCTGGCCGGGGCGAGGTTTGACGCCGTCTACACTGCCGAGGCAATCGGGAGTTACAAGCCGAGCCACGACAACTTTCGGTATCTATTTGCGGGAGCCAGGAGGGAATTTGGGGTGGACAAGGAGCAAGGGGGGCTGCTGCATGTGGCGCGGAGCCTGACGGCCGACCATGTCCCTGCGAAGGAACTTGGGTTGAGGAGCGTGTGGATTGCGCGCGGAGGGGATAAGCCAGAGGGGTACGGGACGGGAGGGGATTACGAGAAGCTGAAGGGGGAGGGGAAGCTGGCGTTTGAGTGGATGTTTCAGACGATTGGGGAGTTTGCGGATGAGGTCGAGAGGCAGTTTGCTGCGAAGGAGCAGGAGTAGATAGACGTCTTTTTCAACGCCACTAGGTATGGAGAGCTCAGAGGAACGCCGAGTCCAGCTCCTCGGATCCCGCCCTGGCCTTCTTCCGGGACCTGGCATGCCGCTGCGTCGTGTCTTCCCCGCGCCACCCCTTCCTGATCTTGATTGGTTGCAGAAATCTGTCCACATGCAAGCCCCCCTCCATCTCGTCGGCGCTGTCCTCCTCGTCCTCCGTGAAGTCGGCCGCCCGCTTGCCATGCACCGTTTGGAGATGCCGCGCGAGGTTTGCCCGCTTCGCGAACCCCTCGACGGCCCGGGGGCAGTTCGGATAGTGGCAGAAATGGCTTGCACCTGGCGTCCCCGACCGGCTGCGCCGTTGGGTTGGGGTCTCCGCCTCTGTCACGTCTGGCTCTGTCGGATTGGGTTCGAGATTGCCGTGCACCGCTTTGAGGTGCCTCTCGTAATTCGACTTCTTCGTAAACCCCTCGACGGACCTGGGGCAGGCCCGGTGGGGACACAGCCGGATTTGCCGTGGCTTTGACCTGCTACGCCGGCTAGCTGGTGCTTCTGATTCGGGCTCAGGCGACGAGGCACCAAGTCTGACGCTCGAGTGGCGGCTCACAGTGCGAAGCTGGGCCAACTCTTCCTCAGAGTCATCATCGTCCGAGGAGGAAGGGAGAGGACCGCCGGGCACATAACGCGTCGACTCCAGCCCAACCTTGTCGGACGTAGACCGTTCATGCAGCGTGTGCATCGTCATCTCCTCTCTGAAGAGCGTGGCGCATCGCTGGGCGGCGCGAGCCATGACGACTGGCGAAAACCCGGCCAGGGCAGCAGCACCCAGCACGTCCCGCCAGTCCCGCAGGCCCCATCGTTTAAGCAGCCTCTCCCTGTTGCTCTTGGACGAGACGCTGGACCCTGACTGGGCTGACCTAGGGCTCGCCCGTGAACCTGCCGAGACAGACCGCCGTGCTCTGTTGATGCTCCTGCTCCTGCTCCTGCCGCGATCAATTTCCGAGTCCGCAGGGGAGAACGCCGGAATCTTCCTCCTTCCCTGCCTAGCCAGCCTGATGAGCATCTCCTGCTCCGTCTCCCCTTCGCGCGGGACGTGCACCTTCTTTGGCCTCCCTCCGCGATATTTCGGTGGAAAAGGTGACTTCGCAGGTACGGGGGACGGCACTTGAGACGGCTTCTCCGACACCGCCTCGATGTCCGTCTCCTCGTCACTAGCAGAGGACTCTGACATGTGGCCGAGGCCGGCCATGCGCTGGTTGTGCAGGATCATGAACGTATCGTCTAGCCTGGCCATAATGCGGCGCGCCACGGGGCGGAGCAGCGCATACGACCTGTTGTCGTCGGCCGATATCACCGGCGTAAACGTAGGCGGCGCAGCTCTCCGCTTGCGTCGGGGCGGCATCTTCCGCGGCTCGTCCGTCTCATCATCCCTGGCAGGAGTCCCGGCCGTGTCGGACTCGTCCGTCTCGCCCCCCGTCGTCGTGGCGGCGTCTCCCGTCTCGATGGACGGCACAACCACCTCCCCTGTCTTATGCTGTAGATCCCTCTTCCGAAACTTCTCCTTTGCATACCGCAAGATGGTGGCAGAGATCTCCTCCTCCAGATTACACCCCGCAAACGGCTGCCCTTGATCGCGTCGTAGGGTGAACGGCTCGTTGACGTCCACAGTCCGGGGAAGCAGCCCGTCATCGGGCACTTCGTCTGCCCTCATGGGCCACGCCGTCCACGCTCTCCCGGGGTCCCACGCTGTCTCCTCGTTGCCGTCCTCGTCCTGTCTGTCATCAGTATCACACTCTCAATCTGGTCCCCGAACCAGATCATCCGTTTACAACACGGAACCAACCCGAACTGCATTCTCCAACCAAAAGATCTTCCCATCCGCACCCGACCCATCACACAGTGGTGAACTAACGATAGAAAAAAAAAGGAATAAAGAAAAAGAAAATATTCCAACAGCAAAGCGAGAGATAGAAAAGAAACATACCGCAACAGGCCCCACCCGAAACCCCTGCCTCAACCCAAAGGCATTGTACAAATGCACCGCCAGGTCTTCCCTTCTCACATTCTCCAGCGACGTCCACGTCTGCCGGTCAGCCTCGGTCCACAATCGCCATGTCGAAGGGTGGCCGCGCCAGCGGTTGGGGCGGGTTTCGTGCAGTTCGTCGCTGTCTGTGGCGCCGTGGTCGTCGAACCCTTCTTGCTGTTCTTCTTCTTCTTCTTCTTCTTCTTGTTGTTGTTGTTGTTGTTGTTGTGGTTGTTGTTGTTGAGCGTCATGCATCATTGTCACCTCGAATTCGGGTGGGATGTTAGCGTTGGTTGGGAGATGCGGTTCCGGTTGGGATGTCGTTTCGACGGGTGTCGAAGATGGAGATATGTTTGCGAGACTTTAGAGGGCGGAGAGGAAGGAAGTCATGAAATATTTGACGGATTGTTTCGCGACAACCTTGTTGTAGTCACCGCCTTAAAGTCAACCAACTGTAGGATGAGGCCATGAACTCCGGAACAAATAGTGGAGTGGGTGAAGTTGTGTTGCTTGATGGAAGGTTAGAGTTGAAAGTTGAGACGAACGGACCCTAACCCTGATATAGAGCGTTTGCTCTGCTGAGCTTCGAAACAAGAGAAACCATGGATTTGTGACTTTAGAACTCTACTTCTAGTGAGAGAAAGAAGGGCAAAAGCTCAACGGCTAACGCTCTCCGCCAGTCAAAGAGAGGTAGCCGGTTACGAAACCCTCGGGAGGGTTTACTACGTGGGGGTGCCAGGGGGGCGACAGGGCTTGGATTCAGAGTAGTAACCTCTTATCAACCAAGAGGCTCTCATCACCAAGCCCTGGGAGGACCACCACTGGTGACCGCATTCAGCGGTGGTCGTTGAAGTTGGAAAACCGGAGCCTTCTGCAATACCACCGGCTAGTGCCCCAAAGGCATGGCTTCCATCGACATAGTACGATTGAGCGTTGACCGGCATTAAATCACATCGAACGAGCAGGAATGACAACTAGGTAAAGGTATCACGATACCCTCCCACCAACACGCTATTACGCCTTTGCCCTCTCCTTCTCCTTCTCCAGCTTCCGCCGCTTCTGCCTCAGCTTCATGTCCTCGGCGCTCTTCTTGCTGTTGGTGTACTGCATCTGCTCAAACAGCTTGCGCTTCTTCTTGCTCAGCATGCCCTTGGCCCGCTCCAGGTCCTCGGCCTCCTGCTTCTTGCGCCGCTCCAGCGCCCGCTTGGCCTCGAGCTTCGCCTTGGTCTTGGCGTCCACCTTCTTCTGGTCGGCCGCTTGCACCAACTTGCCCGTGATCTCGGCCTCGAGCTCCCGCTGCCGCTGCAGCGTGGCCGACTCGTCCTCGTCCTCGTCCTCGTCGTCGGACTCTTCCTCTTCGTCTTCCTCGTTCTCCGCCTCCGAGAAGCCACCAAAGTCGCCATCGACTTTGTCTTCGTCTTCTTCCTCGTCAATTTCGGATGCAACGTCCATGTCGTTCTCGACCTCGGACGCCTCACCGCCTTGCTCCACGTTGGCGTCCTCCAGCTCGGCATCGATGGCCTCGACTTCTGTCTGCTGCTCCTCCAGCGGAATGGTGGGATCGTACTGCCCTTGCGTGGACTTGACGAAGGGGCTGAGGTGAGGCGGCAGCGACGCGCCCGGGGCGTAGAGCCCAGTGTCCTTGAGCTCCTCGTCGTTGATGCTGTCCCACACCCACTGCGGCTGCACGTATACGCGCCCGGGATACCGACCGTTGGGTCCGAGCTTTTGAGCCGTTTGGTTGTCCTCGCCATCGCCCTCGTCGCTCGCGGCGGCCTGCACCACCGGCCTGTCGACAATTTGGTGCGTAATGGATGGGTCCGACTCGTCTGTTGTGAAGGCGCCCTCGCCGAGAACCGAGTCCCAGCCTATCCTCTTGCAGCCAAATGCGCGGAGGATGAACTCGAGCGGCTGCCGCGGCGTCTCGCGCGAGAGGAAGAAGGTGTACTTGGAGAACAGCTGCGATGGGTCACTGCTACTGTACGATGGCTGCGGCAGGACATCGCCACCGGGGGCGACGGGCTCGAACTTGTCAATAGCATCGCTGGGCTGTTCTTCGCCTTCTTCTTCGGCCGGGCCATCTCCGGGCTCCTTGTCGTCCGCCTCGTCCCTCAGCTTCTGCATCAGCTTATCGACCTCGGCCTGCACCTTGGGATCTGGCCCGTGCTCCTCGCCGTTGGCGATGGCCTTGGTCTCGTCGTTCGCGATGTTCAAACCCTCCAGAGCAAAGGCGCCGAGCTCGGCGCCTTGGTCGTCCTTGAGCTGGTCAAACTTTGGCGGATACTTGAGCCCGACGGACGTGTACAGTCTGTAGTTGACAAAACCGAGCAGCGTCATGTAGAACTCGACAAATGTGCCCATGATACGGAAGTCGACGTCGCCGACGACCCTCTGGTTGAACTTGTAGGGCACCAGCCACAGGATGTCCTCGCCTTGAATGTTGGCCTGGTAGTATATTCCCTTGATGGACAGGAATGACTTGCGCAGGCTGTGCGACACGATGAGGTAGTGCTCAAACTCGAGGCAGAGGCGCTCGCAGCGGGCGATCATCTTGGCGGGCACGGCGGTCGTGGACGGGAGGTTGGCAAACAGAAAAAGCATCGACAGGCAGTCGTCCAGGTCGCGCAGGGCGTCGGTGAAGGTTGGGTAGCGCTCTCGGATGACGTGGTTGAGCGTGTAGCGCGGCTTGCCCGTCTTGTCGGGGCGGGCGGCGTTGCGCTCGAGGCGGGCGGCGTCCGAGACATCGCCGCGGCCGAGAGCTTTCGAGATCTTCTTCTCGAGCACCTTTTGCTCGCGGAACTTTTGAAGCAGCGGCTCATGCAGCAGATACTGGATATCCTTGGTGTAGTAGAAGGTGGTCGAGGCCGTGGCCGACTTGGACACCTTCTTGCGGTTCCGGGGCTCGCGCGGGTAGATGCCTTTCCAGATGCACAGCTTGCGGAAGTCGGGCAGGCTGAGCTGCAGCTTCTTGACCGCCTGCGTGCGCGTAATGTAGTTCTTGGCCTGGCCGGCCTGGCCCTTCTTTTTAATCTTGGCCATCGCAATTAGCGTGGTGGTTGGGAAGCGGGAGTGCTGTTGAGCTCAACTCGACAGACTTCTGGCTTGCGGGGCGGTCGCTGCTCACCGTGCTTTGGGATTTTCCAGTAACTTTTTTTTATTGCCGCCCATCACCGCTCTTACAGATAAGATTGGCGTGCCTGCCAAGGCCGCTCTGCGGACTCCTTTGCCAATCCCCACTGATTCGCCAAAACGACACGATTTCAACCTTCATCTCGAATTCGCCGTCTTTCTTTCCTATGTCCCGGCCATGGCGCATTGAGCGATGGATGGCGCCAAGGTAACCCCCGGGCGCACGGCAGGCCTGTATGCCGGCGCTGCTGTTCTGCGGCTTGCCATCTGCACTCTCCTCCCCCAACTGCCCGATCTGCTGACCGGTCGCGTCGAGATTTCGACTCCTGTCACGAGCTTCAAGCGATGTACGTCCACGCAGCCTGCCCTTGGTGCCCGTATTGACGCCCCGTAGTGCAGGAAGGTCTCTTCCTATACAACCACAATGTCTCCCCCTACGACGGGGGCGTCTACCACCAGGCGCCCCTTTTCCTGCCCCTCTTTTCGCTACTCCCAGACTTCTCGAGCCTTCCGATCTTTACCTACCTCCTCTACATTGCGGCGGATCTGCTGAGCGCGCGGGCGCTGTGGAGAATTGTAGACTCGGGCGAGGCCGGATCGTCCGCCCTGTTCACGTCCCCGCGCAGAGAAAAGCGCTGGAGCGGCTTTACCATCGCTGCTCTGTATGTATCCCTCCCGCGATCCCACATCACGATACTGATTCCCCAGCTTCCTGTTCAACCCCTTCACCGTGGCCACATGCCTCGGACGATCAACCAGCGTCTTCACCACCTGCGCCATCCTCCACGCCATCGCCAAGGCCGTCTCCGGCGCCCCCTTCGGCGCCATGGTTGCTCTGTCCTTCGCCAGCTACCTCTCCATGTACCCGCTGCTGCTGCTCCCGCCACTCGTCCTCCTCAGCTACGACAGGCAGCGCCCCGAACGCGCCACCAAATCCGCCCTCAAGTTCGCCGCTACCTGCGTCTTCGTCGTCGCCGGTGTCCTGGCGGTGCTCTTTCAAATGTCGTACCTCGTCACCGGCTCCTGGGAGTTCCTCCCGTCCACCTACGGCGTGCAGCTGACGCTGTCGGACCTCACGCCCAACGTCGGCCTGTGGTGGTACTTCTTCGTCGAGATGTTCGACTCATTCCGCTCCTTTTTCCTCGCGGTCTTCTGGCTGCACCTGGCGAGCTACGTCGGGGGGCTAACCATAAGGATTCGCCGCCAGCCGCTTGTCGTGCTGACCCTGCTGTTGGGCATCTTTGGCATCTTCAAGCCGTACCCCAGTATCAGCGACACGTCGCTGTTTCTGGCGCTCGTCCCGCTTTACCGCCACGTCTTTCCACTCATGAGGTACACGTTTGTCATTGCCGCGGTTATCTTGTACGCTACCTTCCTTGGCCCGGCGTTCTACCACCTGTGGATCTACGCGGGCAGTGGCAACGCAAACTTCTTTTATGCCATCACGCTGGTGTGGGGCCTTGGGCAGAGTCTGCTGGTGTGCGATCTCATGTTTGCAGTGCTGAGGGACGAGTGGGAAGTCGAGAGGCCCGAGATGGTAGGCAAGGAGATCCGGCAGATATAATGGGGAGGTTGCGGTTATACAAGTACAATTGTCGGATGTGGAATACTATTATAGTCGACTCGGAAGCTTGTCGATGAACCGAAGAAACTGCTGGCCGCTCTGAGCGCCGCTCGACTTGGGACCGATCCGGCTGTCTTGCACGCTGATTACGAGAACTGAACTGACTGCCCAGTTGCGAGTCGCGCCGGCAACGAATCGAGGAACCTGAACAGAAGCGACTGAACAAACTGAACCGAAGCGGCTGCTATAAGCGGCCGAAGACCTGACGAACTGACTATACTACTACTGAACGAATGGAGATACGATAATATCTGAGAGCGACTTATTAGAGTATTCCTATATAGGGACTTCCGAGGAAAGAGCGTTGTAGAGTAGTCTACTTAATACTAGAGCTTATAACTGCAGCTATGACCCGGAGGAAAATGAACAACTGTTGAACTGAGTGGGTTCCTTGGCACCAAGATTCACGGACTGAGCACTGATGTTCAATGCGAGACTCTCAGTCAACACAGATCCATCACAATGACGCAGGTCCTGACATAAACGTCATATCATGGCACACTCTGTCTCTATATAAGGGGGTAATTCCCCTGGGAGGATTAGAGAGGAAAAATTTATTCGAAGAACAAGAAAAGGGACATTCTAAGGCACCCTAACCCACTATCTTGATCCTTCATTTGTGTGGTCACTCTGGAATCGTGACTCTAATTCAAGCTTCATTTCATACCTCAATCAATCTGTTCAATACCATTTGGTTGATCTAAGCTTACTTGAGCATGTAACTGTTGGCTGCCCAACACGTTCCACCCAACGGCAAAATGATACATGGAAGACTTCACCAGCCAGTAATCAAAATCAGTATGCGCAGAGATAGATGGTCTCGGCACCAAGATATAAGAACGTAAAACTCCAAGTTTGAATCATTTTGCTCACCGGTGCGGGATCGCTGTCTTATGCGCGACGTCATCTCAGCCTTGTACTGCCTTCCTGCAAGGCTGACAGCAGCCCCACTTGTATTTCAATGGGAGGAAGAGCAGTAACTCTTCCCTTTGGCATCATCTTCCCAGCATCTCCAACACAATGGCGCCCATACGCCGCTACCTCCGAATCACAAAGTACTCGGTCTTGGAATGCCGCATCTACCTGGACAACCCCGCACTGGCCCAGACCTGGCTGCTCAACCCACGGGACCCTGTCCTCCCCAAGGTCATCGAGAGCGTGCGGCCGCTGGTCCTGCCAAAGCTCCTCGAGGAAAAGGAGCGCGAGCGGAGCAGGAAGAAGAACAAGAAACGCAGCATCAAGGACGTTGTTATCGAAGGTAGGTGATTCGTCATCGTGCATCCGGCCTCAGAGCACCGCCAAGTTTGCTTATCCGGGCATTCGTGCTGAGCAAGCCCGCAGACGACTTTGAGGTGTCGATCTTCCTGACCGAGACCGACACGCGCCACTCGCTGCTGCACAAGAGGAGGCTGTTCCGCGACAAGATACAGACCCGGCTCACGTCCAACTCGTCCCGGCTGGTGGGCGCGTCCCGCGAGGCGCCGATCGACGTGGAATTCGGCGACATTGACGTCCCCATACTCCGTGAGGACGGCAATGATCAAGATGCCATCAACCTGACCGACATCCCCATGGCGGATGAAACAGCGCCTGACTCAGAACCGGCCAATAGGAGGCCAAAAAGACGACGCCCCCGCGGGCAGGGGCAAGAGGCGGAGCGACGCTCCGAGGGCGGGAGTGACGTCGAGGTCGTCGATGATTTATCGGCCAATCAGATGTTTGTGGGCGGCGGAGAGAGCGACGAGAGCGATGCCGAGACCAACCAGCCGCCGACAAAACGCCGCAGGGAAAAGGCGGCCGACGTGGGCGACACGGCAGAGGGGGACGACAAGAAGAAGATGGCCATGGATGTTTCGTACGAGGGCTTTGCCATTTACGGACGGGTCCTGTGCCTCGTCGTCAAGCGGCGCGGCGACGGCGTGGGCAGAGGTGTCAGCTCAGCCGTCTTCTCCGGCAATAAATCTCAGACCGGTCGGCCTGGCGGCCAGGCCATGATGGAAAATTGGATTGCATCGACGCAGCTACCCGAAGAGGCGGCGGCCGAGAATTTGGAAGCGCTGTGAGGCCACGACTGGCAACTGCCGGCCTGCTGAAGCGGTGATGCGCGCCGGGGAGTGCCATATCGCCGCCTCTTGCATCGCAAGGGTTCGATCAACAACGCGGTTGATGTCATCGAGCAAGGAACACAACCACCCGATAACCGGAATACCCCGCAACACTTGTTCAGTTCCTCGCTTGCAAATTCCTGCTTGGAGATGGGGTTGCTGCGATCACCGTCTTGCACGCTCAGCGCGCGTCCGTATCCGTTTCCCCGCCGATCGTCCTCTCAACCAAAACCAGGCGAAACTGTGAGGGCTGACCATCGTCGATCCGGCAGCCGCCCGCTACTTTTCCATACTGATGGGAGCGTGGCGCTGTATTTGACACGCTAGTAGTGTGATGACATCGCGGAGCCCCGGGTTTTGTCCAAAACCGTGCTGGCGCTATCACATCGTCACATGGACGCCCGAATCACGGACTTTGGTGTCAACAAAGGCGCGCCGATCATGGCGCAAAGGTCAATAGCAACCCCCGACATTCCTGACCGATGGATGAGGCGGGAACCATGCAGCCAAAACGGCAACCCTACACCAGTCTCCTAGTGTGCCAACTGTCAGGAGACTCCCGCTTACTCGGTTCCGAGCCGCCCGAACGCTGAAGCAACGTTCGAACAGAGGATGTGATACGAGATCAAAGGGTCGTGTCTTGATGGCTATCCATCGATTGTTGACCCCTGCACGCAAAATCGATGTATTGAACACTATCCGTGCTCGAGTTACTGCCACGCGGCCGGGTGGCCGCTTGCTTATCAGAGGGGTCCGTCTGATACCTATGGTGCAAACATCCGGCCTGAGCATCACATCAGCTCGGCTTTGCGCCGTCTTATTCCCGGATGGCCAGAAATAGCATGCGGTGATCACCTCAACACCAAGGTTCGGGCGGACCAGGGTCGATGGTATGTCGACGAGGTAGAGTACAACTGTAGTGTACTATACTGAAAGTATTTGTATATACCTCCATAATCTGGGCCTCACGGACACCACGGAGCCGACCCCCTATCGGAACCCCCACGTACCATCGCAATTCCCCCGAAACATCGACTTCGGTTGGGTGATGATTGAGGGTCGCGACACAGATATGGTGTTCCGGAACCAGCTCGGCTTCCCTCTTTGGTGTTGGACGTCATCCACATGTCCGGTACGAGCCACGAGGTTTGGAGAAGCGAGTCCAGGGTCAGCAGAAGCCAATTCAGGGGATTTTGTGGCATCCGTGCGTCCCTCGCGAATTGCACGTTGCAGTGGGCCGCATCAATGCGTTCTCCCTGCCTTCCCAGAAACACACGTGTAGGCGTAAGGCTTGTTTCCTTCCAATCGTATCCGTAATTCAGGACATCTTGGTCGTTTGCGGTTTGGCAGGTCAAGTACAGATTACTGCGAAAGAAACACTTGCTGGCTGTTGCGACTTTCATGTGCGCCCCTTTCCTCTGCATCGGCGGCGCGACGCGATTCCTCTCCTGGCTTCGGTTGCAATCACGTCGTGCAGTTCCCGCAATGGTTACAGGCCTTTCTGTTCATCCAATATTGTTTTGCGGCAGCTGGTGGGCGCACCGGACGCATGCCCGTCTGAAAAACGAGGGCTGGCCGGCATCTGCATGCAATTGGGATGAGCGAGCGGCTATTTTGTTGCGCCTTTCATGTGCCTGGCGCCATGGAGTTGGTCGCATGGACCATTTCCACGTGGTCGCAAGGATGTGGCAACTCAGCTTCGCATGGGAACCTCGGGTGTTGACCCCTTGGTTTCAGGATTTTCACGTTCATCCAGTCGGCCTTGCTTGCTCCGTCATTGGCCCAAAAGCGGGATGTCATGTCAGGCACATCCCCAGCAGAGATGCGCCGAACTGGCCCGAGAAGCCGGTTGAGCTGGGCCTCGAGAGATCGGCGGAGAACGGGTAACGGCAGCTAGCGGACCTTTCTTTTTTTCCATGGTGTTCGTGGTTTTGCTGATCTTATGAGCAGTGAGGTCCACTTTCATTTCCGCCTTTTTGTGGTTTTTTTTTCTTTGAGAAAGCCCGGCTACGAGGGTGGACCTACGACGGCCCCGAAAAGCCGGATTTGCCGACCAGCCGCTTCTTTCCCCTTGATGTTCGCATGAAGGAACCAGGAAACCGGATAAAAAGGTGTCGATGTATTCGAACCGGAGCCAGCGAGATGGGCACGAGCAATAAGCGTTGGGCGTGGGTCTCCAGTGTTTCGTTGCACCGCCAACCTGTGCCTGCTGACTGCAGAAGCGAGTGCAACAAGGTCTGTGAGACCATGCCATAAGAGTCTGGCGCTCCAAAGGAGCCGTAGGGCTGGCGCAGGTGACGAAAACTTTGCTCAGGCTCCGTTGGCATGTGCCTTGCGCATACCTTATCACATTTAGTTATCAATCGGGCATTTTGTTGGTCGGACCTGCTCGTGGAGGACACCATCGGCACCTCGGTTGCCGTCCGGGCTTTTGGCAGCAGAATGACGGTGTCCCGCTCCAACCAGCGACATCACAAAGGCCAGGATATGGTGTCTTGCGAACGGAACGAGAAATTAGCGGTGTGATGCGCTGGAATAATGGGGCCATCGTCGATAGGCTCCGCAACCTTCTGGAAGCCTGGGGAAGCCGGGATGCCTGCTCACCGAGCGACCAACCGTATTGCGCTGCGGGCACGCCGGGCAAACGGTGCACCGACAAGACCGGAGGGGCCACACCTGCTCGGAATTCTTGGATCAGATGACCGGTTCTCTTACATCCATCACACCATCGGGCAAACATTTTCGACGCTGGAGTTGATTAACCCGATGAACATCTCACCGCTTAGAAATGCGCGAACGGGAAGCATCCCAGATCCGGACAGTATGAAGTTCCTCATCGTTGGCGGCTTACTGAACCTTCATGCAAGGACTTTGCGCAAGCGGGTGACGAATGACGGGTGAGGCTTTGGCGGGCCCCAAAGGAATGACGCTGGTTCCAAGCTGCCGGGTCAATGGCACTGCAAGGCTGTGGCACCGTCCGGTGTTGGTAACCGTTTGCCTGTCATGCCGTCCAGCTGTCCGTTCCCGGTCAAGCGAGCACTGTCTCGATGTGCCCTATCCAGACTGCGGGGGATGAGTGAGCAGATACTCCGGATCGCCCTTGCGGGGCTGCTGGGTGAGACTTATCCGTGGTGGCTTGATTCTCCCGAAACAGGATCCTACGAAGCATTCGGACGCTCATACCAAGTTCTGACCACGGCTACGGATAATACCAGTTGCGCATTATTTGTCGCTGACAACATCACTGACACCCGCACCTGCGACAAGACCTTGTTATACTGCGGCTAAGCATGACCTGGGACTCCGCCGTTCTTGAGGCTCAGTTCAACCAGTCTTCTTTGGCTGTGCTGTGCCACCTTCATCACCCGCCCTCGCCGCTGGCATGCACAACCAAAGGCTGGGGAAACAACCTACACACATGCCTGATGCCACGTCGTGTCAGTCATGCCAAAAATACAGCGCTCCGACTTGACACTACAAGTTCGAGGAGGCGCTCCGCGTCGCAGTCGACATCTCGGCGCCGTAGAGCTGGACGCGCGGATATTACATTAAGCGCTGGTGGCATGGCAGCGGCGTACTGGTGTTGCCGCTGGTACGGCGTCTATGCGATGCAAGAAGAGAGTTAGTGCCGATCTTGGTTGACATGTTTCGACAAGGTCATTTTGTTGTTGCCAGGCTGCGTTTGTTCTCACGGCCGCTCCGTCTATTCCACCCTGTCACTTCTCACATCGCAAGCTTTGTCCGTTGGCGCCTCCTGCGAAATTCAAATTATCCCTTGCTTACAGTTACACCCGAATCCTGCCTGATCTCTGTCCGCGCACCAGCAAATGCAACCTGTCGAGGCCAGCACATCGCGTGTGAGAGTCATGAAAGTGCATCTGGCATCTTCCGAAACGTGGGCAGAGGCGGGGTTCACACCACGGATTCCCGGAAAAGGTAAGCAATTGCCCTGTTTTGGACAACGGCACCAAGGCAACACCAATCAGTGAACCCACGCTGTGTCACTCGCCGACATCCATGTCGGCGATGGGAAGCATTTCGTCACAGGTCCGTCTGATGATCTTCATCCCACAGAGCGCAAGCCTGGCGTGTGGAGCTCCCGTCAATCAGGTACAGTACCAGAACGTCTGCTCACGCACCTTGCCACGGCGGCACTGCCCGAGACCGTTCCTGATACCGGGCCAGGGCAGCCTCGCAGGCAGCGGAGGTGCGGCCTGGGAGGCGGCCATCAATCAACAAGATTCACGATTCAAGAAGCGGTCAGCGTTTTGAGCCGCACAACAGTTCGTTTTATGAGGTTGACAAACGGAGCCGGCATGCTGCCAATCGACACAAGGCTGAATGCCGCCTTTCGGAACAGGTGCCCAACATCGTGGATTGCGCGCAGGTGCGAGCGCGGGAGTGTCGGCATTGCCGGGCGAAATAGGAGAAAGGAGGCATTTTACAGACTGACTACTGTAACGCTACCCCAGACAATACAAATAAACTCAAAAAGCATCAACGGCCGTTGTGGTGGGCTTCCCCGCGAAACTGGGAATAAAGGGATAATGCGCTGGTTGGGATCGGAGTTCTCGCAGCACCGCCCGCAATAATGATCTGTCATAGGAATATCTAAGAAGTGTGCGTTGCATCTTATTATTTCTAAGCCACGCTCGAGACGTGGCCATATGCCGCACACGGGTAGGGATACGAAGCTCAAGTCAGGGGTCGTTACCGTGTAGGTCGCAGAAATGGCCGGCTGACCTCGGACGGACCAGCATCGGCCGCCGACCAGAGCGACAAGATTTCCCGATGCCAACCCGGATTGTTTGGCTGGAGAGGCTTTGCTTCTGAAATAACACCTCATCAGTTTCTTTCATTAACCGTTTTCCTTGGAAAACTCAAATTGTTTCTCGGATCTGGGACGCCCCTATCTCGACAGTTTGACCATCATTGCGTCTGGAAATTTGTCAGTACCTCATATGCCCCTAAAGCATCGCAAACAAGCTCGGCCGGCAATTGTCCACCCCTGGAAACGCAAAGTGTAAATTTTCTTCACACAATTCTCACCGTTAAGAAATTTGGCAAGATGTTGAAATTGGCGGTGGGTCGCCGACTCGCACACAAGGCGTTCGATCCGAGTCCATTTGAGCGGAAGTCTCCACACTGCCAGCCTGGCTGCTAAATTTGCATTTGCCCGCGATTGCCAGGCCTCTCTCTCAGCTCGCTGTGCGCCGCTCTTTTCGGACACGGCGGACGGCCCCAGCTGGGCGCTGCAACCCCCGAGCGCCGCCTGACAGCCGCTTCCGTTTGCCTCGAGCAGCCTGCCTTTACTTCCCAATTCGGTTCTTGTTGCAGCGGTCCGAGGTGCCCAACGAGGCGGCTACCATCACCGCTCCAGGATGCGGAGATTGAGACTGATGCCTCCATGTGAGCTGTCCATACAGGCGGCCGTTTGGTTGTCAGCGGAGTCACCGGCCGACCGCTCTTTCAAACAGCGAGATTTCAGGTGTCATGGCCGTGAGAGGGACGCACATGTGGCATGTACTCTCCCTTGTCGTGTCCGCCGGACCAGGGGGCCCGTTCATAACGGCAGGGAGCCACCCCGGCTCTGATACAGCGTTTCATTTCCACGCCGTGGCCAGGCGACCGCCAAGATTGGGCTGCGTCACCGCAACTTGGAGGTTTATATTTCGCCGAAGTACATGACTCTACCTGGACTTGGCTGAATCCGCGGCAGTCTTGGTGCGTGACGTTCTTCGCTTAAAAGTACCTCTTCTCTGAGATTCGTACCGAGGACATCAGCCTCCACAAACGAATGGCTCCTCACCCTGGCAGCCCTGTCCGCTGGACTTGCTCCTTTCTCTTCCTGGTGGAATTTAGAGATTGTCAGTCACGGCTACCTACATAAAAAGGCAGGCAGCCCTCCCACCCTGCCGTGGTCGGCACTCTCGAGCCATCATCGCCAGACCAAAACGACTCGGGAACTTTCATCGAAAGATCTTAACGACAAAGACTCTCTCACGACTACTTGATAATTACGACTGCTTCCTGTCCTGACCCGCGACCAGCAACCTCCAATCACCACTCCAACGATCACCAGGCCTAGCCTTATAAACCCAACAACCGTCAAGCTGGCTTCCTCGACCCAGTTCACTTTCACCATGATGCCCGCTCAGAGACCGTCTCAGCTTCCTCCCTGCCCCGGTCCGCCGCCAAGTAGGCCGCTTCCTCCTCTGCCCAAAAGGGATTAAGCGTTGCTCGATGATGCTACACCCTTCGGGCTTCGACATGTCGCCTGTCTCACCACCTGGTCACTAGGCTCCGCGCATCTCCGTCAGAGAGATGGCCGCGAGCCGCCCGCTGTGAGGTGTTTGTGGTCGCCCACGCGACCCTGCAACGCCGCGCTCCAGCTTCCGCATTATCTGCGTCGGTTTCGGAGGCAGCGTTTCTGAGCTGCACGCCATACGTGCCTCTGCATGCCTCCAAGCCGCATATTTGGGGACGCAGCAAGCTTTCGACACAGCCATTCATCTGCCACCCTCGACGCAAGGGGCTGCTCGCCTCTGATTGGACGGGCCGACCACGAAACCTCCGCCCCTCAACCTCGCAGCAAGCTGTGCACCCCCTGAGCGGGGATCTTCAGTTTTCCTGGCGCGCCATCGTCCGTCATCATCAATTCGGCCGCAATCACCATGAGCCGTCTGCCACCACACCATCTTCGATCGGATGGGTCCCAAGAGCGGGCTCAGGGAGTCTTCGGTTTTCCATCTTCACCTCCATTCCGCCTTGTCGGCGCCACGCAACACGGGCGCATTTTGACCTGTACCACTAGCTTGGGAATACGGACTTTTTAATCATTGATATTGTGTTATTTCCTTTTGTTTTGAGCGACGACATTGATATCAAGTGTTACGAGGTTTCAGCACATCTGGGATAGAATAGGAATGGGCAACTGTACAACACTTTTTATTTTTATGTTCAGCACCGGCGTCATGATACCACGTCGCCGATACTCCTTGAGGAGGCAAAAAGGCATGGCGACGGCGGGTAGATGTACTAGTGAGGGGTTTTTGGGAGCCGTCTCCATGTCGTCCCGACCCGGAGTTGATGAAACGGGAATACGGACAGGGCAGGTTGGGCTCTCTGATTTGCAATGTATACATGGCAATAGGCATTAATACCAACACGATAATACGTTTACAACCCTGCTTTCACGCACTTGATTGCGACCGTGTGACAACGAGTTCCGGATTCCCAATTCATTGCCTATGCCCTGAATCGTCCGTGGGGGGACTCCTGCAACTGCGACAACGTTCCCCCCGGCCCCACTACGACGCTGTGTAGCCGCCCTCGGCATCGAGATGGTTACATCATGGCCCTTCAGGAGCGAGTGTTTCAGGCGGAAATGACTGGCGGCTGCCAGGCCGGCCTGCGTGGAGGGGAGCGGGAGATCAACAGGTTTCTCTCGACTCATCAGCCGTGTTTACGGACGGCTCCGGATGTTGATGACCGCGGCCCACCAGGGTGAGACAGAACTGGAATCATCAAGATTGGCAGGGTGGGTGGCCGTGTCGCCGATCGAGAGGGATCGCCTTCACCATCGGCCGATCGGGGTGTTGGCTCCGGATATGGGTGTTCTACTGTTCTCATGCCTGTCGCGATCGGGGCCGGCTTCCAAGGGGCGCGGAGCAAGCCTAGAGAGCTGGCTGCAAGGAACAATTACTCCTTTTGGTAACGAAGCTACCTCATCAACTCCCCTGTTGTCGTGCAAGACGAAGCATGCACGATTTGCCTTCCTCAAACATGTGCTCGAGTCCATTTTGTCATACTCGCAGGTCGAGCCTCTAGGTCTGAAACAGTCCGGTAATGTCTTAGAATAGGGGTTGGCGATGCGATACGGAGTACATTCATTTCTGATTGATGACCGCGAATCACAACTTGGTTGGAAATTGGAAACGCCGCTCTCCACTGCAATGAACTTGAAGACGGATCGTGAAATGAGAATGGGAGTCGGATGCTCCTGACTTCCTGTGGGTCAGCGGCAACTGCGGGAAGAGACCCCAGACTGCTCCACAAATCTCATTTGGCGTTCCGTCAGCGGCGTTCTGGAAAGTTTCCTGGCTGGGCAGTCGGTGAGCGGTTATCTGTGGTCTATCTCCACGTGAGGACGCGCAACGATTACACGCCCTGTTCATCGAACCGCTGGATCAAGCAATCCAAGAAGCGATCTGAGGACGTGCCTGTCCGACTTTGGCAGCTCGCATCGCGGATTGATTTCTGACCCCGATTTCCCATGATGCTGCAACTCTACGTCTGGGGCCCGGCATTCGGCCTGCCGTCGCTCGACGCAGAGTGTCTCGCCGCCATTGCCTTCCTGGTGCAAACCCTCAGCCCAGTCGACTACCATCTCATCCAAAGCAGCCCCTCCGCCGTCCCGACCCGTGCGCACCCCACTCTCCTCGAATCTCCCTCTCCATTGCCCACGAACTAACCCAGTCATGCAGAACACCTCCCCGCCCTCCATGACCCCTCCACTTCAACCTGGACATCCGGCTTTCGCGCCATAGCAACTCACATCCAACAAACCCACCCGCCACCGACCTTCCACAACGACCACACCTCCCCGCCGCCACCATCACCGTCATCCAACCCCGCCGACACCGCCCCCGCCATCGCAGACGGCATAGCCTACACGACCTTCCTCACCGCCCACGCGGCGCCCCTCCTGTCCCTCTCTCTCTACGTCTCGTCCGCCAACTACGCCTCCGCCACCCGCCCGGCCTACTCCGCCGTGCTCCCCTTCCCCCTGCCATGGACTGAGCCGCCCGCCGCGCGTGCCGCGATGGTGCGGCGGGCTGCGCATCTGGGCATGTCTGTCCTCGACACAGATTTCGTTTCCGAAGAGGATAATAGTACGAATGCAGTGGTGGGAATGGAGGGATGGGTTGATATACCGGCTGCGGTCCGGCTTAAACCTAAGAATGTCGGGGTGGGGGGTTTGTTGAGTCCTGAGCAGAAGAGGAGGATCAGGCTGGAGGGGTTGGCCGGGGAGGTGCTGGATGTGTTGGGTGAGGTTGCGTGGGAGCGGCAGAGGGTTGAGGTGAGGTGTCTTGCGTGGGGATATCTGGCGCTGATGCTGCTGCCGGATGTGCCGCGGCCGTGGCTGAGGGAGGTTATGGAGGGGCGGTATCCCGGGTTGTGCGAGTTTGTGAGGGAGTTTCGGGGAGAGGTGTTTCCGGAGGGGAAGGAGTTGCCATGGGTTGGAGGGAAGGACTGTGAGTCGGTTGTTGGGGTCGGGGCGAGGTTTGCGAGGGGCGTGCTGGGTGAGGTGCCATTGATAGGAGAGCAGTGGACGCGGTGGTGGGCCGGGAGAAAGAGGAGGCAGGTGATGGCGAGCAAGGGAATAAGGACTAAGTCTGGCGGCGACCTGCTTTTACTGCTTGGGGCAGGGCTAGGGCTTACAGCCATAAGCGCAGGTGTCTTTTTTTATCGCGGTCTGCCGCCGTTTGGCGAGGGGGTGCAGGTTTGGCGGAAGCCGGTGGTCACACTGAGCAGCTTCGGGGCAGCGGGGGCCATGTTCTCAGGGGCGCTCTACGGGTTAGATTAGGGGCGGTTATATCAGATACGGCCTCGTGGTGACGGCTTGGACGAACAGATTCCCCTCTAGAGCTACGTTACACTTGGGGTGTGTTCTTGCACTACTTGGTCTTGGATAACTTGATGTCTTCAAGACTAGCATATCCAGTCAGAGATCCTCTTGATCAAAATCTGGTTTGAAATCCAGGTTATCATTGATCATGAGACATTATCTCCGTTGTAAATCGCAGTTTGGAATTGGTAGATCTGCTGTTCGTCTTCTTGTGGTGTAAGCCGAGACGGAAAGTGGAGCCTCACGGCAGCTGCACGCATCGAGGCATCTCCACCGACCGCCGAGCCCGAAATTTCCCCAACGTTCTCCCCGGCAAGCTGCTTTCGCTATGACGCGACAGCGACAATGTCAAAGAGCTGGGCATCGACGCTGAGGCTGCCCAAGTCGACCTTCCCGTACGTCCTAACGCACCCTTTCCACCACAAACAACTTGAGAAGCTCACCTGTTTCCAGACCGCGTCCTCTGCCGCAGGCCCGGGAGCAGTACATCCAGCGATGCGCCGATGACTTTTACAAGTGGCAGGCGGCCAACCGCCCGGCCGACAACGAGTTCGTCCTTCACGATGGGCCGCCCTACGCCAATGGAAGCCTACATGCCGGCCACGCCCTGAACAAGATTCTCAAGGACATCATCCTGCGCATCAAGGTCCAGCAAGGTGCACCCGCCCAAAAATACCCACACCCCATTCCATCCCCATGCCCACTGACAAAACATCCATTTTCTTTTTCCAGGCCGCCGCGTCTCGTACATCCCAGGCTGGGACTGCCACGGCCTCCCCATCGAACTCAAAGCCGTCGACGCAACACAGGGCAAAACCATGTCCCCCGGCGCGATCCGCGCCGCGGCGCGCAAGCTTGCCTCGGACACGGTCCTCGCGCAGATGTGCAGTTTTCGGTCCTACGCCGTCATGGCCGACTGGGACGCCCGCTGGTCCACCATGGACATGGCCTATGAGATCCGCCAGCTGCGCCTGTTCCAGAAGATGGCGCGCCGCGGGCTCGTGTACAGGAAGTTCAAGCCCGTGTATTGGAGCCCCTCGTCCGGGACGGCGCTGGCCGAGGCGGAGCTCGAATATAATGAGGCGCATGTGTCGAAGGCGGCATATGTGAGGTTCCCGGTCGTGATGGTGGAAGCGGGGTATGGGGGATTGCCCGGGCTGGAGGGGCTTCGGGGCAGGTTGTTTGCGGTTGTTTGGACCACTACGCCCTGGACGCTGCCCGCGAATAGGGCGATTGCGGTGCATGAGGATTTGGGGTATGTTATTGTGAGGGTCGGGGAGGATGCGTACTTGGTAGCTGAGAACTGCTTGGAGAGGGTTGCGAGGGTGCTAGCTGGGCAGGGACAGACGGTCGAAGTTGTCGGCACAGTCAGGGGCAGCCAATTAACGCAGCTGCGCTACGTCAATGTGCTTCGGGAGACGTCGGCCGGGCCACAGCCGTTTATTCACGGCTCGTTCGTCACGGACGGTTCCGGGAGCGGTCTGGTGCATTGCGCGCCAGGGCACGGGTTCGACGATTACCTGGCCTGCCTGTCCCTGGGCATACCCGTGTCTGCCCCGGTGGACAACGATGGCTTGTTTACCGAGGAAGCATATCCCAACCAGCCCGACCGCTTAAAGGGCATCTCGGTGCTTGACGGCGGCAGTGCTGCTGTCCTGGATATTCTTGGGAATGACGTCCTCGATGTCCACGAGTACCGGCACAAGTATCCCTACGACTGGCGGACCAAGCAGCCCATCATCATTCGGTCGACAGCACAGTGGTTCGCCGACGTGGACACGATCAAGGACGACGCTCTTCGGGCCATCCACCAGGTGCGGTTCGTGCCGGAGCAGGGCAAGAACAGGCTCGAGGCTTTCGTCAAGGGCCGCAGCGAATGGTGCATTTCGCGGCAGCGAGCCTGGGGCGTGCCGATACCTGCGTTGTACGAGGCAAGCGGCAATGCCGTCATGACCGACGAGGTGATCGATCACATCATCTCGGTCATCCAGAGGAGGGGAACGGATGCTTGGTGGACCGACGCCCCCGAGGACCCGGCCTGGATCCCGGAGTCGCTTCGCGGCAAGGCCGAGTACTCCCGCGGACGCGATACCATGGACGTCTGGTTTGACAGCGGCACCAGTTGGACCATGATGGACAGGCAAGCGGATCTGTACCTCGAAGGCTCGGACCAGCACCGCGGATGGTTCCAGTCGAGCCTGCTCACGCGAGTAGCGGCCATGGCAGACCAGACGACCAGAGCTACAACCAACACACTCGGGCTCTCTCCCTTCAAGACGCTGATAACCCACGGCTTCACTCTGGACCAAGACGGCAGGAAAATGTCCAAGTCTCTCGGCAACATCATCTCAGCCGACCAAGTCATGGACGGCTCGCTCTTACCCCCTCTCAAGACCAAGAAGAAAGGCGGCAACGGCAAAAACAACAACGCCCCATCCGTCAAAGACGCCCTCGGCCCGGACGCCCTGCGGCTGTGGGTCGTAAGCAGCGACTACACACACGACATTGTGCTCAGCGAGCAGGCCCTCAAGACAATCCACCAGACGCTGCTCAAGTACCGCACCACCATCAAGATGCTGACGGGCAGCATGCACGAGTCGGCGCGCACCGCGCCCCTGACGGCCGTCGACCAGATTGCGCTCGTCCAGCTGGGGGATGTCATGGCCGAGGTGAGCCGGCACTACCAGGCGTACGAGTTCAACAAGGCGTTCGCCGCGCTCAACCGCTGGCTCACGAACGATTTGTCGGCTTTTTACCTCGAGGCGCTCAAGGACAGGTTGTACTGTGCTGATGGGGGCGGCGTGCTCGAGCCGGTTTTTGTGGGGTTCCTGCGCATGCTGGCGCCCGTTACCCCCGTGCTGGTGGAGGAGGCGTGGGAGCACCGCCCGGAGTGGATGAAGGAATATGAGGAAGGGGTGCTGATACATCCGCTGCGGCAGCTCTACTGGGACCCGATTGTGGATGAGGACAGGCTGACGATGGATCCGAGGCAGCTGAGGCTGGACGTGCCGGTGCTGATGCGCGCGCACGCGGCCATCAAAGCGGCGCTGGAGCTTGCCAGGGGGGATAAAGTCCTGGGCTCGTCGCTACAATGTGCTGTGGTACTTGAGGTACCTGAAGGGGGGGTGCTGCAGGCGCTGGAGAGGTATACGGACGAGCTGGAGGCCATGTTCGTGGTGTCTTCGGTGGGGCTGAACGGGGCTGTCCCGGAGGGTGTGGAGTGGAAATATAGTGAGGAGTTTGAGCTTGAGGGGAAGCAGTGCAAGGCCTGGGTGCTCCCGCCTAAGCAGGCCAAGTGTCCTAGGTGTTGGAGGTATGTGGCGCCCAAGGAGGATGAGCTCTGTGGGCGGTGCGAGGACGTTGTAGCCGAGGCTGTACAATAGTTGTATTGCATGTGGAGTAAAGATAGAATAGGCGGCGACAACGGATACCCCATTCTGTATCACTCCCAGGAACGGTTTCGAGGCGTGTGATGATGGGATTGATTTACCCCCCCCAGTGTGTATATATTGACGGCTCCCAATGCCTTTCCGGCGGAAGCTCGCCGACGACAGAGGCTCAGAATGGCATTTGTAGGCTAGCAATACCACAAGGCTGGTACCTTGTACGAACCTTACCCAGCATACTTCCGTCTGTCTGCGCGCCGGTTTTGAAGGTGAAAGCAACACTGGCGGTTTTCGTGGACATTACGTCCCTTCAAAACGGAGAACTGGCTTGTCGGTAAGCTTTTGAGCTACCAATTCGACCCACTTAATGTTATTATTTTGTCCGTAGGAAGATTACAAACTGAAATCTGGCCTATAAGGCTGGGAGATAGGGACCCGAACGCAAGGTGAAAGTGGTTCCATATACAGTAACTACCCCTCAAGGTAACCATGTAATTTTTCATACCTGTCCGATAAGGCTGGCAGTTTGTAAGCAGCTGCCTTATCAAGAATCTTACCCAAAAATTATCAAATTGATTTTATGCGACGGCGACAAGCTTCACACAGCAGCGTCCAATTCCTCAAGCATGGACATCCTCAAAGTGCTCTCGCGGGGCATCAAGCACAACCAGAAGAACAAACCGCAAGCCGCAGGGACCTTGACCCAACTCCCCTCGGCCGGTGCGCTCCCCCGGCCGCAGCTCTTCCACGACCCGGTCAGCGCCCGAGGCAAGAAGCGGAAAAGGAGACCGGATGCACAGAATGACGAACAGGCAGTTGAGGACGACGACGTCAGCGACGTGGATTACTTTGCCCCGAAGGAACCCGCCGTCGAACCCGTTCCCGACACAGACCAGGCGCCTCCCAAGAAACGCAAGATCAGGCTGCTAGACGAGGACGAATGCAGACAGATCCTGCGCTCGCACCGTCTCAAGTTCACGATACTCTCGGGGTCGCCCAAAGTGGAGGATAAGGAGGATGAACAGGCCTCAAAGAAAAACAAGAGGCGAAAAGAGGCTGAAAGAAACATGGGCGAAAAGGAGAAGAAGGACGATTACAGAAAACAAATTTTCCCCCAGCCCTTAAACTCGTTCGGCGAGCTCCAGCACATCTACGACGTCTCGCCGCAGTTGGCAGCCAACGTCTCGGCGCAGGGCTTCCGCGTCCCGACCGAGGTGCAGATGGGCAGTCTGCCGCTCCTCCTCCGGCCAGTGACGGCCCTCAAGAAATCCAAGAGCGTCGAGGTCCCTGGCCTAGAAAACGGCGCACACTTTCTCGCTGTCGCCCCCACAGGCAGCGGCAAGACCATCACATTCCTCATTCCGGCCATCGATGGCGTCCTCCGACGGCGTGCTGAGCTGGGGAGGGACAAGGACGGGCACGTGCTCGAGGTGGTGGTTGTGGCGCCTACCAGGGAGTTGGCGAGCCAGATTGTCAACGAGGGCAGGAAGTTGGCAATTGGGACTGGGGTAAGGGTGGTACTGATGAAGAGGGGTCTGAGGCTTGCCGCGGAGGAGGTGAAACAGGTGAAAGGAAACGATGATGAGGGAAGTGGTAGTGAGAAGGAGAGCGAGGATGATGCGAGTGAAGAGTCGGAAGACGACAAGGCCGGCAAGGACGGCGGAAAGCCGCTGGCGAGGGTGGATATTCTTGTGACGACGCCCAAGACGTTGCTCAATTTCCTGTCTGGTGGCAAGCCTGGCACGCGCCAGATCCTGCCAACCGTCAGGTCCCTCGTCCTCGACGAGGCCGACGTCCTCCTCGACCCCATCTTCCGCAAACAAACAATGGGCATCTGGCGCGCCTGCACCCACCCCGAAGTTAGCCTCACCTGCTGGTCCGCCACGATGGCCTCCAACATCGAATCCCTCATCACCAAGCAGCTCGACAAGCGCTCCAAGCGCGCCGGAACCACCCCGCGCCCCGTAATTCGCCTCGTTGTCGGCCTCAAAGACGCCGCCGTGCCCAACATTACCCACAAACTCATCTACACGGCCACCGAGCCCGGCAAGCTCCTCGCGCTACGCCAACTGTTGCACCCCGTCTCATCCGCCGACTCAGGCCCGCCGCTCCGCCCGCCCTTCCTCGTCTTCACCCAGACCATCGAGCGCGCCCAGGCGCTACACGACGAGCTCAAGTACGACATACCCCTCGAGGCAGGCGGCTCGGTGCGCGTGGCGGTCCTGCACTCGTCCATGACGGACCGCGACCGCTCCAAGATCATGGCGCGCTTCCGGGCGGGCGAGGTGTGGGTGCTCATCACGACCGACGTGCTCGCGCGCGGCGTTGACTTTGCGGGCGTCAACGGCGTCGTCAACTACGATGTGCCGACCTCAGCGGCTGGGTACGTGCACCGCGCCGGGCGGACAGGGCGCGCGGGCCGCGAGGGCGGCGTGGCCGTTACCTTTTACACCAAGGACGACATCCCCTTTGTCAAGAGCGTGGCCAACGTCATTGCCGCCAGCGAGAAGCAGGCGGGAAAGACCGAAGAAGGAGGCGGCGTGCAGAAGTGGTTGCTGGATGCGCTGCCCAAGGTGGCCAAGGAGGATAAGCGGAAGCTGAAGGTCCGTGGCGTCGAGTCGAGACGGACGGGCGGCAAGGCGACTATCACGACCAAGAGCTCGTGGGAGCGGAGGAGGGAGCATAACCGAGCGCAGGCCATCGAAGCGAGTAAGCGCCGGAAGAGGCAGCGCAGGGAGGAGGGGGAGGAGAAGGTGGAGGAAGAAGGGGAGTGGGGGGGGTTGGAGGATTGATACCAGAGAGTGCTATGTCCGTAGGGCTAGATGTCGTAGTGCGTGGGACAGTTGCGGTTCAAGAGGAAATGCGTTACATAGGTACAAAACAATACAACTACACGTCTACCTCCCAACCGCAAAGACTCCTCCAACCACCACTGTCAACTCCACCCTCTCCATTCTAGACTAATCAGTAACCCACCGGCCGAAACAACCATCTCCCAGGGTCAAAAACGACCTCCAACCCCGTCTGTCCGCTCGTCCCCACCGCACAGCTCAAATCATGATACCCCTCCAGCCCCGTAACAGGCAAATCCTCCTCGGCATCCGTCTCCTCATGCAGATTCCACCTGCCCACCTCCCTGCCCTGCCTGGTTAGAAACACCTCCGTCTCGATCCGCCCGCCCACCTCGCGGAACCTCATGCCGATGCCCAGCCGCTCACCGGGCGCAAAGGGCTCGGTGAAGGACTTGCCGCCCCAGCGGTCGTTGACGAACTTGTGCCCGTCGTCGCCGTGCACGGCCAGCGAGCCCCGGTGCCAGCCGGGCATGCGGAAGGACGGGTAGGGGAGGGCTGCGAAGCCTAACGCGACGCAGATGTCGCCTTTGCGGGGGTTCGAGTGCGGGGTGAGTTGGACTTCGTAGTAGATTGTTTTCTGGCGGGTTGAGTTGGTCGGGGAGAGCGGGGAGTGTTGGGTTACCGTGTAGAGAGGTGGGTACGCTATGATGCTGTTTCGGTGATAGACAGGGTAGTTAGTATCGCGCACTGGTGGTGGTTTTGAGGTTCCCCTTGGGGAGGGGGGGTGGAGGGAGGAGCAAGCTTACGTCGAATCTCGCGCGCGGGAATCGGTGGCGACGTTCCACAGTCCCGGCGCCGTGCAGACGAGAGTGCCGCGGAAGGTGTCGGGCTGCATCAGGCGCGGGTTGTGCGCGTTGAGGGCGGCGACGGCAGGGCCGTCTAGCGTTATAGGTGCTGTCAGCGGGTGCTGGGCACACCATCTCTCGCCAGCCTCGGCTTCCTCTTCGGTGGCGTTGTGCGCCGGCGACCGGTCAAAGCCGGCGAAGATGTTGGGAGGCGGCGGGAAGAGGGATGTGTCTGGCACGACGGACTCCCTGGAAGTTTTGTTAGCCGATATGATAGAGACGGGAGGAGGACGGAACTTACCAGTCATGCTTGGGCTTGGACTCGGTTGGCGGCGGGCCAGGGGGAGGCGCCATGTAGCTGAGGTCGTTGTGGGCGTGATGAGACGGGGGCGGGCCAGGCGGGGGAGCGAAATCATCACCATCGTGGTAGCGGTGGGAGGGAGGTGGTCCAGGGGGGGGAGCGAAGTCATCTCCAAGCCTCTGAAACGGAGGCGGTCCAGGGGGAGGGGCATAATCACCTCCAGGTCTCTTGGACGGAGGCGGCCCCGGAGGCGGCGCAAAGTCGTCCCCGGCTAAGCTCACCGGAGGTCGCTGAGACGGCGGCGAAGCGGGAGGCGGAGCGTACCCGTAGCTTGCCGACTGCTGCGGGTGCTGCTGGTGATACTGAGGCGGCAGACTCGTCTTCATCTCGGGGGCATATGGCTGCTGGTTCTGTGCAGGCCGTGGCGGCTCGCCCTCCCTGGCGTCTTTCTTACTGCCGAAACACATGGCTGGTTTGATGCGGAATCGATTCTGATTCCGACTTGCTATTGGCGAGATTCCTCGAGCGAGATCTCGATATATGTGGTGTTGTTGTCCTTTGTTTTTAAGTCACCTTTTTGCGTGAACAGGTGACAACACAGCGAGTTTGTTGTGCTGTGCAGTGCAAACAGCGAACCGCTGAAGGCGTCTTTATCCAGCTAAACTGATTGTCAGACGGCTTTGACTTGCCGCTTCTAAATATCAAAGTCAACTAGGCGATTGTTTGATGTCGGTGTGGTCAGATGCCCTGCTTGTATTGACGAAGGAACCCTTGAAGCAGCGGAGGTACGCAGCATAAGGTACACGGTTGCTGCTGACAGCGGGGTTGACCACCTGAGGAGGGCAGTGCAACCCGCCAAGATAGTGCGTTCAACGGTCAACCGCTGCGCTAATACCCCATTGGCGGCGTCTCAGAAGGCCGGATTTCCGCTCCTGTCGGCAACCGGGCTGGAAGGCTGCTGAAGTACACCCGACGTGTACTGCAATATCAAGACGTACTGTGGTACCTTGCTCATCACACAATACCGGCCCTGCGCACTGTTTCTCGTACCACAGTACGGATTACACTATCGCAAGGTCGAAGTCCGTCAGCATCCATGATTCGATCTAGGTGACGTCATCTTCTTACTGTATCCACATGAAGCCTTGGATCAACACAGCCACTCAACGTTGCAACTTCGTGGCGGAGTGAGTAGGTCGAGCCACTACACTATGGATGTTCTCAACTGTGTCTGGTAGCACTAAGTATCCTGCAGAATGCGAGTAAAAACATGTTCGTAAACTCGACTGCCTCGTTGAGAACTACTTCACATTCCCAGCGTCATCGCGATTTGAGTCAAGGTTGTGCTCCTGTCGAAGCTTTGTGGATGTTCTTGGCAAGCACTACCCTCATTGAAGTTTTGTGGCTTGGCTGCTTGGCGGGTTGGTCGTCAAGATACGGGTAATCTATAGCATTGTGCAAAGCATGTGCAATCTACCTTGGGTCAGTATTGATGGTCGACTCTTTGAAGATACTTCGTTGTGATACTGAACCGGTAGTAGGAAGGAAGGTTAGCAAACCCTTTGAAGACGAGCAGTTCTTTGTTCCTATAAAGATTTCTGATTCATGTACGGATCCGTACGCAAATCCGTAATTGACCGCCATATGATGCTGTGGAGCATGCCTGGTGAGCGCTCAATGCGGAATGCGCACTCCCGTCCTTGATTCCTCTGGCAGGGATGTTGGACCTGTTGCTTTTTCCGTATAAAGCATCCTCCCGAAGTCATCATCCGTGTTCCCTCTTCCTTGTCTTACTCAGGATCCGTCCACTTCGCCGCCAACTGCCTGCGACCATCGCGTCGAGATCGACTTTTGTACATCACCAACTTCGATGAAGGAAGCTTCGCCCGACCCAAAGTCAACATCGCATGGCGGCAACCATCGCTCGTCGGGAGGACCCCATTCCGACTCGATTTCCTTAAGCGGCAACAATGGCAAAGCTGACGCCTCTTCCCTCTCGGGCTATGACATCCCCGGCGGCGGACCCGCCACGGACCAGCCAGCCCCCGTTGCTGACCCGGACAGTAGTAGTAGTCGCCGCGGCGTCAATGCACCGCAGGCTGCACAGCCGGGGGCTGTCGTAGAGGTCCAGGGCGGGAAGCCCGATGATTCCAAAAATCAAAAGAAATCTGTCGCGCAGCGCTTCTGGCGCACCTTCAAGATGATCCTGTTTAATTCCAAGCTCAACGTGCTGCTGGTCTTCGTGCCCGTCGGCATCGCCGTCGCCCAGCTCGAGAATGTGTCGCCGGCCGTCATCTTCGCCATGAATGCCGTCGCCATCGTGCCGTTGGCCGGCCTCTTGAGCTTTGCAACCGAGTCGGTGGCCCACAAACTGGGCGACTCGCTCGGCGCCTTGCTAAACGTTACGTTTGGCAACGCCGTAGAGCTGATCATTTTGTAAGCTGCTCTCCAATCAGATTCACCTAAGCCATGAGAGTCCTGCTAATAGTGTTGCAGCATGTATGTTGCCCTGCAGCACGGTTCATCCCGTCCGCACTTTTCTATCGGTTCGTAATTCATTCTTCTAATCACTGCTGACGGACATAAACAGCATTGCACTCGTCAAGAATGAGATTCGCATCGTCCAGGCCTCGCTGCTTGGCTCTATCCTGTCCAACCTGCTGCTCATCCTGGGCATGTCCTTCTTCCTCGGAGGCCTGCGCTTCCGCGAGCAGGTCAGTGCCGTTTCAGCCTCTCGGTCGACTACTTGCTGACGATATCAGATTTATAACAGCACCGTTACCCAGATGAGTGCTTGTCTGTTGAGTCTGAGCGTCATCAGTCTGGTTCTGCCCGTATGTTTATCTACACTTCATTTTCAGGGTGTTGTACTAACAATTCTAGACGGCATTCCACGCCTCATTCTCCAGTAATGACCTTGCCGATGCGCAGTCTCTCAAAATTAGCCGGGGCACCAGTGTGGTAAGTGTGGTAATCTCTGGCGAGTCGAGCGAAAAACTGACCAAGCAGATTCTCCTGTTGGTATACATTGTGTACCTGTTGTTCCAACTCATCTCGCACTCGTACCTGTACGAGTCGACACCTCAACACATTATCGATGAGGAATCAACCCCCGGCCCGGCAGCCAACTGGCTGGACTCGTCCTCGGACAGCAGCTCCTCGAGCGACTCGGATTCGTCCGACTCGGACCGTTCGCGGGAGACCATATCGAAGCGGATGAGACGGGTAATGCGCCGTCGAAGATCCAGCGCCGTCTCTTCCGAAGCGGCCGAAATCGGTTCCAACACTCATCGCACGCCCTCCGGGTCTACCAGCGAGGCAAACACCGTTAAGGATCATCCAGTTGTTGAACAGTCCTCGTCGCGTTCGCGCACGCACCGCCACAACGCCACTAACGACAATGAGGATGGTGAAGACGCTAAGGACCATCGCCATGGGAGGCGCCAACGGCGGCCGAAACGGAAGCATCGCAAGCACAAGCACAGATTGCACATGACTTCATCTCCTGACGGCGTAGTTGGGGGTACTGCAGGGAACGCCGAGGCAGAACCAAATGGCCTCGGGTCCCGCAGAGTCGACTTTGCTCCCCAAACTGCCGACCAACAGCCCGGGACCAGCAGCCCCGCCAAGGGCCTGCGCGGCATGTCTCTGTTGCCGGTCGTCAGCAGTCTGGCGCCCACCGTATTCACCCAGCCTGCCGAGGCCAGCATGCCTAGTGTACCTGCTGGCCCGGTGCCTCGCGTGCGTTATGGCATCCGCAGGACCAACTCGCTGCCGGGCCGTCTCAATCAGTACTACCGCGCTCCCGGCGCCATGATGCCGTCGCAGATACCGCTCGCCCACCGTCCCAGCGTGGCCCTTGCCGCCGAGGACGGGCACGGCGGCGCCAGCCAGTTGTCGCGCACGGCCGCCGTGATCCTGCTTCTCGTCTCGACGGCTTTGGTGGCCGTGTGCGCCGAGTTCATGGTCGACTCGATCAACGGGCTCGTCGAGACGGGCGGCGTGGGCGAGACGTTTATTGGGCTTATTGTTTTGCCCATCGTCGGCAACGCCGCCGAGCACGTCACGGCCATTACGGTGGCCATGAAGAACAAGATGGATCTGACCATTGGTGTCGCGGTCGGCAGCTCCATCCAGATTGCGCTGTTCATCACGCCGCTTGTGGTGATTATTGGCTGGGCGATGGACCGCGGCATGACGCTGTACTTCACGCTGTTTGAGACGGTGTGTTTGTTTGTGTCGGCATTTATCACCAACTTCTTGGTGCTCGATGGGCGGAGCAACTACCTTGAGGGTGCGCTGCTGATGGCGACGTATGTCATTATTGCTGTGGTGGCCTTTTACTACCCAGATGTCAAGGATGCCAGCGCGTTGGGAGCGTAGTTGGAGGGGTTGAGGTGTTGTCGATGCAGTGGCACACTGCTGGTACCTATCAGAGGAACCTGAGGGGTTAGAAAAGGGGCAACCCGGAGGTTGAGCAACCTCTTAAGGAGTTGAGGTGTCGCTGAGGCACTGGCTTAGTACCTACCGGGTGGACGGCCGGGCAAGGGTTAAAGCGAGAGCTTGAATAACCTCTTGAGAGTTAGCAGATGAATGCCTGGTGACGTCTAGATTGGTGGATGAGTATGTATCTACAGTGCTGTTGGTGGGCGATAACGCTACAAATAAATGCCTGCGATGGATGGCCTTTCGGACAAGATGATATTTGTCTAGTCACGAAGTGACAGTCAATACATCGGAGCTGATCCGTCCTGTGCCACGCCTTAATACCTTTCTCGAGCATGCATAGAATTGAAGCACCAAGCCGCATCTGCAGTGCATCATCCGGTTCAAATAGGAACAGTACTCCTGGTGACTGATACCTTACTGTGATTAACAGTGATGGTGCCCCATTCTTCCTTTGGCTTCATGGAGAAACCGGCTCTCAGAAGGATACCACTCGGGGTTCTCTGATGGCCAGGACGGATCGAGACGATGTCATCTAATGCAGGGTACCTGACGGGCAAAACGTGGATAACGTCGGCTCATGATACAACCAGAGTTCAGATGAACATAAGTCTCAATTTCGATAACGTACTTGCATAACGAGTGGCGCAGCATAACGAGTGGCGCACTTTCTTCCTCCAACAACCACCTAACTTCATCACGAAATTTCTTCCACAACACAACATGGAATCTCTTCCAAAAGAAAGTCGTATGATCCTTGCGCTCGAAGCTCTTTAAAAAGACCCTAATCTTTCCGTACGAAAAGCTGCTACAATCTACGAGATCCCCGAAACCTCGCTCCGTCACCGACGCGCCGGAAAGCAACCACGACGCGAATTACCTGCCAACCTTCGGAAATTGACCGACTTGGAAGAAAAAGTCTTCTTGAGAGGGTACTCTACCTTGATGCGCGAGGATTCCAGCCCCGGCTCTCCGACATTCGAGAAATGGCTAATCGCCTTCGTACGGATCGCGACGCGTCAGAGGTTGGAATTCGATGGGCGAACGGGTTTGTTAAACGACATCCCGAGCTTACGACGCGTTTCCGACGCCGAGTCGATTACCAGAGGGCCCAATGCAATGACAGTGACGTGGTGAAGGCGTGGTTTCGGGTCGTACGGAACATGATGGACAAATACGGGATCCAAGAGGAGGACATCTACAACTTCGACGAGACTGGGTCTCTGATGGGCATACTCTCGAGCGCAAAGGTCGTGACAAGCTCCGAACGCCGTAGCCGGCCTCGTACGAAGCAGCCTGGCAATCGGGAATGGGTTACTGTGATCCAGGCTGTGTGTGCGGATGGCTGGATCGTGCCGCCGTACTTCGTAGTCAAGGGAAAAAACCACCTTCTCCCCTGGTGCCAGAACAGCCGATTCCAGCCCGAATGGAGAGTCCATACAAGCGAAAATGGCTGGACAACAAATGAGATTGGTCTTGATTGGTTAAAAAATTTCGACCAATCTACCAAACATCGTACGAAGGGAGTCTATCGACTGCTCATCCTCGACGGTCACGAAAGCCACCACTCGATCGACTTCGAAGATTACTGCAAGGCCAACAACATTGTTCCGCTCTGCCTGCCTTCCCATTTATCTCAAGGCAGCTCTCCCACCCACATTTTCGACATTATCGACTTGCAGGCAAAGAGCATCTCGAAACTGGCGCATGAGATGGTGTTGCTCCGAGCAGAGAACAAGGAGCTTCGTGCGGCAAATGAGCGGCAAAGCAAGCGACGCAGGACCAAAAAAACACGTTTGCAGGATGGAGGATCACTTAGTTTACAAGAGGCGATGGTTTTGATGGCAGACCGGGGACTTGGTGGTCAGGATTGCGAGGAAACGTCTGGGAGTGGTGCTCGTACGAATGCAGGCGAGCCGCACGTTCGGCTCTGCAGCAACTGCAAGAAGCCCGGCCATAACGTACGAACTTGTCAAGTAGGTTGCGAGACGCCTGAGGAAAGCGATTCCGAGTAGTTTCAATTGATTTGAGGTGTTGTGGTTGAATTGACTTACAAGGTGACTGAAGTCTAAGAAAAAGTGCGCCACTCGTTATGCTGCGCCACTCGTTATGCAAGTACGTTACTTCTAATCAACATGAACAAACCATGTCAACCCAGGCCGAGAGCGAGCTTGAACTCGGTTCTTAGTCTACAAATGCGAAAAGCGTACGTTCTATCGATGCTGAACATGAAGAGAATTATTACTACAAAATCCAACCTCGACGGTTGAAATAGTTCCTTAAGACACTCCGACCCTCATTTTATGTTCCCGATCTGGGTCCCCAAAATACTGTAGATAGATTGAAAATCACAAACATCAACCGACCAAAGAAAGCAAGAGGGAAAAACGAGAAACAAACAGCCATATCATCACTCATCACATCATCTCATCCATCATCAGAATCATACCATGTACCCAAAATCATCCCCATTCATCATCTTCTCACACATCCATCCTCACCCACCCCTTCTTAAACTCAACAACCGCTTAATACCCCCAACCCTCTTGCCCTCCCCAGCCTCAACTCCCATCCCCATTCCTATCCCCATCCCCATTCCTATTCCCATCCCCATCCTCTCTCCCTCCCTTTCCTCCCCAGCAGCAGCAGCAGCAACCCCCATCTCTTTATCCACCCCCAGGTCCTCCCCCTCATATTCATACCACAACCTCGGCACCACCAACCGATACGGCACCGTGCTACCCCCCGGATCGCGCGGGCTAATCTCGACATTGAGCGTCACCTCGAGTGCTCCGAGCAGATTCACCTCGTACTCGGCCAAATTGTTCTTCTTGCCGCTTCTCAACTTCTTGGCCGACAAGCCCGTCGGCGTGCGATGGAACGGCTTGGGCGTGAAGTCGTCGTCGTCCTCCTCCTCTTCTTTTTCCTTCTCCCGGTGGTGGTTGCGTTGGTCGTGTGAATTTTGATGATGATGTTCTGCTTCTTGTTGATGTTGATGGTAGCTGCTGACGGCGCCGCCCGCCATGACAGTGTTATTATCTTTGGGAGGGACAGGTGGGTTGGGGGTATGGGTATGCGAGGCCTGATGATGACGGGGTGGTTTGACGACAGAGAAGTAACTCTCGTCGCCCTGGTCGTATTCGCTGTTGTTTCCACGATGATGGGCATGACCATGATTAGGACCATGGGCATACTCCTCATCCGGACCCAGCCCACCGCGCAACCCAATTCCTCCCCCGCTACCACCACCACCGCGGGAATACCCATGCTGCTCATACGGATGATACTGCTGAAACCGATCCCGATAGTACATTGCCTCCTCCTCATCCGTATCTAGACCCCAAACACCATTAATCCCGCCGTCGTCAGGCCTAGCGGTTCCCCTGCTACTCCGACGGCGGAAGAGCCCTCCCAACCGCCCCGACACCGACGACCCCGACAGGGTACGCGTCAAGAACCCCGGCCGGCCGGGATCGGGCTGACCACCAACCTCATCCGCACTGGCGGCGGCGGCACCCGCGCGGCGGGACAGCGACCTTAACAAACCGCCCGACACGGGCGGGCGCGAGCGGTCCTTGGTCGGCAGGCCGTCGGGACTAGCAATGGTTTTGGACCTCCTAGACCCAAGAGACAGCCGGCGAAAGAGGCTGCCTCTCCGCGAGGGGTCTCCAAAGCCGCCGCTGGTGATGGCGGTGCCCGGGGGCGTGAGGTCGTAGGCCGAGTGGGTGGGCGTGGGCGGGGGCGTGTGGCCGGGGACATACTCGCGGATGGCGCACCAGTTGCGGTGCGGGAGGAGGTGCTTGTTGTTGCGGGGCTTGCCGTCGACGCCGTGGGCAAAGAGGGGGATCATGTCCTCGTCCGTCTCGCGGTCAAAATGGTGCACCTTGTTGCGCTTGTTGAGCACGTCGGCGAGCAGATCCGGCGGCGGGGTGTTGACGATGGAGGACGAGATGACGTTTGGGATGTAACGGAAGTCCTTGTGCTTGGCCAGGCCGAGTTTGGGGTTCGAGTAGAACTGCCCGACGGCCGCGAGGTGGACGTCGCCGCTGGAGGGGAAAACAGTCAGCTGTGGCGGCCCTCGCAATCTTGAAGCGAGCCCTTCCCACTCACCTCAGAATCGTAACGCGGACCGACTTGTCCGCCGCCAAATCCTGCAAATCCTCAATGACAATACTGCGCTCGTGCTTGTGGTTCTTGGCGGTCCAGTGGTCGTCCAGGTCGTCGAGAACCTCCACGCCGCCGTCGAAGCGATTGAGCAGGCCGCCAAACATGCCCAGCTTCGCGAGCGCTTTCACAGGGTCCATAACCCGGGACGTCAAACTGGTGATTGTCAGCAGCGCCACCACACGTTGGAAACAACTCCACACATAAAACCTACATGTTCTCAAGCCATACCAGTCGCGGGTAAGCTATCGGCACGCCCAGCAGGACCAGCATATGCTCCACCTTGCCCTTGTCAATCTCGCCATAGCACCGATCCATAATCTTCTTCCACGTGTCCTCGCGGATGACCTCCTCGCGGGTCCGCTCGGTGCGCGCGTCAACCGCAAGCAGCGCGACCTTGCCCCCCAAGAACATGAACAAGCTGCGGCTGAGCTCGTTGATATATGGCCCGGGGCGAACGCCCAGCACCCAGCTGGGCTCGGCCTTCTCCGACTCGTCGACGATGCTCTGGTGTTGGAAGAGCATGTAGTACTTGAAGGCGACGTTGCCGAGGCCGGAAAACACGGGCGAGTTCATGAAGTGGTGCGGGTAGGAGCCGAACCCGTCGATGATGTCGTGGTCGTCATACATGTTGACCATGGGGATCTGGGCGTTGGCCATGCCGAACAGGCCCTGCGAGAACCACATGGCGTAGCGCTCTAGATAGAAGGTCTCGAGCTCGTCCTGCATCTGGGGCGTGAAGGGCGCGTTGTGCTTGTGCAGCGGGTTCTTGATCATCAGCCAGTCGCGGAAGAGGCGCGCGTCCTGCATGCACCGATCGTTGTAGATCTGGTCGCCGCCGCCGATCATGACGTGGAACGGCTGGCTCTGGTGCGTGTTGAGTACGTCGCGCCACATGGGGTCCGGCCCGCTGAAGTCGTCCGTCTCGACGCTCAGGCTGAAGCCGTTGCAGCTGTAGAACATGATGTTCATGCTCTGGCCCTTGGCGGGGACCCAGAAGCCCGTCGACGGGCCCCTGTTGATCCGGTACGCGATGCGCTGCTGCTTGTCGCGCAGCTCCACCTCAATGTTGAACCGCCAAAACGTGTAGCCGCGCTCGGCGTGTAGCCTGAAGCCGCGGATGTCCTTGTACTTGCCGGCCTTCTCGCCGTCCATCTCAGCCCGCTTCCTACGGGCGGCGAACGAGCCTGGTGGATCTACCGCACCTTCCGGGAGCGGCACTTCCGGCGGGCTCTTGGTCTTTTCAAACAGCCCGTCGTCCGTCTCGTTCCTCGAGACGTCCTTGGCCTCCTCGAGATGGTCCACGGGTCTGACATAGAGAATCTCGCCTTTCCGGCCGAGCTTGGGATGCCCGGCAATGGGGTCGACATATTCAGGCGCCAGTGGCTCATCTCCATGAATCTCCCTCGGCGGGGGCGGCAAGAGCTCAATCGGCTGTACGAACAGCCTCAGCGTCGGGCAAATGTCATAAGACGAATCGGCGTCCGTGGTGACAATCATGATGGAGCCGCGCCATATCTCCCTGTCAACGACAGCGCCGTTGCCAGTGGTCCTGTTGGGCACCCGCTCATGGCGGATGCCGCAGAACCTCAGCAGCGGTCCGCACTTGAGGTACAGTGGCGGCTTGAATCTCGTAGGAGCTAGACACGGTCCAAGTCAGCAACATTGCAGCACAGTAGATGCGATCAAGAAAGCAGGGTCATTGTACAAGAATAGGACAATGGCTGGCGGCAGAACGCCGCATCGTTGCTACACAACGAGAAACAGCCCAGGCTGCCCTGGGAGTCGTTCGCAGAGGGGATTGGGCTGAAGGGACGCAACCCGTCCCAGCGCTTCGCTCGGGCTCTCGCCCTCCTGGGGAGGAGGTGCTGGGGCTCGAACGGCGGACCGCCACCGCCAAAGTCGCTTGTGGACAGCAACTGGTGGAGGTCGCCGCTCTGCACCTTTCCAATGTTGGGGTACAAGGCCTGCTGATTGGGGGATCGCGTACCGTTTGTCTCGTCATATTCTCCCTCAAACGCCTCCGCCTTCTTGGGCCGCGACGACAGGCTGTTGCTCCGCCGTCGCGACTGCGATGCCTCCCACCAGGCCGTGTTCTTTCCGGTTTCCACCGCCGGCGGCACGTCGTCGATATCGAGCAGCCCTCCCGACAAGGTTCCGACTGTCGCCTTTTTCCACTCGTCGAGATACGGGGTCGGCTTGAAAATGCCATGGCCGGGCTGGAACTTGTCGCGGCCGTGGTAGATCAAATCCGACATGTGGTGCCGCTGGCCGCCGGCGTCGGCGGGGTCTTCAAGATCTCTGCGTGCGTCTGGGAGGGGGCCGTCCGTAGCCGCCGCGGGAGAATATTCTACGGGATTTGTAGCGGCAGCAGGCGAGATCAGTGCTTTGAACACCGCGCCCTGTCGTGGCTGATCCGCCGCAGCCTTCTGCATTGGAACTCGGCCGAGGATCTGGTCAGCTTTTCTCTGGCTGGGTGTCTTGGTCAGTTTGCTAGAAGGCGGGTATGCCATGAATTCGTCTGCGACGTCATCGTTAAGGGGCTGATGACCCGGTAGAGGCCCCCTGGACGTTGGCTCAGCTTGGTGCTGCGGAGGGGCACCGGCGGCTCTAGTGGTAGCCGGCGTCACTTGCCCGCCCGCTACTCGTGGGGTCTGAATGGGCACCTCGGGCGGATTCTTCCTCAGCTTGTTGCTGCCACTTCTCGTTGGAGTACGGCCGTTGGGTGCCACCGTGGGAGTGCCTTGTTTGGATACAGGAGAGTCGAGGCCATTCGGAATCTTGATGTCGTTTCTTGCGGCTCGCTCGCGGAAGCTGAGATTGCGCTGCGGAGTACCAGAGGGCTGGGCTGGGCCTGGGATATGCGACTCGGTGACTGCTCTCGGAGACGGCTCTTCAGCGGCGCTCTGTCTCGGCCCCTCGTCGGGCGGGTTCTGCGTGAGAGGGCCTTTCTGGCCAGTCGGGTGACGGGCCGGCTGCGTCGGCGTGATCGGGGTGGTTGGTGCGTCCGCAGCTGCCACCGAAGGTCGTCGCTCCCGGAAGCGAACTTGCTGCGGGCTTTTTTCGGCTTGTGGGGCGGGCCCTTTTGCCGCCGCTGCCGCCGCCCTCTCTCGCACCACCCTCTCGGCAGCCTCGACGCGAGCCCGCTTGTCCTCCTTGGAGATGCTGTCGAGCGTCAGCTCAAGCCGTTGCAGGGGAGAGCGGACGTCTGCGAACGGTTTCGGACGGTCTGTCGAGCTGCTGGTCGATGTCCTCCGAGCGCCCCTTTGTAATGGCTGCTCGGCTGCAGACGCTCTCCGCTGGCTGGCGAGCGCGGGGTCTGTGTTGATCCTTTGGGGCCGCGGCATTGCGGACTCCTCGAGTGTCTGTTTTGTCCGGTCTACGGACAGGTGGTTCTCGGTCTGGTCGGCCGGCGCGGCCAGCTTGTAGTGTTCCTCGCGCCCCATCTGACTCGGCGGGTTGCCAATCCCTTGCGGCGGTATAAGGTATGAATGTGGCTGGCCGCCACTCGATGGTAGATACTTGTAGCTCGAAGGGGGAGCGCGGGGGACGTCGGGCGCAGCAGGCGGTGGAGGCACAGTCACGGGGCCATACACTTGCTCCTGCTCCTGGTGCCTGCTCCTGCGGCGGCGGCGGTTCTCGAGAAGCTCGGGGGGATACTGGCTGGTGCCGTAGGGCAAAGAGGGTGGCCTAGGAGTCAGGCCCTGGGCCTGGAAGCTCAAGTCGGTGGGCGTCGCATACGGACTCATGGTGGAATCGGTCGGCGCGTCGGATTTTGTAGTCTGGACCGAGATGCGATTCAATCTTGGCTGTCCGTGGTTTGGGGTATCCAATGACTGGCGGCGATCTGGTGAATCCATGTCATCGGACAGACGGCGGGCTCTGGTTTGGCTCGCCTTAGGGGGTGGCAGCTGGCCCCAGTAGGGAGTCGACATGTCTGACGGTCGGGTTTGTGTAAGCGTGCAAGCGTGCACGTTAGCGAGCTGTCTCGGATGGACTTGGACTTGACTTGAGCTGGACGTGGTGTGCTTAGGCCGTTTCTCTGTCGAGCTGTGCGGTGGGGTGGGCTGACCGCTCGTCCGTGTCTCAATGCTGGGATTCAGGCGTGGCCATTTGTCCACGAGCTGCAGGCTGCCATGGCCAACCAATATTCTGCAGACACATGCACGGTCGGGCTCGGTGCCGTGACCAGCTCACGCCGAGGGGCTGGTCGCAACTTATAAAGACAGGAAACAATTTGATCGGCAAGGAGGCCAGGACGGGCCCTCAGGCAAGCTGGGCAGTGGGCCGGCGCCAAACTCGGGAATCGGGTGGGCTGGGGAAGCAGGGAAGCTTCCTTCAAGCTGGAACCTTGAGCTTGGGCGGAAAGATCTGGCTTGGCGTGGTTGGGCTGGTCCTTGTCGATTGTTCGAGGCTGACGGACAGGGGTCAGGGGTCCCAAATCGAAATTCGGAGGCGGGAAGCCCACAGCCAACCTTCCAACATCATCAATGTCCGATTATTCGTGGGCCAAAATACCGGTGGCTGGTTGCGGACGCCGAATTGTGCATCACCGATGACAGCCATGGAACTTGGACGACACATTTGTGCCATGACTCCCAATGTAATGCTCTCAATGTCTGGGAGAAGCTCGGGACGAGCCGTGCATTCCAGATGCGAGCACATGGCCGCCGCATGGAGACGGGATGAACCGCTGGGCTAGATGGGACGGCAGGGCCAAACTATGCCGACTGACGTACTCCGTACAGAGAGGAAATTCTGGAGTGTGCCTCTCAGGGGACGAAGCTAGATTCGCCGTGGATCAACTTGGGAGCTGCAGTTGCCGAGAGCGACCATGGTCATCCCTTGAATTTCAACTTGAGCTTGAGACAGCTATTGATCGGGGGAGCCTGCATCCCGATCCGACCGACAACGAGGTGAAGTACTCCAGTATATAGCCATGAAACGGTGCCTGAGTGTGCCCTCTCCGCCGGTTTATGTGCGTCACTAACTCTCCTCAGGCACACGGCAAGGCTCTCCGTAACGTCGCATGCCACCGTTCAAGCGATTGTGTAGGAAAATCAGACGATGAGCTAACAGGCCTTGGCTCAACCTTCATGAAATGGCCGCAGTGCATGCGCTCGGTATAAGAAGCGTGCCACGCCCCTGCTTGTCACAATGCAATTACTTGGAGATCCTCAACTGTAAACCTCCACGCGTGAAAGCACTTGAGGGCGGTGCGCTCTCTCTGGCTAACCGTCTCGGCGGTCGCGGTGATCGCACAGAACGTGTCGATCGCAGTCCGACATGTCGAGATCGACTATGTTTTCCCGCGCAACGAGACATACAGGTCATCCGATGCCTTTCCCATACTTTTAGCGATCCAGGATTCACGGCGTTGACCTCGCTCGGCGACTTTCAACTCCTATGAAACATCCATGCGCCTGATCCCTGTTGCTGCAAGTCGACGTGTAAACCCGAATACATGGGGGCATTCACGACGCCAAACATGACGGACGCCGCCGACACAGCTTTCTTCGTGACCATCACCAATGCGACCGAATGGACGCGCTCGAGAAATAGGGAAGAGAAAAATTGGTGCTGCAGTGGTACCTGGACCTGAGAGGATCTCGACGAGCAACGCTGCGGACAGTGGAGTGAAACAGAAGGTGGCAGTTCGCTAGGCGAGGGGGTCTGATGTTCGACATCTGGCGGAGTGGGAGCTGCAGCTTGGCTATGGGGGCGAGGGCGAACTCACAAGACGTTGTGCTGGCTCTTGGGTGCCCAGGCTTTGGCGGAGTCGTCGAGGTCAGACAAGCCGAGAATGCGACAACGGCGGATTGTCCAAAGATGAATGTGCTCGAGGGCAGGGTGGGCAACTTCTGCGCGGCCTAGGTCGACGACGCCATGATCAGCACCATCTCAAGCCAAATGTCTGTTTTGGTGGCCCAGAAAATGGCAACAGCTGCAGCAATAACAACAGCAACAACCGCCTGGTCATGGAGAAGCCGTGCTGGGTTCGGGCCCGCTCGGCCGGTGCAGACGGCCCCGGTGGCGGCTTGCCTGCTCTGCGGCCTGGCATTATGAGGGGAGTTCCAGCAAAAGTCATAGACCTCGCCATCAAGCCCGTTGCGAAGGTTAGTGGTTCACGAGAACCCTCGGTAAGGTTTTACTTCGTTGGAGGGGCCGGTTCGGCCAGGGATTGAAAGGCGCGAGCTCTGGAGAGTCACGCCGGGACCAGGCGGGAGGGTTTTAAGCCCACACCTGAATATCCATCCCACCTGAATGGCCAAGTGGGAGGGGAGGAGTTGGTGATTGGAGGAACATGGATATAATATGTACATATAGCACTGCCAGGAAGGTGCACGAGCAAATGTGGGGGCATGACTTGGGATGGAAGCGGTACTTGGGGTTTGCGAGATGTCTTGCGATAACAGGTCACCCGACAACTTCGTCGAGAAGCAGCTGCCCTGCGATGGAATCGGATCAACAAGGAGAAACCACCTGATGAAAGATCTTGCTGTTATGTACTTCCCAAGGAGTCTCCGTAGCATAATCCAGCAGGAGAGGTCTGCAGCGTATCCAGCGTCCAGGTTAAGAATCAGGGGAACTGCCCCAGTCTACCGTGCTGCAACGCTCCACGGGCATCGCCATAGAGATATCTAGTGGACTGCTCCTTCTGTAGCAACATACTCTGTACATGCCTTACGTCTTGGCTGTGGCCACCCCAAGTTCGCCAACACCCAAAGCAGCCTCCTCCCCCTGCCTATGTATGAAGCACAATTCATATGCAGTCGTCGTCACGAGTGCTCCATTCAAGGTAACAGTTCGCGTCCACACTCGGGTGTACTTCCGTTTCCTTCAACCCATTACCAGCTTCCCAAGTGCCATTCAGAAGACACCAAGGCCTTCCCAGTCGATAAATGTGGAACAACACCACAAACATGGAAACGACGAGTCTATTGAGGGTATCAAACCGAAAACACGTTCACTCCGCCCGCCCAGCCCAGCCACGCCATTTTCAGCCTAATCCCTGTCCTTCTATACAATCTCACCACGCCACATGCACCAACCTCCCCAGCAAGCGGTAGGGTATAGATCAGCTTGAGATATAGCACCCATATACCAGGATTGGGTTACCCTCTCTCACCCATTCCATAATATCCCTCACTAGAGCCCTGGACCCCAGGTACTCCCCGCCCGTCCCCCATTCGCCTCGACCTCGTACCTCCCCAGACTCTCCTGCCACGTCTGCCAGTCGAACCCTTCATCCATAGCCATGTCCATATCCTCGGCGCCCATGATGTTGGGCAGATTGCGCAGGATATCAGGCGAGCCGTTCGTCGGCACCGGCCACAGCCACGGCGGCAGGCTCTCCTCCACAACACCACCACCATTCGCAGCTGGAGCCGGCGCCTGCGCCATCCCCTGCTGCTGGACCTGCTGCTGCTGCTGGGGTTGGAGCTGAGTGGGCAAGGACATCGGGGTCGGAATCCGGCCCAGCTGCTGTTGCTGCTGCTGTTGTGGTTGTGGTTGTTGGATGCCCTGAATCGGCATGTTGCCCGGGTCATAGCCCATACCTTGGACGCCCTGTTGTGCGGCGCCCGGTAATTCGCCCGCCGGGGAGCTGTAGATCGCGGCCCGGATGATATCGTCGGCGGCCGAGTCCCAGAGCCCGACAAAGTCGGTGGGAATGAAGGAAGGGTTCGCCATGGCGTCGTCAAGATACTGCATCAGTTCCGGCTTGGCAAAGTTCGCGGGAATACCGCCGGGTCGCATGTTCATCGAATTCATCTGCGGGACGGTGTGGCTCCTTTCTATAAGTCGTGGTTGTGGCGCCTGTTGTGCTTGTTGTTGTTGGGCATTGATAGGCTCCTGCGATGGCGGGGGCAAGTTGACGAGCTTGCGCCATCGCTCGAGAGCAAGGGCTGCTTTCATGGAGGTAGGGATGGCGGCAAAGGATGTCGGGGGCGTCCCAGACCGGTCCTGCCGGTCGAGCTCACGCGCTGCCTGCGGATCCGTCTGCAACCGAGCGATCTCGGCATCGCGGTGCTTCTTCACCTTGAGGTACAGCTTCCTCAGTGGCATCCACACGGCGTGGTGGCTCATCAGCTTCTCGATCTCAGCAGGGTTGGGCGATTGGAAGGTTAGGTTCAGCGCTGCCCACGCGCGCTCCGCCTTGGGGCCCCACGGCCGGTGCGAGACTTCGATCAGGGTGTAGGCCAGAGCATGCCAGTGCGTCCATGTCTCGAAGAGCCAGCGCCACTGCTTCCCCCGCGGATCCGTCTTCAGAATATGGCTGTACTCGAACACGTCAAGTCCCGCATTGAAGAGACGGGCCCGGACGTCGTCGGACAGCACATGGTCGTTGCCCGGTCCCGGGAATAATACGGGTTGGTAAATCATCAGCGTCATTTTGGCAACGACGATTCGGGTGATGTTGGATGCAACCCAGAACAGGGCGCTCGAGGTGTCCTTCAGCAGCCGCTGTTCGACGCGCTGAGACACCTCCCTGAGCAAAGCCTCTCGCTCCTCCAAAGACTTGTTAGCCAACTTGGATTCGTCCAGATATGCAGGCGTCAGGCCCGACGATACGGTGTGCAGCCGTCTCGCAAGCGAGCAAATTTCGTATCGGACAAGCGAGAAGGCCATGTCTGTGGTGCCTTCCCTTGGCTCGGGGAGGCGCGGGCATTCGGGGGAGATGTCTGAGTCGTTGATGTTGAGCGGAATCTGCGTGTCGAACGTCCCGGGAACAATAGTGAGATCGGTCCCTTGGTCCTCGGCGGACCGAAGATCCAAGACGCACACGGCCCAGAAAAGCCTGCGACGCATCTCAATCTCGAAGGGCGTCAGATTCGGGAAGTGGGTTCCGTCGCGATGTAGGCCCAAGACCTGACTGAGGCGAATGAGGAGGCCGGTGAGAGTCCACGCAAAGATGGTGTCGTCGTGCCGACGGACGAGGACAAGGAAGAGCATGAGAGCCTGGAGTACTGTGAAGTCGGGTTTGGTGAGGAACTCGGCCTTGGCCAGCGCCTGCTCGGTCGCGAAGCGGTATTTCTGCATCAGGACGCTCTTCTCGGTGCCAAAATTGAGTTTGACCTGCACGTGTCAGCAGGGACACCTATCCCTGAATCGGAATACACATACCTCGTCCTCGTCTAGCGAGGTGGTGGCAGCGTAATAGATGGCAAACATGAGCGCTTCGGTCGAAGGAGTGAGACTGTCGAGGTTATGTCGGACGTCCTTGATCAATTTGCTCATTGTTGGCACGTGAACGACCTTGAGGATGGGGTCAACGTTCTCCGTGTAGACCTGCCAGATGAAGGGAATCTGGGATGGTAAGGGGTGCAGGGGTTTCAGGTCGACGTCGGCTGAGCGGTATCCGAGAATGAAGGACTGGTGGTCCATCAAGTGCTTGTCGTGGTCGGCTGACTCGGGCGTCGCTTCGGCGTCTGACTCGTCCGACTCGTCGGTGAGATACTGCGACGCCTTGCGCAGTTCCTCCAGCTATCGTCGTCAGAACTGGCACGCCGCGGCCGGGGGGGTTGTACTGTTGACATACCTCGTCGTTGATGGACGACCACACCGAGCTACTAACGTATCGCGTCACGCCCTTGTCGCTCAGGACCAAGCGGCCAAATTGCTTGTGCACATCGGGCGACGCCTTCCCGTATGAGTCCGTTTCTGACAGGGGCCTCGACTCTGGGCCGGTCTGCAGCCTCACGCCGGCCATTGAAGGGGAATCATGACCAAAGCCGCCGATGGGGCCGCCGACGGAGTTGGCGCCAGGCCAAAGTCGTCCTCCAGCGGTGTGCTCGTCCCTCGAATAGGCCGTCCCTTCGGGCGAGTTCCCGGCGCTGTGAGGGTGGCGCACCGGCTCGACCTCGATCTGACCGCTCAGTTCTTCGACGATCCCCTCCAGCTTCCGCAGCCGTTTCATCAGTTCCAGCTCTCGCTCACTCGAGGGCGGTTTTGCCAGCGCACTGGGGTCCTTGGGGCGCGGACGGCGAGGGGCTCGGCCGGGGGCAGGGAAGATGCAGGGGATCTCGGCCCTTCGACAATTGGAGCAGGGCATGTGTTTGTCGCAGCGAACCTTGACCTGTCAGCAACAGCGCAGCCAGGGCGGAAAAAGGGTTCCGCACCTTTCTTCTCCTACATGTAACGCAGCTGCGCGGGTTCAAGGCGGCCGTAGGTGCTGCCGTGGGAGAGTAGACGGAAGCGCCCGGGGGCGGATGACGGGCTAATGCCATGATCTGCTGGGGGTCATACCCATCATGGGCGCTCGTCATCGAGGCGGCGTCGGGTGGTCGGGGGGTGTCAACGGCCCCGGAGGGTCTCATAATCGAACCTTCACCGTCCATGGTTGCGCCGTGGTTGAGAGAGAGGTAAAACAAGCGGGCAAGCTGCGGGATTCGGGGCGCGGAGAAGGCTCAAAGCCGTCGTTGGCGGGGTTAGGCGGATTCACACTGCTCATTTGGCGGGTGCATGCGATCGTCGCTGGTGTCGTGATTCGTGTGCTTCCCCTTGTGTGTCCCTATTCTTGATTGTCGTGATGATGCAAAGGGTGTTGTGGCCGTTTAGGAATCAAATTCGCACTATGCAACTTTGATGTGGTGAGTTGATTTGCGATAGAACATCGTCAAAATGCGATACACAGTAAGGGTACACTGATGATGTGGTGGGGCTTATCGCCATGCCAAGAATCTTAATTATTGTGGTCAATGCTTTTTTTGCGCCACCGTCTGGTCGTTGCATAATTCACATCTCCCAGCTTCCGTCGAGATTTTCGACTTTTCGCCAAACTTTCGGTGTTCTTATCGGAATGTGATCTCGGGTCTAGATGCACCGTAGTTCACAACTCCAGAAGAGGGCAGTTCAAGTTGAAGTTCCGCCCTAGAGTTGAACGGCAGCATGTTCCCAAAAGGAGTTGCCAAGCCATCATCCATCCTCAGTCCACTCCGTATCGCTTCCCAAAAAAGGAGAATGAACATACAATTAGAAAACACGAAATCAACAAAGGGGAAGGACAAGTACTAGAGTACAACGAAGATAAAAAGGTGGGAGTGAGTGGGAAGAAGATGCAGTAAACGTGAAAGGAGCCAATACCGTCTTTTTTCAACTCACTCAACAGCCACTAACAGACATATCCTACCTCATTGGTTCAGACCATTGTTTTCCGCTCTTGTCAGCCTATCAAACCCCTGCTAGTCGCTGCTGAGTCTGTTGAAAAAAAGACGGTAGTCCCTTTCACAGCTGGCAATCTGTTTCGAAGCCTGCAACGGCGTGACTCACACTTTATCATCTTTCATGCCCTTACCCCTCGAGAACACTGACGGGTTCTTGCTGTCTGGATCGATGTTCTGGCCAGTCCTGTGAAGAAACAAAGGACCAATACCCATCTGCAGAGGACCTGGATCCATCTCATTCTCGGGTTATGTCGACAAGCCCCGTGGTCCGCGTCGGCGTTGCTGCCATTGTGCAGGATGCTCAGGGGCGAGTTGTGATAGGAGTGCGGAAGGGTTCACATGGTGATGGTTGGCACTCCGATTTCCGTTGTTTTTTTTTTCCCCTTCCTGCTTCTTGACATTTCGCCACCTTTCTTTCAAGTCTATTCCTTCTCCCTCTTCGCTTTTGTCTTTTTGCTCTCTTCCTGCCCTTAACTGGCTATTCTTTTCGGAGTAACTGATTCAGTATAACACCCAGGTCAATGGCAGCTCCCTGGCGGCCACCTGGAAGTGGGAGAGAGCTACTTTGCTTGTGCTGAGCGGGAAACGCTCGAGGAGACGGGGCTCGTTGTCCACGCTGAGAAATTCATCGCTCTGACCAACGACGTCTTCAGCCCAACGAAGCATTACATTACAATCTTTGTGCTATGTCGGAGAGTTGACGAGACAGAACAACCAAAGGTGGATTTGTTGTGGCAACCAGCTCTCTCTTAGCAGCACTGACTGTGATCCAGGTCTTGGAGCCCGAGAAGTGTGCGTCGTGGGAGTGGAAGTCCTGGGATGATATCAGAGGCGCCATTGAAGGAGAGAGTGGCCAGAAAAAAGTGTTTCTGCCTATGGTTAATTTGCTTGCGGATCATCCTCAAATCGAGGTGCTGCTGAGGTGAAAATGGAAGGAAGAGTTGGCACCTGCTTGGGCATATGGGTTCGTGTTTTGGGAAAAGAAGAAAAAAGGCCGAGACAGCCGGGTTGAAAAGTAGTGAAGCACTTGACGCCGAAGTCACTGATCTCGGCCGAGACGGCATCAGCTCCTTTTTCAGTGAGCACTACTGCACCAGTACTGCCGCCTGAACTGGACGAAGCCCGCGAATCCACGGCTGCACTTCAGCCCGGTCCCAAGCATGACCATGCTCTGCCGCACAGTGCCATCGCCACGTCCTGGCCCTGCGACACCTGTGAATATAGGAACTGGTAGGTCATAGTGATGGAACGAACAGTGTGAATATCGCATTAAGCACACGAATATCTGGTCTGTTCGCTAGCAAGTTAAGCCAGACATACATCCCAATAACAAGTAATAATGAAAATAACAAGTAATAATGAAGTACATATAACGTTAGCACCTTGTCCTCTTGGGTTGTTGTTACTCAAACTTCGGCCAGGATGGTTTGGCATTCAATGACTCAGGCATGACTCCCAGAAGCAACTACTATACATGCGTCATCTTCTATGGACCGTCATTGTGTACATCGCAACAAAGAGGCCGGCTGACTCATCCGAAAGTAGCAACATGACGATGAGAGCCGTGGAACGGCCGCCCAAGAAGCCAGGTTTCTCACATACCCCAAGTATGCCAGGTACCCAGGTACCTAATTACTACCTCAGTAACCCGCGATTTCCACAATCAAATCCCCATTGCCTTGTGCCGCCATGACGGCCGACTTCCCACATTTCCCCGACTTGCAATAATAAGGGCACGCCGTGCCCACCCTGTAGACGGCCGCGGCCACATCCCGGCAGTAGCTCGAGACATACCCTCCTATGGACCCCAAGCCCCATCCGGCAATGTAGGCAGGCGGCTCGCCCGCAAACGAGTTGGCCGTGCACATGAAGGTCGCCTCGCCGCCAATAGGCCCCACGACGCACCGCGTGGTGTCGAGCCGCTGGAGGTAGATGTTGCACGCGGCGAGGTTCTGGAGCCCGGCCGGTCTCAGCATGCGACCGTCTGGAGCGATCATCCGGCCGTCGGGCCCGTAGCCCTGGTAATCTGCCGTGTGGCATGTGTCAGTCCATCGTTTGGCGAGTCCGGGGCCGGGCCCGGATGGAGTGCCGTTGTCCTCGGCGAGGTAGTCCACCGTCATTTTGTAGAGCTGCTCGGGGGTGAGGCCGAGGGACTCGAGGGTGGGGAGGCCCGGGCCGGGCGTGATGTGGATTGCGTTGGGCGCATCTCTCTTGATTCCGGGGGATGGGTGAGCGAGGGCGGGCAGGGCGAGGGCGCCGAGCACCAGCGAGAAGAGCGAGATTCGACCCATGATGATCGTGTCCATGTCGACAGGTGGGGTTTGTTGGTTGGAATGGGAGCGTCCGGTTGGATGCGGAACAAAGGCAGTGAAGGCAGAGCACAGATCTCATTAACGTTTGGAGGCTCCAATACTTATACACAAACGCATGATGCGGAGGCCTCCATTGCCTTCACGGCAATTCGTGCTGCCTCCACCAATCTCACTCGCATACACCCCGGCAGCAAGCCTTAGATGAGAACCCAAGGTTGAGACTTGGCACTCAAGCGAGATATTGGGCTTGATTGGTCGATACACTTCAAGTTACACTCGGTCCTGGGTTCGATCTGTTGCCCCAATGCCTGCAGTGCTATGCCTAGGTGAGGGAGGTAGTTATTGACTCCCTAAAACGGAACATCTCTCGCCAAATCGCAGGTGCCAGCGGATGCTGCGGACGACCGCATGAAGCCTGCTGCCGTCCCCTGAGTTCGAGATGCGTTGAGGATTGGACGGGCGACCAGCAGCATACGCCCTGAGATCATTTTGACAACAACCTCCCCCCTCCCCCCCCCCCCCCCCCCCCCCCCCCCCCCCCCCCCCCCCCCGAAACAACCGCGCTATGATATGTTTGGAAGACGGGGCCAGAAACAGAGGGGCTCTCCTCTGTTAACCTTTGTTTAAGCAAAGGGTGAAGCCGGCCGGGCTGTGTTGCAGAACCGTTCAGGCTTCAGCCAATCGAGCACTGCCATCGCGCACAGCGCTCTACGCTCAGAACCACAGACGCCCTGCGATTTGCTCCCCGTGTTCCTATTGAGAATGCTGATCTCTGCTCAGATTCCAGTCGTTTGATTGGTGCTCAAGAAGGTACACCTCAGCGTGCTGTGCAACATCAGCACACCTGTCCCAGGATTCTGAATGGGAAGCCTTAGCTAGCACACCACCACGACTATCAAGCACACCGCTATTCCTGGTTGGGAAAAGCGAGTACGTCACACTGCAGCAGTACAAGCAGAATTCCTTTGACAACTGCCAGGCCAGCCGCAGCCCGCCACAAAGCTAGCAGCAACCACAACAGCATCAATAGCATTAACAGCATCAACCGAATGGTTATCGTAGATAGCTTAATTCTGCTGTATCTCTGATGTTTTGAAACATTCTAACGATTCATCAAAGAACCAGTAAACTGTATGCTGGTCTTTCTGATGTTTTGAAACATTCTAACGATTCATCACAAGATCCTTTCCTCACACCTGAAACTCAGCATAGAACAAACACGCCCCAACAGCATAACTGCAAAACCCCCTTCTTCCCCGCCCCACCTTCCCAACGCCAACCATCTCCCGCCTGCTCACCCGGTCACAGTGACACGGCAGGTTTCCCTCTTCCACATCATTTGTGTCGGCCCAGGGTCCCCATCCAAACCCCATTGGGCACCGGGCACAAGCGTAGTATGGACCACTGGCGTGGCCGTTGACGTTGCCGGGCAGGACGTGGGGTAATGTGGTCGAAATACCGCATGTAGGGCACGGCGGGCCCGGGATCAGGAGCAAGGGACCGACTGGCCTTGGAGTTGTTAAAACACGTCGTTGTGGTTGTAGCAGGCAGAGCGTTGAGTCCAGGTGTATGATGGATGGATGGATGGAATTTAGTTCTCCCGGAGGCACGAAGCCTAAAGGGCATTGCACGTTAACTACATCCAATTCGTTGACGTTCGGTCATCAACTCGTATAAGCCCTCTACTCGTTTCCCCTGTCTCACGCCACTAACTATTGCCTCTTGACTTGGGTTTTAGCAGATCGACTTGGAGGCTGCGTTCTCCAAGTGTTCAGCGTCCTATCTTCAGCAGCTACAGCGGGATCTGCTGACTGAGGCTGTGTGGTGTTAGTAGAATTCCCCTACTGTGAATGATCCAATCTCCGTCCTTCCTCGTCAAGATCCAATCTCCCTGTCGCCATTGTGTACTTGATTGTTGCCCGAACTGCTTTCATGTCTGGCGACCACATCTTTGGATCCGATGGTGCTTTCACTCCCAGGTAGAATGAGAGGCTCCCCCGCCTTGCCACTGTGCATTGCAACATGTCTTCCCTCAGAGCTGCCCATCTCACACAACGCAACAGAAAGTGTTCCACTGTTTCCCTCGCTCGGCTGCAGGGACAAAGATCTGACTCGACCGCTCCGATTCTGCTTAGAGAGCCGTTCAGCCTCGCCATTCCGGTTCGGAGTTGTGCCAAGATATGGGCCTCTCTTCGTTTTGACTTGTCGTAGAGATCGCGAGTGTGCTTGCCAGGTAGTGCCACGTCCAGAGTCTTTGAAAATTTGCCTACGCCTTCCGGTAGAACTCTCCCCTGTCGCTGTTTGGCCAAAGCCAATCTGGTTGCGGTGGACTTGGCTTGGGGCATTTGGAGGTTAGATATCTGCCCTTGCCTCGTTGTCCTTTGCGCTGCCGCCTTGGCCTCTAATCCCAACGTAAAGTTGGCTTCCGCTGGAATCCACGGGAAGTTGACCGAGTTCCCTCTTTCTTGGTGCAGTCTAGCCAACTCGTAAATTTGCCGTATAGTGCCTTGGCCGGATTATTGTCGCGGTTGCCTAATCGCTGGTGGCGCTGACTGGTTCCTGGTGACGATGGTGATGTGCCTATGGCAGACGTTGGCCGGAATCTTCTCCAGGGCCATTGCGATGACTGCTAGTTCTGCTGTATATGGGTTCTGCTTCTCCCTCATGCCAAGGGTTACAGCAATCTTGTCACGGTCTCGCTAGTCCTGTTGAAGAGAGTGTCTCGTGCGATGCCACCAGCACCGACAATGCCTTTTTTCACGGATAAGCTGGTTGCAGTCACGATGCCCACGGCTCCGTTGGCCATCTCGGTCGCCTTCTCTCGGTTAGCTTCGATCGTCGGCTGTAGGCGAGGTGCCCAAGGAGCGACGGCGTATTCCTGGATTGTTTCCATATGTTCGGTTTTCATTCCTTTTACCTCACGGGTGATCTTCTGAAGGGGGGAGACGAATCGCGCTGTTATCCGAATTTTCTTCCAAGCTAGGGGATGAGTCCCAGGCAATGTCTGAATGTTGATCCATAGTCTGGCTGCCGCCCGGCTATGTCGTTCTCGTATGGGGAGAATGCTCGCTTCGGCTTCTGCTACAGCCGTAGCCACGGTCCGAAAGGCTCCTCTGATTGCTAGGGCACCGATCATCTGCGCCCTGTTCAGCCAGCTTAGCGCCATATCTTCGGGGAATAGACTCCAAGCGCCGTCACACGCTGTCGGATACCACGTGACCAAGTGGCTTCATTTCCAGATCGCCAGTTTGCCTCGGATACGGACCCGGAGTTGTTGTCCCAGTATGCCCGGCAAACTGGTAGGTGAAAGCGGGCTTCTATGGGGACCACACAGAGGAGGAAAATGTCACCTGTGGGTGGATTGCTTTGCTCGGTGTTGGTTGCTAAGCATTGAGAGGATGGAAAACTCGGGTGATGGAGACCATGTGGCGACAACGTCGTCCTGCAGTTCCTCTGCGAGAACAGATCGATCTAACCCAACCTTATGTGTAAACGTCACATGAAGCACGCGTGAGTATCTGCTCTATTTCATCCAAGACACATCAGGCACCCCGCGTAGAGTTCGGCTCGAGATTTAAAGAAAGGGGACGTGGACAATCCCACCTTCTGATGAAATCCCTCCAGTACCCTCAGGTCATTCCTCGAAATGCGCAGTGGGTTCCCGAGAATTGTGCTTCTTCATGCCCTGCCCACTTGACCAGGTACTCCAGTCCCTTTCCTCCCTGTCGCCACTTCAAAATCTCCGACGTTAGATAATCGTCGCATTGAACCTTCTCAATCGTGGGGGCAACTCTTGAAGGGAGGGCACACGCCGTTGAGGAAATCCTCCCTCCTGGTGACTTGCGCCGCGGGCTCTCTGGTACGCGGTTTGTTGCCCGTGATTCGTACAAGGAATCTACATGAAGTCATGAACTCCACCTGAAAGGTCGCTGCCCCGCCTACCTGAACGCGCTTAAGGACCGCTTCAAGTGGCCATTCCTCAAAGCTTGCGACAGCGGCCTCTAGTGTCTCCTCTTCCAAAGCGCACGCCCGTGAAGATTGCGGCTTGGATAGTTCTGCGCTGGTTTTGGCGGCGCTTTGGACCTTGGGTTGGTGGTGGTTGTTGAGCCTATAGCGATATGGAGTTGGTGCGAAGACGTGCCTGCCTCATGGGCTCTGTGTTTACCCTGCGGCGCTTCCCTCGTGGCGGCTGAATGACATCCCCATCTTTGCCTTGCTTGACGTCACTTCCCACAATAAGAAAGCAGTCCTCCTTGCCGTCAGTATCGCAACGACGCTGCCGTCGACAACGACTTATGTTCTGCTGAAGGTCGACCTGCTCCTCGTCGGGCAATTCGGTGGTACTAGCCCCTCGTTGTTCCAGAGCCTTGCTTCACGTCGTGGCCGAACGACACATGCTTCCGACGTGTCGCCCCAGTGCCGGGGGCGAGGAGGATCCCAGCAGGCTTCACCGGCGAAGCTTCTGTCGCCAGAGCCAGGTTGCTCTGCTGCTGCGTTGTCTTCTCACTGGTCGACTTGGACGCAGCTCAACGGTCTTGGAGGGCGGGGGCGCCATTCTCATCCTGCCCTCTGTCGTCCGGAACGAGAGGATGACATTCTCCGTCGCTCGCTAGATCGCTGTCGTCATGGTGATCAGAATGTTGAAAGGCGGTAGCTGCCAGACCTCAGTTGTGGATCAACCCCACGACTGGAGGCCGGTATCCGCTGGTTCGAGCTCGCTGGTGCTCTTGTCATCCGGCAGTGTGGGTGTGCGTGCCCGCTCTTCTCTGTCATCTGGAATCAGATGATGGTGCTCTGGGCTGCCCGTCCGACTCCTGTCGCCACAGCGATCACAGTGCCGAGAAAGGCAGTGGCTATCGGACTGCTGCTGTGACTTAAACCCAAGACCAGCCGCGGCCAGGCGTGGATTTTGAGGCTGGCCATGAAGGTCCAGCGTCGATAATTGCGCCGCTCGCTTATCATATACGTTATAACGTTATGCAACCAATCCTTTTTGCCCTCCAAATTTATATGTGAAGTGGATGCGGTCATAACGGCCAAGAGTGAATGTGTAATGAACTTCAACTCGGAGCTCATCCCCGGCTCGCGCTTCGAAATGGTCGGATACCGCTGCTGCCGAACTCGTTGTCGATGGGAATCGTTTTCTGGTCCTGGTTCCGGCCAAAATTTTGGTCACCAAATGTCTCATCGTCCCCGATGACAACGTAGGTGTCGAAGATAATTCGCCGCACAGGCCTGCGGGCCACCAGGTAATTCATGTGGGCTGAGTTGACATTTGGCGTAGCATCGTCACGTATTGCAAGCGAACTGGGAGGCGGGGCCGCAACGATAGTTGCTCTTGCGAGGAGGCTGAGTAGGAATACGCAAAGAGTCTGCATTCTGAGCCAGGGTGTAGAATGACCAGATGAGTGATATGTTCTCTTTTTTGCTGTTTCGGCGGGTGGAATGAAGGGAGAAATTGAGACGTAGATCCAGTTGTCTCAAACCAGCATCTATAATTTGTTCCATCCATGGTACATCCCATCCCTCTCGGAGCTTCACCCTCCTCCTGAATGATGTCTAACCTACGTCAGATTTCAAGCAACTATCTTCACTCTCCTCATCTACGATGTTTAACTTACATCAAGCTTCGTTACCTTTGCACTGCTTGAATATGTCAATCACACCTGGCTCTCCGTCGATGCGCTACCTTGCAGCAGAGGTACCCGCCATCCATCCTATCTGATTGGAAGCCCGCTAATTGAAGACCAGGGATGTATGGGGAACAAGTCATATTTTAGATGCGGTTGGCCTAGGATATCATCGAAGGGGGGATGTATTAGAAGGCGACTGATGCGAGGCAAGCACGACAGTTCACGTATTGGGGGCAGTTAGACTGCTATGAAGTGATATCAAAGAACCAAATCGCGGTTCTATATCGGGTAAGGGGGGGTATATGCGTTAACGGGCCCGCCAGCCCCTGGAGGTTGTTAACGGTGGTGACAGTGCGGGTCGCCGTGAGCAAATGCAGGGCAGCTCCCGCGCGAAACAGTTCCCCTTGACCGAACATAGGCCATTCTGCACAACACGCGCGATACTCTAGCCAAGTCGTACAGGCTCACGATTCTAGAAGAGAAGGAAAATAGTCCACTACGCAATCAAGCTACTACACACGCATTTCTACGTAGATTGTATAGTGTGGAAGATACCAACCAACGATCGTACGTACTACTTCACAGCTGGCCCCAGTCAGCTCCTGGTTCAAGTACCCGACTTGGTTCAAGTACCCGACATTCCGGCTCTCAAACTCCTCGACGTCCAGAGTACATGACTGAGACGCTCCCTAGCACATCATTGTCCCGTCCATCCCCGACTATGCACTCCCTACAGATACCCGCAGCAAGCTGATCGTGACGGAGCTGGGTTTCTCAGAAAGCCGCCAAAGCATTGAATGAGTGATGGAAGCACTGAGATTCAACGCTTAACATTGCTTGCCCAAGGCGGAGACGTCTGATCAGCCCTGTCCACGAGGCAATGCCAGTGGCGTGGTATGTCGCTTGTCCCCCGGCTCTCGCAGCATCCATCAGCCAACACCTCGCATTAGTTGATAATCACGATACCTACACTGGAAGGATCTGCTCCATGTACGCCGAAGTCAAAACTTACCCCGTCAACGTAATTCTCCATATGGTCTCCTAGACTTTGAGGCCCGGCTTCAAATGCTCACTCTAGCTGACGGCCAAGGCGGAAAGAAGACTGCAGGGAGCATTGTTCATGCGGCCTGCGGCAAGATATATCAGACATTCAACCCGAGGACGGATAACAGGGGCCGACCACGAGCCTTTGGGCCGCAGGAGCCCACAGCGGTAGAAAAAGCCGCCAACACAATTGCAGTTTGGACGGGAGGGACTGCCGACACGGACAGAGTCATGGAGGAGGCCTGGAGAGAGAGGTGGCTCAAGGAACTAGACGACTGGACAGCAACGAGGCCCGCAGATGACCTTGACCACCAGCATGAGACTATGTTTTAAAGACAAAACCCTAAGGAGACACGACGGCCTCAGCAGAGCGAAGAGTTCACTGTTGATCCAGATTCGAACCGGGGCCATAGGCCTTCGGGCTTTCTTATTCGAAAGGAGAG